TTCCCTGGTTTCCAGCGATTGCCGTAGTTACCGACAAGGCATCGCTTGAGATCAAGGTTCGGATCTTGACCGCGAATTAGGAGGGCGTAAAACCGCCTGTCGAGAAAAAATTCCCTCCATCCGAGCCTTAACCACACGAAAATATATTAAGCATTTGCATCTTTTATTTTATATGTTTGGCAAAAGGATTTTTTTTTCTCTTTGTATGTTTAGGGGCGATAGTTTTATATAATACAATTGATGGAAACAAAAATTTCATTTTCCTAATAAATTCCATCTAACTATTTCATATTTAGGATTAACAATTATCCTAAGTGAATTAATTGACAGGTGAATCACAATGGCGTGAAAAAATGTACCGTTTATAATCATTCAATGACTCACAAGTTCACATAATCGCGCGTTTTTTTTTTAATTTTTTGGGCAAGTTCTCTGAATTGTTCTAAAGGTTACTGAGACCGTAGCCAAATTTTCCCACGCTGATGAAATTTCGTGAATAATAATGAAACTTAAAAACGGTGTATTTTTTCATGTGAATTTAATCAAGCATGTCTTAAAAACAATTAGATAAATTCAATTCATGTTTACCTGTTTCAACAATCATTGTTTCAATTTGTCCAAGTGCAGTACAATCAAAATATGTTGTGAGAATTCTTCTGTTGGTATTAAACGTGAAAGAATGTGATTTTAGAGGTTATAAAATTTATCTAGGACACTCACATACTTGGAAGCTGGTGTAATAATCGCATAAATTCATCTGTTTACTCACATGGATATAATATTATTATTATACTACATATTATTGTACTACAAAAACTTTTGTTTTCACTCATTTAATTAATTTTCCTCGTTTTTTTCCTTTTTTTTATTAAATCCCTTAGTGAAGAAAGCATGATCTGAAAATTCAGACCATGAATCAGAGATTATAGGGGAGATTGCTAACGCCAATGGCGAAGCTTCAACCGCGAAATTTCCTAGCGGAACTGGCGGAACTAATTTTGCGGGTGTACCTGTGAATCAAACAGGTCGCGAGGGCAAGAGTGTCGGTAATTTTTGGAGAGCGTGGGTATAGATAAAGCAGCGCGAGCCCGAGAGTGTTGATAATTCGAAAAGACCAGCAAACGCGAGAGTGTCGATAATTCGAGGAAATCGTGACGAACGAAAACATCCCATATAGAGCGGGGTGGGGGTATGATGGAGAAACAATCAATGGACGGAATGAAAAAAATGAATTCACTTTAGTAAATTCGAAAAATTGTTCAACAACTTGGGGAAAAATTGATCCGCAATCACCGACGGTAGTGGCCGTGCGGTTAGAGTGCTAGACTACCATGCCAAAGATCCGGGTTCGATCCCGTGCACTGGCGGTCAAAATTTATAGCGCTCTAATCTCACAGTTTCACTGTCGAGCGGTAGTCATGTCAAAAAAACGACTGCACCAGGGCCGGTTTTTCCCCTCGAATGAGGTTTTTCCCTCCCTTCGGCTAATGCGGTACAGGGGGTTGGGGGGTGGGAAGGGAACAAATCGTAAAGACCCGAAATGGTTGGTATACGAGAGGAAAAAAGTTTTTTTTGATTCGCAATCGTTTGAGTATATATTCACGAGACATTTTTTCCCCAATTTGTTGAACAATTTTTCGAATTTACAAAGGTGAATTCATTTCTTTCATTCCGTTCATCGATTGTTTCTCCATCATACCCCCACTCCGCTCGATATGGGATGTTTTCTTTCGTCACGATTTCCTCGAATTATCGACACTCTCGCGTTTGCCGGTCTTTCCGAATTATCAACACTCTCGGGCTCACGCTCTGCCTTATCTATACCCACGCCCTCCGAAAATTACCGACACTCTTGCCCTCGCGACCTGTTTGATTCACAAGTACACCCGCAAAATTAGTTCCGCCAGTTCCGCTAGGAAATTTCGCGGTTGAAGCTTCGCCATTGGTGTTAGCAATCTCCCCTATAATCTCTGCTCTCGGTTTCACGCTGTGCCGAATTATCTACACTCTAGGGCTCGCACTCTGTCTTATCCATACTCACGGGCTCTGAACATTATCGACACGCACGGGCTCTGAAAATTATCGACACTCACGGGCTCTCGATCTGCTTTACTTACAGGTACGGGCTCTGACCCTGTTGAAGGTTTTGTACAGGCGCTGGCAATCTCCCCTATAATCTCTACTGCTAGCGCCAATTGCGACGGTTCAACCGAAAAATCTCATAGCGGCGGCTACAGCACTAAATCAGAGGCTGGACCCGTCAGTCAAACAGGTTGCGAGCCCGAAAGCGTCGATAACTCGAGAATGTAAGATCGGCGCTTAAAAAAATAACGATCATGTCCGAAAACGAACGAAAACAGATAATATAACGCGAATGGGGGTATGATGAAGAAACCACCGATTGCAAACGAAAAGTGATTTCACTTTCATATATTCGAAATTTCTTTACCAAATTGACATTAATTTCTTCAGCAAATCTTGGTTGTGATAATTCTGGTGCTATACTAAGGCCAGCATAAGTTTTTACTTCTCTGGGTACCCCCACTCCACGCAGTTACCACTTGTAACCATGTCCCCCACTCCTAAAATCAATGTTAAAACTTATGCTGACTTCAGTATACTTCGAGTGTTATCAATAAACACCTGCGATTGTTTCCTACACCTCGAGTAAAACGGCCATCAATTGGATGATTGAAAGGTAAATATTCTTTTTTGATCTCCAAAAATACTCATCTGCCAATTCAATTGTCCACTCTTGCGACTTTAGCTCCTTAAAACTTATACATTAGTCTACTGATTTGACATTTGGAGTATTCAGTTAACGCTGAGTTGTGATTTCATTGGATTTCTTTTTTTTTCTCTGATTTAAGAAAACATTTATTTGAATCAATGATGCATTTACAGTTTCAAAATTGACAGCTGAATGAAAATATTCTACTTCAGATAATCATGGCAAACGGATATTCAAGTGGTCCTAGATTGTCAGTCCGTGACAGCTTCGACGATGAGGAATTGACAGACATTGACGATGAGGTTTTCATTAGAGATGGCAAGAGGGGTGGAATCCTTAAGATTAATGATGAGAGTGGAGTAAAAAGGCCCCTCATGGCCCCTCGAAGGAAACAAAAATTGGGTCATCCGCAAACTCCTCTATCATTTAAAGCTTTCCTCATCCCTTTGTGCTACGGTTTGATGGCACTCATTGTCCTACTAGGCTTGATGTTACTCTGCATCCTGACCATCAACATCTTTCCAGTGCCATTTGGCATATTAAAAAATGTATTTTCTGGAGGAGTGACTCTGGAAGTCACCATAACAAAAGCCAGCAGGGAGAATGAACTTCTTCCATGTACTTCTTTGGCCACCAGTGTTCTGTGGATGAGGACAATGCCCAAATTGACGTCAGAGGCTCCTCTCCGGAGTCTCGATGTCAATACAGATGGCATTGACGACATTATTCTTGGCTTCAGTACAGGTCCAAATAATTAACAATTGATTACCCAAGCTATGTTTTTTTTTCTTTTATATTTTTGATTATTTGTATCGTTTCTGTTGTTTGCAGATGTTGGAAGATAATTTTTATTTGTTTACATTCTGTCAGTAAGCAAGGTGATTATTATTCATTTATTTCTTTTTCCTCAACATCTTTTCCTTATTTTAAATTATTTTGGCGAAGAGTTACTCAAAGTCATCGAAGAAATGTTCAATCTTGTTTTTTATGTTTTCAGGATTAGATGCATTAGATGCACCGGAGTTCCTCTGCAATCTCTACTTCGAGGGCCAAATCCCATGTTTAGGTGGAGTAATGGCTTTAGATGGAAAATCAGGAGAGACCCTGTGGACTCACTGGACAAACCACGCAATTTTCTCTATCGACTGCACATCAGACTTGACAAAAGATCAAATGAAAGATTGCATTATCACAGGCCGTGGAGGGATCCTTCAGGCAATAGATGGGAGAGATGGGAAAACTCTCTGGGAGTTGCCGGCCCAACAGTACTCCATTGCAGAGGAAAAAATTATTCTCAATGTCTATGATGCTAGAAGCATGACTGATGTCAATAAAGATGGAATTAGCGATATTATAGTGTCCCATACAACTCAAGCTGGGAGCCTTCGATCCAGCCGAGTGATTCTTCTATCCGGAAAAAATGGAACAGTGATAAAGAGTATTGATTTCTCAAAGGAAGAGCAACTGTTCATTGCTCCTCAGATTCTGGTACACCCTGATGGAGAGATCATTTATATATTGTCTTCCTGCACTCCCAATCAATCGGGTGGAGTTTACATTATTTCTCAACATGATTTGTTACATGGAAATTTGGTAAATAAAATGGGAAACTTTTTTTTTTTAATGACGTTAAAAATTCCTCAAATATCCAGAAAAGCTGATAAATATCCTTTGAAATTAACTTTCCAGAAACAAAAAAGGCAAGTGCAGCACGGTCAAGGCAAGGGAGTTCTCCTTCCTCCCATTCTAGTCGACTTAACCCTCGACGGAACTGAAGATATAATTACGGTAGGTCTGGATTCAACAATAACCGCATACAATGGTTTAAACTTTCAGCCCATATGGAATTACACTGTTCCCCAGTCCGAAGTAATAAGTATTCCAATACCTGGTTACTACGACGATGACAATGTTCCTGATATAATGGTAAAACATCAGATAGGGCCTGGATTCCCTGTGTATTACCATTCCCTTACAACTATCTTGAGTGGAAAAACAGGACAACCTTTTCTGGAGACTCCCATTAAGGACAACGCTAATGGGCAAATGTCAGGTTTGTCAATTTCTGTCGATGGACTTGGAAACGACTGGTTTCTCCACTGGTCTGCCAATTGCATGGATCAGAACGTCAATGAGAACATAAATGAGAAATACCGATTTTTAAATGGCCAGACACTTCTCTCTCAAAGTAGAGCTGACTTATGTAAATTGAGGTTTAATACAACACTCAGCATGAGACTATCAGCAATGAGTCAGCACGTGGGTCCTCCTGGCCAGAGTATTTACTTCTCTGATGATTGGAAAGCAGTGGAGTTGAACAATTCTATCGATCCTAGAAAAGAAACGGAGAAATATATGTTCTCCAATTATGAAAATACTCTAGGAAACAAGGAGATTCCTCCAATGCCCCAAAGATTACCAAGAATAGAAATTGGAGAGGTTAAAACTGATATTTTCAAGAACCAAGAGAGTCAGGGACAAGATGACCAAAGTGAATACATCCTCAAGCCAGATGAAGAAAAAGATTTGAACTCGGAGAATCTCTTGAACGAATTTCCAGGGTATAAAAAAGAACTAACCGATTTCGCCAATCCGGAATGGAGCCCCAACTTCTGGAACATCGCTATGGAACCAGATTCTCCCGGAGAGGAGATCAGGCCTATTGATGAACATAAACAATTCAGTTTTTTCGGACAGAGATCGAAAAGGTTCTTAATTCCCATGAAACCGAGGATTCATCTGATCGATTTAAAAAAACGATTCGGACGAAGACGTTCCAACAGACGACCAAAACGCAGTACATCTGCAGAGGATAATGGAGAAAAGAATGTCCAGAGACAGCCACCAACGGGAATTTTATTGCCATCGCTTGCAAAAGACGATAAGACGACTTCAATTGATCTGATCTTCTCGACTTATTGGCTTCCTCCCTCTGAAGTCTCTCTCGTATTGCTCCAGCAGGATCTCGAGTGTATCAGGCTAAGGCAAGAGAAGATCATGGAGAAGATGGAACTGAATGAGAGAGAAAGTATTATTTCTGGATGTCTGGCTGAGAGAGGAATCAACTACAAATTGTACAGAGAAGGTTTGGATAGAGAAAACTCCAAACTGGCACTGGGACAGATGACTATTTATAGAATGAAATTGCAGTGCGTGTGTCCTGAAGATATGTTGGAGGGCCAGTCCTGTAAGAATATTTCTATACATCAGAGCTGGTCAGAGCAATTGGGAGTATCCGGGAATGGCTATTTCCGTTAACGTATTTATTCAGTTTAAATCATCGTAATTATTGATCGATCAACTGATTCATTTGCGAATTTCAGGGCTTGATAAAATATACTTGTTCAAATTTTTTTCGACTTTCATCCGTAAGCCCTGTGCTATGCGTGAAAATAATCATAAATATCTTGCACCTCAGAATGAATGTTCAAAGCACTTCACTATTTTATGATAAAAAAAATTATATACAAAAAATAACCAACGTAATGTGAGTTCTATTTGTACAAGCATATTTAATAATATAAACTGACAAGTATATACTGGCGAGTCTGACAAAATGTATATAAACAGTCATTATTAATGTATGCGCTTGAAATAGTGACTGATTAATAAACGTGTAATTGGTGTACTGGCGTTTTCCTTCCTTGCGTTCTTTCACAACAATCGTTTGATCAATAGTACATATATTCCGAAAGTTTTGTTGAGAGTTACAACTCCAATTTCTGTGAGTTGAATAGAGAATTAAATTTCAAGCTGTATGCAACAAAATGCAGCTGCATAATTTTAATAAAATGTGTAATATTTTTGGAAAACCAGAGGATGATGGTAAGCCAATTAGGAAGAAACCAAAGAGTAAGAGTAAAAGTACACAAACGGATTATAGGGAAAATGAGTCACAGACTGATCCTTGGCAACCCTCATTACGCATACCACCAGGTATATTCCGCCACTTTAAAAAATCCAGGAAACTCATTAAAATATATTTGCCAAGTGATTTTGGAAATTTATTTTCATTAGACGCGAATCCAGAAATTTCCACTCTCAGTGACTTGCGTTGCAATGATGGTCTTTCTTTCTTTGGAAGATATGAGATCGAGAAAATTAAACGAATGAGGAGAAAAAGAGCTTGGCAGGCATTACTACCACCTGTAAATTGTACGGATAATAAAACTCAGGAGTTTATTATCACAATGATTGATCAAGAGGAATTGGCTTTTCGAGACAAAGTGTGAAGGATTTTTTATTTTCAATTAATAAATTTTGAAAAGCATTCAAACAATTATCAATAAATGCAGATCATTGAATGAAATGAATCTGTCATATTAAAGGTGCTCCAGAGGTTGGCGGATAGGAGACTAGTTGCAACAAAAGACCTTTTGGACTCCGTGAATTATGCAAGACAACTAGGTCTTGAAGAGCGGTTCGATAACGTTGGAAAATACCTCAGTCGGATCCGTGAGAAGAAAATTGAACATATAAAGAGAGAATTCCATCGAAACCTCCGAAAACTTACTAAAAAATATGACGGTAAAACCTCAACTCTCTCTTCAGAGCCCAAAAATAAATGTTTTTCAGCATCGAAAGTAGACTCATATCTGAAATTTAAACTGGAAGATGATGCAACAAAATCTGGAGAGGATTCCGAGGAGATATCTACGAATGAATCCCCTGAGGGTAACTCTAGCTACTTTGAATCTTAAATACTAATAACCAGTACTCCACGTAAATGGCTCTTAACTTTCCTTAGCAGATGGTCGAAAGTTGAATCTCCTCTCTTCGTATTTAGCCAGAAATCCCCTCAAATTACGAACTAAACGACCTCGCAAACCAGACGAGCTTTGCATCAGAGAAGGGAGATGCACGGACGATCAATTAAAGAAACTTCATGAAGATCTTAAGAACATTCGTCTCAATGTAACACTCAAATCCAATCAAATAAAAAATTACCCAAGGTGAAAAAATTGAGATCTCGTCACGTAAAAAAATAATGACCCAACATAAAGATACAATGTAGGGTGCACAAGACAGAGATACACTGAGAAAAAAATATCCGATAATGTCGTTAGAGGTGCCTCCAAAAATTAGTGTGCCTCTCACTAACGCAGGGACGTATCGAGGGCCACACTAGAAATTCAAAGGTTATACACGGAGAGAAAAATACATCACTATTTCATGAGAGTCCATTCAAAAATTAGTGTGCTATTCACCAACCCATGGGACGAAACCGTGGTCAACAAAAAATTCGGATGTGGCGCCCCAATTTTTAAGGGAGTCTCACGGAAAAGTAGCGTAAGTTCTTCAAAGATTAGGGTGCCGCGGTTTGGTCCCATGGATTGGTGAATAGCACACTAATTTGTGGTAGAATTTTTTCTCAGAGTATAGAGATCAGTGTCTTACCGCCATCTTGGCTCACATCACGTTGTTTTGCGCGCCGAAATGTATATTCACGTAAGCAAGCGACAAAGCATGTAATAAGTGGAACAAATATTTTGATAATTTTGGCGAACTGTCATCCGTAAAAAAATAATCGGTGTCGATTGTGGGTTTTTGAGGAAACAAATATTTTCAATGAAATCTGATAATAAAAGAAGACTTCATGATCGAAACAATGGAGCAACAGGATCAACAGTGAATCCGAAGTCGTTACGAGTTACGAGATTATAAACGAAAACCAGTTGAGGATAATTCCTCAAAATGGGTATCACAGGATTGCTCCCATTTTTAGAGAAGAAAACCGCTAAGAAAGTATCACTCCAGGAATTCTCTGGAGGCACAGCGGCAGTTGATACTTACTGTTGGCTCCACAAAGGAGTTTTCACTTGTGCTGATAAATTAGCCATGGGAGTGAAAACGGATGGGTGAGAAATCCCAGAAAATCTTAAAATTCTCCATCTGAGATGTCCAATCACTCCCACTAGTTGACTAATTATTTATTTTTGTTCTTTAGATATGTTACGTACTGCATGAATTATGTCAATCTATTACTAAAATTCAAGATAAAACCCATTTTGGTTTTCGATGGTCGTCACTTGCCAGCTAAAGCAGAAACTGAGCTCAAACGAAGAGAGTAAGTATAAAAATCTTACAATCTCGTGGTTTTTAACCTCTTTCACTTCAATGAAACTTTGGATCTTCTTTGAATTCTAATTATCCAAATTAACATGTTCTTCCAGTCAATAAACAAGAAATAAAATTAACTTCTATACATAATATCATCAGTCCGATAATATCACACAAATAGTTTCACCAAGGGGTGACCTAAAATTAAACTTCAAGTCTTATTTAATTAAAGTTTTATTTTATGTCCTTATTTTAGTTGCAATGAATATCCCTAATTATCATTACAGGCAGAGAGACGCAAATCGTAAACGAGCCACAGAGCTAATGAAAATGGGTGAAATTGAGCAAGGAAAAAATTTATTGAAACGAGCAATTGACGTGAGCCATGAGATGGCTTTAAACGTAATAAAAAAGTGTCAGGAATTGAACATCGACTGCATCGTAGCTCCTTACGAAGCTGATGCACAATTGGCATACTTAAACATCTCCGGAATTGCCGACTTTGTTATAACAGAGGACAGTGATCTTACTCTATTTGGTTGCAAGAAGATACTCTTCAAGATGGATAAATTTGGCTGTGGAACTCTTGTGGAACAGGAGCGACTATACCTCTCGATGGCGCTTCGTCAGGATGACTTTACCATTGAGAAATTTCGTCACATGTGTATTCTTTCTGGTTGCGATTATCTCCCATCTCTTCCAGGTGTCGGTCTCGCAAAAGCTCTTAAATTTGCTCAAAGAAACACTGACGAAGATATCTACAACGCTCTCAGCCGTTTGAGCACACACATAAATAAAAATATCACCATCACCAAAGAATATCGTGAGGCTTTCGTCAGAGCATTAATAACATTTAAACATCAATTGGTTTACTGTCCCTTAATAAGGAAACAAGTGAGGTTGAACACACCACCACCAGAGGTGACACCAGAGCAACTCCACCATGCTGGAGATCCAGTGGACGAGGATTTAGCCTATCAACTGGCTCTTGGTAATTGCAATCCCTTTGGATTTAAAAAACTCAATGATTTCAATCCTGACAATCGATTGCCCTCTAAGAAACGGACAAGTGGCTGGCATGAAACTCCGTCTGATCAATATCCTAGCATCTGGTCTAATAATTTCATAATTAAAGCACCTGCAAGAGGACCTATTCCTTCTGATACCACTAATTGGCCTAATACAGTTGAAAGGGATGTGCTAATGAACACAAAGAGTATAAAGAGAAAGATTAGTCCTCTGAAGCAAAAAATTAAGTCCAAAAATTCAACTTCTAATCCTTTAAAACGAACGTCCGAGCACTTCAATAATGAATTAAGTAAGGAAGATTTATTCAAGTTATATGAAAACACAAAGATTATGAAGAATGATGACAGTAAGCCTGAGAAGGTTGACACCCTTTCGACGCCAATAACTTCACCAAGGAAATTCAATCCTTTCTTGAAAAAGCCAGCATGCACTGATACATCACCATCATTGGTACCACGAGGTCGCAAACGTCCTAAACATACGATAATTGCTCTTTACCCTACGATTGTGGAGGAAACAACAGTCACTGAGAGTAAATTCTTCTCTCGATCAGAAACAAGTGGAGAAGGTAGAGAACCTTTGATAATCCCCGAGACTCAGGAAGAGTTCATGTCACAAGTTTCGCGCGAGAATTTAGAGAAGAAAATGGTGAAGAGAAATATAATAATATCGAACACTCAAGATGAATTAAATTCTGTTAATTCAAAGGATGACATAACTAAAAGTTATGCAATAATCCCAGAAACAGTGTACAATGAACTTGATGATGAAACAGTTTGTCAAGCTGAGGAAGAAGTTGAAGAAGTCCGACCGGAGAGAGTAAATGTAATAATTCCAGAGACGATGGACGAAGACGAAATATTTGGAGAAAATTTGCGTAACGAAGAGATAAAAAAGGGAGTCGATGCTTATTCAACCCCTAGGAATAGTTTGAGTGAGCACAATAGCAATGTAATAATTCCAGAGAGTCCTGACGAGGAAGAGTTGCTTCTTAGTCAAGGCTCTTGTAAAGAGAACGATGGTAATGCCAATATAGTGAGAAATGATGATAGACCTTCAGAGAAGGGTCACGTCTTAATGAGAACTGACTCAGGTGTCGACATGAAAGAAGATACATTAGGGACGAACCTCAGCCCAGAGAATTTTTTATTTGAACTTGAGGAACATTTTTCAAAAATTGAAACGAGAACCTCAGGATTGAACATCATAGTAAAAAAATATGGTTTGAAGAGTCCAAAAAAAATAACTAGAACTCCAAGTCCCGATGATATTGAGTTTTTTGGTGCTAGTGAAACAGTGAGTAGTCATAGGAGCAGTTTTTTCCATTGGTCAAACACCAAGAGCTCTAATAGAACAGTTAATTTTTTTAATAATAAGCCATCGATATGCTCTCCGAAGATTTCATCTCAGAGTAGTAGATCTAAAACTTCCAAACGTTCACAAGTTTTGAAGAAATTACCTCCAATTGACTCTCAGCAAAGCAAGCTGAACATGTATGGATTCAAGAGAAAAGACACTGCCAATAACTGATATATGTAGAATTTTTTTGAAGAAATAGATAGCTCGTCCTGTCTTTAGATTATGGAGACAAGCAAAACCTTGAGAGTTACTAGTGGAAGGAAGGTCTGATTGAGATTATACAGTATTACTATTCTTAGGGCATTCGGAATATTAGAAAACAGTAGAGCCACGAAAAATACTTTTTTTTTTTACAACACAGAAACTGACTTTTACAGCGATAAAATTACATTTCCAGTGCCTACTCAATAATTCCGTTCAAAACCTATTGTTCATCGAAATAACAATTGATTCTATGTTCTATAGTTATTTTTTCAGCAATCACTGCAGGTATTATTAATAGGAAACCTCTAATTTAAGACTGGTAATACTCATGACTGAGAGTGTAGTCACATTGAAACAAACAATACTGCCAATTGATTTTTTTCATTAATGAGTGTAATTTCTCTGGATAAGTACAAATTAATATTTTATGTCATTGCGGCCGGTAAAACGCGTTTTTCGTCACAATGACATAAAATAGCATCATAGCCACGGCGAAAAAAGTGATTCTGACTCATGCGCGTTATAATCCTCGTCTCCAACTCGGACTATAAAGTCGCATTCGTCAGATTCCCTTTTTCCGTCCTAGGCGTGAAATATACTAATTCTCATAATCAAGTTTCATAGATCTCATCTGCAGCTAAATTTAGTTTTCAATTTTCATGTACCCATTTATTTTTGTTTTCGTTGATCTATGAGTAGTTCATTGTGTGTCTAATGTTTTGAGAAGAGTTTTGGATAAATATATATCTTTTATAAGCTACAACCAACTAACGTTCCATTCACGGTTTGAGCTTCTGTCCCTAGTGATATAAAAATAGGATGATAGTCACATATAGCCATAATAAAATCCAATAATTTATCCAACACCACCATTTAAATTCAGAACGTTTGAATAAAATATTTTTCACTGAAAACTTTCGCTTATTTTTCATAACTCGTTTAGTCATTGGAATAAAAATTTGAAACTATTATGTTATTAAAGTGGAAATTTATTTCTTTATTCGGAGGCTTTTTTTTTGAAACTCCCACAAACGACGAACGGAAAAAATATAAAGAATCGGCGCTGTTACCCCTATAATCTCTGCTGTTGCTCTGAAAACAACGTCATAACCTCGATTTGGGTGATGAAGTCTGTTGGCTTACACATCTTCGAAAGTTCTTTTTTAGTATATTTTTGGTAAATACCAAATTTTCCACCAGAACATGGATTATTTTGTGACAAATAACTCATTGGCACCTGCTCCAATGGGTATTCAAAGTACAGCGGGTGCTGTGCCCGTGAAAAACGATAAAGGTCATTACATTTTTTTAATTCATACCCTAAAAACAATTCCCAATATTTTTTATTGTATAATGTTGAAAATTTTGAATTAACTTACGCTTTGCGTTCGTAACTTTTGACATTACAATATTATACATACATAAAACGGACACCCATTGAAAATTGTTTCATTCTATGAGATTATCCAAAAATTTAAAAAATGCAAAATCACAAATCAAAATTCATGCATGATTGGATGGGCTTAGAATTATAATTGGTTGTGCTTCAACTATATTTTTGATACTAAATGCATTCATTGCGTTGAATTTGATATAGGTGAAGTGTCGATGAAAAAAGTAAAAGTCCACAGATATGTGTCGGGAAAGCGTCCCGATTACGCGCCAATGGCAAGTTCAGATGAAGAATCCGACGAAGATGATTTTTTGGACAAACGCATGGGCAGAGTTCATCCAGATGAAATTCATGGAGGAGAAGAATCAGAAAATGAGAAGGAGGATCCAAGTGCACATGATGAGGAAGATCCACGATTGCGGAGGCTGACACGTTTGGAACGACAGAAAGTAAAGCAGGATGGAGTTGACGGTGGCTCGAATGATGAGGAGAATGAGGGACGAGATATTGAAATTCGTAGTGAGAGACATCGTCGGGTGCACGAGCCTGAGATACTAGAAACAACAGAGTCAGAGAGACCTCGAGAGAGGATAAAGCTCGAAAGTTCGGATGATTCTGAGGACGAAGACTTGTCAGACACTGAGATCGAGAGAAGGCGTGAGGCGCTTAGGGCTCGAGTTCTTTCCAAAAAAGATACAGTTGAGGAGTTGATGCATGATGATGAAGAAGAGAAGTCGGGGAGTAGCAGTGACGAAAGTTCTGAGTATGAGGAGTACACAGACTCTGAGGAAGAGACTGGGCCTAGATTGAAACCAGTATTCGTCAGGAAGAAGGACAGAATTACAGTTATGGAGAAGGAGAAAGAAGCTATCAAACAGAAACAGGCAGAAGCCGAAAGTAAGAGACTGGCTGAAGAGAGGAAGAGGCAGACACTTAAAGTAATTTTTCATTGATTGAAAAAAATATATTGTTTCATTATTATCTCAACACAGTTCGGACTTGGGAACAAATAACTGAAAAATTCTATTTTTCAAGATGGTGGAGGAAGCTATTCGCAAGGACACTCCGAGTACTAAATCTGTGGATACTATTGAGGGACAATTGAATGATGTCTGCACTGATGATGAGAATGATGAAGTGGAATATGAAGCTTGGAAATTGAGAGAGTTGAAGAGAATTAAACGGGATCGTGAAGAACGAGAAGCGTAAGGACTTTTCCATAATATCATTTCATTCAGAACATTGCAAAAATAATAAATATTCTTTTTACTAGTTTGAAAAATAATTTTTCCCTTGTCAATAGCTCAATTAATCTAGAATCGAATTTCCCATGATGTTTATAAAATCGTTAAATCTGCTACACACATCGATTTCATTTTAGCTATATAACAATATGATTCCATAAATTTTTTAATTCACAGAATCGAGAAAGAACGTATGGAGACCGACAGACTTCGTAACTTAACAGAGGAGGAGAGACGTCAGGAAGCCCGGATTAATCCAAAGGTTGTCACCAATAAAGCCGCCAAAGGAAAATACAAATTTCTGCAAAAGTTTTATCACAGAGGTGCATTCTATCTGGATAAGGATGAAAATGTATTCAAACGTGATTTCTCCGGAGCAACACTTGAGGATCATTTCGATAAAACTGTTTTGCCAAAGGTAATGCAAGTGAAGAACTTTGGTAGGAGTGGAAGAACCAAATATACTCACCTCGTGGATCAGGATACCACTCAATTCGACTCACCCTGGATCTCTGAAACTGCTCAAAATCTTAAATTTCATAATAATCAAGCAGCGGGAATGAAACAAATGTTCGACAGACCGTCACTGAAAAAACGAAAACCCATGAATTGAAAAATCATTCAATTTATTGGCGTAACCATTTAATTTATACAAACTGATATATTTAAAATACATTCTGTAATAAAGTGAGAAAACGAATCTTAATGTCAGATCAACCTAAACACTATAGAATAATTCATTGCCACAAAGTTTAAATGTTTCTAGGCTATAAATTCATTTGATAAAGCTAGTTGTTCTTTCTGTGCATTCTGAATGAATCATTCAATCAAATTCAATATATCCCAAAACCATAAAATTCACTATTTTCTAGCTTTATTCTGTGCGCCTATTAACAGCATTAATAGTTTATTTGGCTCAACAAATAGTATGTTTTTTCTTTGTCATCTATATGCTTATTGTATATTGAAAATATTGGAATTTTCATAAAATCAGAGAATCAATAAGATTTGAAGAAAAATTAATTTGTTGCCTCACAATCGACAGATTTCGAATTCAAATCTTCATTATTGAATTAATAATTTTTCATATAAAAAGATCAAACATTTCACAATAACATAATAATTAGACACTAGGCAATGAAGACTCCATTTTGACTACATAAAAAATGACGGGGTTGATTAACAGTGAAGATGGTGCATGAAGTAAATTCTATTTCTTCAAAACACAGTACTATGAAAAAAGAAAAAAAAAAGAAATTCACCCTGGTAGGGTGCGATGGAGGAATTTGAGGGCTTGTTTGGCAGCTGCTCGTTTGGCCTGCTTTCCAGTAGCGCCAAACCCATGGAACAATCTCTTCTTGCCTCCGATGACAACCTCCAGAGCCACCATAAGACTGGAATTATCAAGGACTTCTGGTTTGGAGAAGCGAGGATGTGCCCCCTGCGACTCATGAATGCATTTCACGACATCCTTGGGAATTTTCTCACTGAAATTCTTAATTTCCTGGTGCATTAGAGAATACAAAATCTCCCAGACCTTGGTAAGATTTTTGTCAGTGTCGAGATAAATAGCACCAATAATAGATTCGAAGATGTCTCCTAGAATTTTTGGCACCTCGACATACTCAGCCATGTTGCACTCGTCCTCCTCCAGCAGAATCCAATGGAGATCATCCCCAACTTTGTGTCCCTTTTCTTCTTGGAAAGAAACAAATTTATCAATTGCATCTGTCAATGTAGGACAAAAAGCCAAGAGCCCTGTATGAAGTCCGTACTTGACAGTTAGACAGGCAAAAGTTATGTTATTCACTAATGCTGATCTCAGATCAGTCAAATCTCCTGGTGTTAGATTTCCACAGCTTCGATAGATATGTACAGTTATCAAATAATCAATAAGTGCATCTCCTAAGAATTCAAGTCTTTGATAATCAGTCGTAATGTTATTATTGGAATACGAAGGATGAGTAAAAGCCTGCAATAAAAAGGATCGATCCTTGAACTTGTATTCCAGGGTATTCTCAATTGAAGCAGCCCAAGGCATATGAATGTCTGGGTCTCCAGTGCTTAATTTGGAAGTTCTAGCTTTGCCATGAAGAATGGTCTCGACATTGGCGTCTGCAGGGAGGATTCCAAACCACTTGACAAGCTTCGTGGCACCTGCAGGACCCATTGCATTCAGATAAACTCCGATCAAAGCTTCCACAGAGTCTGCTACCATTTTATCTTTGATTATCTGGACCCCCAGGTAGTTCTCCGTTCTCGTATGACTACTCATTCCTTTCTGCGACCAGAATTTAATAGTCTCGCTAGATATTCCCTTTGTTTTATCTGACAATTCACCTTTTTTCCTCTCATCAGAACTCAAATAAATCTCGTACAAGACATTTGGTGAACTGTTCTCGTCTCTAATAATTTTCTGAATTTCTCTAGGAACATTGAAGCAGGGACACGTGAAATTACTCTTGGCTTCAAAGTCATCGATCTTTAAACTTCCTGGAATTGATTTATTTTCTCCACAATAGAATAGATGACGATTGCCAATGACCTGGCCCTTGAAAATTGTGAGTTTACCCTCAGTGTATAATGGATAACGCTCAAAAAGATAGGCTGAAACAATGTACTTGAGAAATGAATCTCCCAGGGTCTCCAAGCGTTCCAGATTAAATGCATCTCTGGCTGGTTTCGTTGTCAGAGCGTACATGATTTCCAGTGGAGTTGGACCAGTCAATAGAGTTCCAACAGTTGTCTGATCGGTATCTGCTATCTGGAGTTTTGGAGCTGGAATGTTGGGGCGTTTAACAAAACGATAGGCCTCACATTTTTTCTTGAGGATTTCTTCATTCCTCGACCGAACATTGGTGAACTGGATATAGTACTCGACGTCGATAAGTTGAATCTTTTCAATATTCCTCTCGAGGTCAATAGGTTCTTTATCCTTCGACCAACCGTACGCGGTAGACTCCAAACTCAGAATATCCACCTCCAGTGGTGCAGGTAGTTCAGGCTCTGCATTCTTCATACTATCTAGCATCTGAAAGAAACCCTCTGAATCATCGATAGTCTCCTGTTCCCTCACATCATCTCGTTCATGCTCGGTATCGTCAACGAAATCGTTATCCTCCTCATCTTCCATACTTTTATCTGAAGCGCTCGATGTATCCAATTTGTCATTATCCTCAAAGATTTGAAGACGTGGCCAGGCCCCATTAGCAACTTCGATCACTCCCAGACCTGTCTCTCGTACTATTCTCTTCCTCAAATCCTCAGCAATTAACAGCTGGGAGAGTCGATGAATCACCGAAGGTAGATACATTGCCTTGAGCCAATAGAGACGCGGAAATGTTATTCTTTCGCATAATTCTGGCACCAAATGCTCCTCAAAATTGTCCCTCTCTCTTCTTTTTGATGAAGCACTTCTACCTCTTGGTTTGATGTAGTCAATATTCGTAGATATGGCCTTGACTTCCAGCAAGGGTTGCCTGAAATTTGTTATCGCCAAACCATGTTTCTCAGCGTAATAATGCTGGTAGTTCTGGTAATCACTAGTAGGAAATGAAGAAAAGGGGTTCAGAGAACGACAGATTTCAGTAACGATGTAAACAGTATCTCGATAATTCGGCTTCACTAACTGCCAGTCGTCATCATTGTATACCACATTACTACTACAATTACTTGCGTATTCCATCATCGCCAATGCTGTCGTCGATGCCGCCTCATGGGGTTGATCTCCTGATGAATGAGGAATTTTGAGAATCTCTTGATTTTCATTAACAATGCTCCAATCAATATTCTTATTAGCGTCGATAGGCACAATGAGATAATTTTCCTCCATATTTTCATTATCAAACATTGTAAAATGCTTAACAACCCCCAATACGTCTTCAAATAACACACAATGGAAATTTTTCAAATGATCAATTTCAGTGGAGGATAAAACAACTTGACTGTGGTTGACGTTGATATCCACTTCTAGGGGCCCGACAGTCATAAACAATGGAAATCCAGGAACTTGAGACATTTTTTTACTGGACAAAATAGCAAATCCAGATGGTTCGTTGAGGAGATTGTGAAACACCTGTTCTCTGTGTCGCTTCTCCTGATACGGCCATGGATAATTCGGTTGCACATTAATGACGTGAAGATAGGATGCAACATTCGGCTGAGGATAAGCTCGACATAATTCCTCAGGATGATTAAGATTATGAGGACGTTTACAGGCATAAGTGCCAGGGACAGACCTCAGAGCAGCATTATCCTCTGCCTTCCAATTCACTAACAAAAGTGTTGTATCTTCGATGATGTCTTTGGTATCTAATGGTAGTAATCTGTCATTCAATTCTCCACATTTGTGAAGAGCAATGCAGGCTTTTAATGCAGCTGAGCGTTTAGCCATTGTGATGCTGGGCATGATGTCCCCAAATATTTCTTCTCTCAGGGGAGATGTTATTGGCATTGTAATTGAAACAAGAAATTTTTGTTCGTCGTTTGTTTTGTGATTTTTTACCGTGGGTATACATCGCACAAATTTAGATCCACACAATTTAGTGCAGTAACGGTGAACCAAACTGATTGCACTGATATCTGAAATTGAAGAGAGCTGTCCATTCGATCCTACAATCACGTATGGCTCAATTTCCGTGGAGTAAAGAAACTTCTTCAATTCATCAGGTATTGGTAGTGATCTCGCATCAGTGTTGCCTGTCAGGTATGTCCTCAATATGGCTTCTGTTCTACTGTAGGTTTGATGCTGTAATCTTTCCTTTTGTGCATCTGTAGAGGAAATCATCATGACGTAGTTGCTGCGTGAGGAGCGTGCTCGACCTTTACTCTGCACATAGGATCTGAAGTCGGTGGACAAATCGTACCGTACCACCAGAGAGCAGAGAGGTATGTCAATACCTTCATCCAATACATCTGTGGAAATTAAAATGTTCGATAGACCATTTCGAAATCTAATCAGAGCCTCTCTGTTCCACTTCTGTATGCAGATATCCTCACATGAGTTCTTGTATGGATTTGCTGAAAAGCCAAGTATGTAATCCGACTTAATAAAGGCGTACCTCTTACTACTCTGTGATGCATTTTTTAGTATATGGTACAGAACTTTAGCTGTGAATCTACGACGTACGAATACTATGCAACAGAATTTATTTATTCCAGTTGTTTTAGCTCCTTCGTAATCATTATAATACTTTCGCAATAGTTCTAGGAGTTTCATTATCTTCTCTGATGAGTAATTGGTAATTTTCTCAAATTCCGTCAGCACCTGTCTATTAATCTCGTTCTCAATGACATGTCGGAGAAATGTGAATTGGGAGACGAGATAGTTCAGAACTATGAGAGTGTCAGCGTCGTTAACACTCTTTTTCATTTTTTCCAGTTGCAGTGTGTGGAGGAGGATTGCTCTGCTCCCACCATAAAGATCTTGGCTGAATATGTGCTGTTGGATGTCAACAATGATGTTTTTCAGTTTTGTGGCCCTCTGCTGTGGCTGAAAGATATGACTGGTTGCTTCATTCCTATTGGGCACTTCCAATACAACACTGCTCAGAAATTCTATCATACGTGCCAGTTCAACGGAAATGATGGGATCAAATTGACGGGAAACGGGCCCGTACTCGACAAATATCTCTTTTGGTTTACCGTAGCCTGTTACTGAAGTCAATGTATCGACCGTTATAATTTTTGAATGGAGAGTGATCTCCAGAGCGTGTACACTCTCGGTAATTTTTTCTAATTTAACGTTGGAATTCAGTAAAGTTGCTGAGGTACCGAGAAATCTTGGCTGCTCGTTCTCAGGATAATTCTCGAACTTTCTCATTATTTGCCGCATCGTGTGGTCTCCAACAGCTCGGTGACACTCGTCGAAAATGAGGAGGTTCACTCGATTGAGGTACATGTAACCATGCTCCAAAATGTCAAGGAATATCTGCGTTGTCATCACGAGGACCTAAGTGTGACAAGTGGTGTGATTTTGTGAATGTGCAAAAAAGATTCAAGATGAAAGAAAAATCATCGCAATAGGGAGGAAGATGCTTTAATCCTAAGTTAATTTAAGGGCCGGATGGAGTATCTCGGAAAGATATTTTACTCCAAAATTGGGATTCGTAATTACTCCGCCAATTAATTGTTTTTTCCGATAATTGTTAGCTAGCGCTCTAGTCGTTGACAACCGCTAGAACGCTAGCTAACAATTATTGAAAAAAATGATTAATTGCCAGAGTAATTAGGAATCCCAATTTTGGAGTAAATTATTTTTTCCAGATAATCCAACCGGTCCTTAAAATTCATCCAAAAATTTGTTAATTCGGCTAATACCCGGTTTCCTCCAAAGTGCAAAAATCCCTGGCAAATGAATAAATTTTTTCCTCCCTGAATTCAAGGTTAATCTCGAATAGTATTCCGGCTGGTCTTATCAGTTACCTGATTCTTTTCAAATTCTTCTTTCCACTTATCGCCACTCCAGAAGTCTACTTTCATGTCCCCACTGTACCCAGTACATGCGAGACCAGTATGTCTTGCAATATATCCGCTCTGTTGTATGACAAGGGGCACCGTGTTAACAGCAAAAATAGTTCTCTTTCCACCCTCTGAGAAAGGTATCCTAACGGCTGGACTCAGGGCCTTGATCAACATGACAGCGATGTAAGTTTTGCCGGCACCGGTTGGCAAATAAAGTATGGAATTATGTATAAGAGCTCTCTCATACAAATCCACTTGATACGGACGCGGTGTAAATTCTTCGGTCTCCGTGCTCTCCATTTTACCAAACTGCAAAAACAACATCCCGCCCAAAGACAATACAAAACCAGTAAACATCTGATGCAATTGAATATGACGTCAGTCGTTGCATTTCCTTACCGTAAGATGAAACCAATTGCTGCAGCAGATGTCACTTTTTTATTTTATATATAATTTCTGACGGCAACAACTGAAGTAAATATCCTATTGTTATGCGGTGTATTGCTGCAAAATACCAGATTCCTAGAAGCCACGCAGTGACCACAGTCATCAGAAGTCCGGACAAGTGGCAGCCGTTCCAACTCTAAAAAAGTCACATGAATGGAAACGGTAAACACCAAAGAAATGAAAAGTCTCACTCGCTGCCCTCTCTCGTATTATCCCTCCACATGATAAAACTCGATTTATTCCAGTTGAAAACAGAGGAATCCCCCTTACCCATTTACCCTTCATTCGCATCTCATCACTCACCCCTTCTGTAATGCATATTCACAGGAGACTTGGTAATTATTGGTAGCAAAAAACAAAATGATAATTTTCTGTAATATAATGTAAAAATAGTCGCAAGGGTATCCGGATGGTAGAAATATTTGAAATTTCCAGGTACACTGAATTTTGCGGCAAAATTGGTAAGATCAATGTGACCCATGATTCTTCTTGCCCCTGCCCCTGCATGTACGTGAGAATGAAGAGAATGAAGTTGGTGGAATGGGAATTGAATGTGCGGGGGTGTGAAGGATATAAGGAACGAAGTACATTTGGTGATCTGCGTCGAATCGTGGGGGTTTTATACCCCCCTTCAGGTTTCACCGATCCAAGTCAGGGCGTCGGTCCTAGGGTTTGCTGGTTACTACACCCCTCAGTCGCCAAAACGGCGGCCGCCCTGTCGCCCCAGCGTCGTCACCCCTTTCTGGCCGCCAACCTTTTCTAGCCGTCAGTAACCGCAATCAGTCCGATCTCGGACGTCGGAACATTAACACTGTGAAAAAATCTATAATCTCAAGTCATACTTTAAATCCATTCTCAATTAATTATACTTGGAACTACACTTCTGCTTCAAGCGAATTTATCCATTTTTTCTTCGTTTTCTTTTTTTTTCCTATCAAATTTTTTCCTGTATATTCGTCTGTCTTGGACTTTTTTCTGTCACTTCCTACGTTCTTGTGAATCGTTTCCTCATTCACTGGCTCAATTACTAATTTAATTGGCATCGATCGCGAAAAAAACGAGCATTGTTTAGCTAATTAGTTTTGTTGATTATGGTTACTTGGAGAATTTATGTGTGGATTATCCTTTTCTTATCCTTCGTATAGCCCTTAGACCGCCGGATGGAGTATATTAGGGACATTAACCATATACATAATTCGTCTGTTCTATTGTTCTTGTAGAACCAACAAAAAGGTAATATTCATTTTTGGCAATTGAAAAGAAAAACGTGCATGGGATGGAAGCGTTACTAATCTGTACGGTTTAATTAGTTCTGTGGCTAGATGACAATAGAATTGAAAAACGATGAAAAAGAGGATTGAATTATTGAAATACCAATATCGTGTCTGTGAATGTGTAATTGATGTGTTTGAATGCATATTCAGGTGATTGTCGGGAGTGGGAATCGATACTACTGCGGTGTAACTCTAGTATATAGGTACTGTTGCGACTTTCGTGTCAAGTACTTTTGTTTTATTTTTCTTGTTTTCTTCCCTTTGGTTTCATCAATTGGTGCGACGACATAGTCAAGATACTTCCTTATATCCCCGGAAGTGTTCGGTATTTTTTTGGTACCATCGATAAACAAAATGTAATCGTCATGTAGCTTTGTACATACAATGACATGCCTGTCATTTTTCTTTTGGCTCAGAGGACAACCTTAACAATGTCAAGTGGAGAAAAGCCCCCCCAAGGATTGACTATAGATCGTGCAGCATTTCTTCTTCTAAGGGTGAAAAGAGCTTTTAAAAAGAAAAAACAACAACGAAAGGAAAGAAGGTAAATGTATTACACAATGATTACATTAAAAGTTACTTAACCGCAGGTGGTTGGAAAAAAAGAAAGAGTTATTGATAAAGTTTGAGGTGAGAAATGTATTTATCAGCGTCTTGGTTATCAGTGTTAGGGGCGTTAAGGGGTGAGCCGTCATCTCAATTATGCGCCTCCTTCCAAATTCGATGAATATTCATGCCGTGTAAACAACTAAATCCAAGTGTGCATATTCGTCATATGCGAATACAAGTGCAAAAATATGTTGATTAATTTGACTCTCACCATTTCTCCCCTTGGGCTCGGCTGAATCACTGGGAATTTCGTCAGATGAGTTAGCAATTTAGAGGGAAATTCATAGCCTGAAGGGAGAAAGTGAGAATAAATGGATTTTTGTTGATAGTACAACGAGTGGTGAATGTAAATCGGATATTAAGTCATCATCCCGTGCAACCAGTGGTACTAACGGTGGGGGTTGTTGCCGTCCAGCCCCTCTATTACGATCTAGTACTTTACCGGCAATAGTAGCACCTGGTCTTAGCATTCTGCAGAAGCAAATCGATGCTAGATATGCCATGGCTTGTGGTACCGCTGCATCTGGACCTGGAAGAGGTATTCAATACATTGACAATCCAATTATTATTGAATTCCAGTGTCTCGTTACGTCACTTACGCCATTTACGCGCTTATCTTACGATTTTTTAACTTTCAACCGTCTATTTTTTTTTCTGTAGGAAGTTTTAATGCTGCTGGATTCAATGAGCAAACAGAGAGGATTGAGGCCGGTGTTAAAAGCACAAAATTGTTAACACCAAGGATTTTCTGCACTGATGAAACCCTCGGTGAGTTTGCATGGCTAAAACTAGATATTCTATCAAAGGGATTTATTGGATCCAATTTTTAATTGAAAAATCCAAATCTCAACACCTCTTGTCGAGGTGGAATAGTGGAATGGAATCTAATCAATATTTTTCTATTTTGTTTGGCTTTTAAAATTCTGACGCGCTCAGCTGGTGAGAGGAGAGTTTCGGAAAGTGTAATAGAAGCTCATCGGAAGGGTTCGAGGAGTGGTGAGCATGTTAGTAGCCGAACTAGCGGAAGATTGAGCAGCAGCAGTGTTTTGAGCACATCCCAGCCTCTGACAAGGCTAGCAAGATTGTTAAATCAACGTCCAAGTTATATACCGAGTGATAATATTACTCGTAGACTTTCATGGGAAAGGTAAACTCCACTTGTCTTACTATTCAAGTGTATAATTTCGTAAACAGCAAGTTTGTAGATAGGCATCCATGGGTAACGTGTAATTTTCGCATAATTGGGCTTTTCCTCGGGAATGAAGTTTTCGTATTAGCGACTTTGTTGGCTCTTATTTTCTTTATCGCCAGGGTTATTGTCTCAAATTATCTATCTTCATAGGTTGAGGTGAAAGTGAAAAAGTTTTCAACTCACTTTTAAGTCACCAAATATTGAAGAATACAATCAAACTTTTCAACGTCATATTCCGTTCAGTATATCAGGCCCTTTTCAGTAATGATGGATTTTGTGGATCATGTGATTTCTGATCCGGCTGTTTGCATAATTCATCTGAACTTTCAGCTGACAATTTTCTTTTTCTATTTACCTTCAGTGTTTTCTTTTTCTATTCCCGGAATTTTCTAGCTCGAGAATGATCAATTCGAGCGGGATTACCATAAGGGTTGTTGTATGAGAGAAAATTCTCACAATGCAATTTCCACGAGCCTCTTGCAATAGGTTTTTCAAAACTGTCAGGAAAGAGAGTTTCCTATTTCTTCTATCAGCGAAAAAAACCTAATTTCCTTCGGAGATGCACAAAATTAGAGCTTCGGAGGAAGCATCAATAAATGAATATCCAGCTCTATTACGGGATATAAAATTATGTGAATTGGATTGAAGAGTGGCTCCAGCTACTTCCAGTGGAAAATATCATATTCAGATCTTTCTAGATCCATTACTTTCGCCGATTATTCTCGGTAAAATTCATGATAGATTCATCAGCTTGTTTCCCGATAAGTGACCGGACACAATACATATTCAACTTGATTTCAGGTATCACAGATTTTTCAGCAGTTTCTAAATGTATCAATGCTCCAATGGCATCATGATCTCCTCAAGGCATAATTTCATTCTCTCGAAAGTACTGATTAATTCCGTGATTAACATGGTATTAGTATGAAAGTAGATCAATCAATATTTGTGGACATATTCTTGAACCAGCAAAATAAGGTTTAATTAAAATTGGCTTCTTCAATCAAGGCAAGAACTTGTGCAAATGAAAATCCGTTTTCCTCATTTCGCAAACCGATGCCAATCCTGATTAAGTTTTACTACACCCTAAAAAAGTTCGAGGGAATATTGCAAAAGGGAGAATTGAAATCCTTTGCCCCCCCCCCCTCCCCCCTCCCCCACTTTGAAAGATATCCTTAGGTCGCCTCGTTTTCCTTCAATAACTTAATTTTCCGCATTTCTTCAGGATGGCTTTATTAGACAGCATCTATTTTTCACCCATAACGTAGTTTAATAGTTGTGCAAATTGCAGTACTAATTACTACTGATTAAGGAAATCGATCATTCCCTCCAATCTCTTTATATATGAGGCATCTCGCTCTTTGGAAATTTGAATTACATTTTGGACCGTATAGAATAAGTATACAACTTGCACATCAATTCTTGAGAGTCATACTTTTTCGTTGTACAGTTGGTGTGAAATGCCTCCTATAATAAATCTGCTTAGCCCGGAACGTCAATAACCGATCGCCATTACCAGAAAATGAAATAATGATAAAATTATGAAAATCCTATGCAGAAGGGGCGATGGAAATGGAAATCACATCGAGGATTTTCCCTCTTCCCACTTTACGGTACCAAGGAGCACTTCGATCGACAGTTTGGCTTGCGCCAACTGGAGTTACTTTTCAACTGGTCCAATATCAAGTGCACTTGGTGGAGATGGATTATCGTATGACATACGCCGAGATAGCGGATATGACTTCACGAGCGAGGCATTCTCACCGCTACCTTATCGAAAAATCGCAAGTCCCTGTCCCAGTCCAACAGCAAGCCAAACAACAACACCACTTCTTCATGTTCGTGGTGAACGCCAGAGCATCTCCAGTAACATTGGAAGAAGAATAAAAGGCCAGCGAGCGATTGTTGGTAAGTGAAAAAAACAATTATTTATTCATTTTACTTTATTTTAGGAAGTTTTCTATAATAAGGGTGAGGGCAAGACTGTTGAATAGCCATTCGGGCTTTTAGGCAGTAACTGACATAACCAGAAAAAAGAACCCACCCAATTGAATACTAATTAATATGTTACCGTTTCCAAACAAAAGCTTTCCATAATTAATGGCTCTTTGAAGGGGTTAACGTTCAATCTAAATAGAGAGCTAATATTTATTCATTTTTAATGGGCGGTATGCATAAGAGTGTGAATTCAAATTCAATCGGATTGAGAATGCTTTGAGTGAATATCTAGTTATCTCGATTAGTTATTGTCAACAAATGCATTTCAATGTAACCTCCGGTGGATTTAGTCTACTCAACCGTTCACTCGTTAATAGTTGCAAACGCACATTTGGGATCTCTTGCTTAACTCCCTTTTACCCCTCAAATAAAGTATTCGTTAACAATGATTGAATACTCATTTACTCCCATTCCACTCTATAATTTGTTACGGATGCTCTGATGCCTGAGACAACTGAAAAAAAAAAACATTCAAAAAAGTCACATAGGTGAAAATAAATGTGAAAAGGGGGAAACGAAATGATAACTTCCAGCCATAATTTTTTCCTTCGCATCTAGGAGTGGGGATAATTATATTGTAAATGTGAATATTGGATATAATATAGTAATACCCAGGAAAGTGAAGTGTTATACAAATTTTCGTACAACCAGTGCACTATTTCCGGGAGAATCTGGTAATTTTCAAGCACTTGTGCTTTATATCCTAAAATACACTAAAATGTCGATAAATTATTTTTGCATAACGGCTAAAGAAACAAATTAAGGTGTTCATTTTACCTTTTTTTTCTTACTCGCGTATATGGCGCGCTATCCATCTGTTTTTTTTTTTGTAGAACATGTGTTGGAAGTTTTTTTTTACAACACAGGGGACGAACTTTGCCTCCAAGTTACATGAATTCTAAGCGCAAATGTAATCTGAATTGACACTCATGAAAATGAGTTTTAATATCCACGTTCTGTAAAATTGTACAACAATCGTAACAGTAATTAAATTCAAATGATTACTAAAAACCCATTGCTGATCATAAATATATCACTGATTTCATGACATATATGTTTATTAACATTTACGCATAAGTGCAATTTGGTCATTTGATTTATTTATTTTTAAATTCAATGTAAGCTTGGAAAGGCCAGAAATCGATATTTTCGTTATTTTTCTATTGCCTGCCACTCACGCAACGTTTGTTTGTCACCTTTTTGAACGCATCCTAGGCATATTAAAGTACATATATTTATAATATAATATAATATAATATAATATAATATAATATAATATAATATGTGTATATAATTTGATATGCATATAGTTTAGCTATGCGCCGAAAAATGCTGGCAAAAAATAAAGTGACATGGTGCTTTATTGTTAAAATGGCTCCTGAGACTATGTGGATGATGTCTCTTGCCAAAGGTATGGAATTTCTAACTTCTGAAATGAAATTCCTGATATTATTTAAAAACTCTGTCGGTATTATCCCTATTAAATTTTTCGAAATCGGAGAGAAACACTTACCCCGTATATCCTCATCATTTACAAGACGTTATTAATCAGCGGCATATTTTCGGGGAGGATGAATTGTGTGGCAAACCCGGGATAGGGATGAGGAGACCAGCGATTATCCGATAAAGGACTTTCGGGAATAGTGTAGATTCCACGTGAGAAGCCCGTAACGGGAATTAATGACATTCAGTTAGTTAGACGTGATCAGTTACTCCAGTGTATAATATTTTTGATAGGTTTGTTTGCATGCACTTTCACTATCTTCAGAGGCATTATTCTATTATCTTCACATGGAGAAAAATAGCTGATAATCTGCGTTATACTTACAAAACAATTCCCACTGATGGTACGATGAATTAATACATAAATTTATCTTTATCTTCAAGTATTCTTCGAAATTTGAAAAAGTCGCAAACTACTAATTGCCATGATAATTTTTTAATTTTTTAATTCAAGACGCAACATCTTTGAACACGAATAATACATTTGAATAATACCAGCAAAGAAGAATTTTAAGATAAATACTTTCAATTAATAAAATCAAATGAAATATTTTGAAGCTAAGCTAAACTGAAAGGTCTTTTAAATTTTAATGAAGTTCTTCTTCACAATGCAGACTTCTTTGAGTGTATCTTCTTTTCCATCGGTGCAAAATAAACTGTTCAAAACTGCACCACTTTCTAATAGATATAATCATAGGATAAGAATGACGCGCTCAACTTGAACAACATTCATTAAAAAGGATTCAGATAATTCAATGCCGAATGATTAATTCTCAAATATTCGTGGCTTTGAGGGAAAACTTCAGCGTATTAATAAAACATCATTCATAACATTTAATAACCCTCGTATCTGCGTCTATTGTCATTATCACAATGGGAATGAATTTCGAATAGCTGACATTTCCAATATATATCCTACGTAATGTGATTAGTCCACAGTGGGAACTCTGTTGAATCAATTCCCATTACGAGCAGATGTAAACATATTTCAACGAACACAAGAGCGATTAACTATCTTGTGGCAACATGCCATGATCATTTCAACAATTATCTGTTGGTGGAGGCATTGATTTTGCATTTTCTCACTTAAGTGGCCACGTAACATTACCATAGAATTAAAATTTTCAATCCAATTATCTTTTAGTTTGAAACGAATTTTTGAAAAATCCAAATTATTAATCACTGCGTATCGTGGTGATGAAGCAAATAAGAATTTGATTTTTGAGAAATAATGGGTTCACCCTAAAAAATAATTGGATTGAAAATTTTACTCCTACGGTAATGTTAGATGGCCACTTAACGTTTATGCGACTGTTTAGCAAAAAGCACGCAATAGATATGCGACAAACCTTGATTTATGTATTGACGCATGAATGTTGTCGTTTCATAATTCTCAAATAATTCTCGTTACATTTCACGTAAACGTGAAGAAGAGAGAAAGAGTATAACGAGAGTGCGCACATTCATGTGGAAAAACAATGAATGGATTGAATAAGTTCGATAGAGGCGACAGGGAAACTGGACAGGATAAAATGGATTGAAATGGGTTGAAAAATGGTAGGGCTGGGCTGGATGGACTCGGGGTACTTCGGACCCATTCGGGCCCCTCTCGTCCACCTCTCGATCCACAGCCTGTGCGGCCTCTGCACATCAGTCGAGTGGACGACCAACTACTCTCCAACTTCTACCCACCGCATTTTCAATCCAATCGTGCACTTTATTCACTCATTAACGATTCAATCTCAATTTCGTTAATGAAAATATGATTCGGTATTATTACTTGTGGTGATAGTGACGATAGAGCATACACAGTGTTTTATCACGATAATGACAGGCTGAATGGGCCAATTGAGACAACTGCTGAGTGATTGGAGCGTCTCCACGGTAATTTGAATGTCAATTTAATGAGAAAATTCAATTATTGGAAAATACGAGAATTGACCTGTCGATTAGAATGGGTCTTGCTGCATACCAGGTTTTCTGTTGAATATTTGATACGCATGTTGGTGGAACCGTCGGATGTTGTACAATTCGTACCATTCTCTGTATTGCGTTTGTAACTGTTTTTTTTTTCAATTCATTCAGCAATAAGACACTCGACTCTTGACTGGGAGAATTGAAGATTGCGAAACAAGAGAAAAGAGAATCAAGTTCCATCACTGGCAAATTGACCTTAACGAGGAGGGAGGGTAGAAAATTGTCGCTTTACGAGTGCAAACGTTGGCTGTGGATATCGGCGGTTTTCCCTTTTATTATTCCAATAAGTCTGACAAACACCAAGTTTATACAGCGAAACGTGTAATTTTGCGTTTGTTCTTATCCAGGTAGATGAGATAGATGAGGGTTTATGGAGTTTATTGAGCTTCTGAGAATGTGAGAATAAATGGGTAGTATGTGAATGAGGAGAGAGAGTGGACAGGTTTTTTTTACAGTTGCATTAATATGATGGATATCGCAGGTGGTTGAGAATGGTGGGGGAGGAAGGGGAAAGACCGGCACCGAATGGGAATCCAACTGTTGTCGTTTTGTACCGTCCCTCAAAGAGAGCTTGCCTCTTGTCAAAGCCGTACCTACTTAATATTTATTCTTCCTCATAAAACACGAATTTCGGTGCAATTAAAATTTCCCTGAATTTCACCGTGCCCACTAAATACTAGTGACTAATCGCAACTTTTTCCTTGAAAGAATTCAATCGTGAGTACACGTATCGAGGGTGAGTATTTGTTCTGGTGAAAATTAAACGTTGAAATTTCAGGAAAAGCCGAGTGAAAAGAAAAGTTTAGAAAGTTAGGAACGAGGCAACAATAGAAGGATGTTGAATTTCACGTAGATAAAAGTGTGTGGTTTTCCGTTTTTCTTTTATATCTTTCATGCGGTTTCAATGGAAAATTAGAATGCCAACTTTTCCCACGTCCAGTAGTTCATTAATTTGATATATTAGATTGAAACTGTGAGTGTGAGAAAAAAAATTGAGAGAGAGGGGGGCAATTGTTGCAGTTCGTTTTATTTCCGAGGTTTGGTTGGGTCCGGGGGGGGGGGGGGGGGGGGGGGGCAAAAGTGAAGTAAAGACTGAGTGGGGTCCCAAAAGTTCGAAAAATTACTGGTAGGGAGAGTGAGGAGGCAGATGTTGGGGTTTTGTACGGTCGAGGGCACATGGCGTCAGGACGAGTAGTTATTATGTGCCTCCTTGCGTGGGTATTCTAACGACAGATACGTTCTGTCGTACGATAGTTTTGTGGCGTTACGACGCTATACCATATTCCCAAATTTTTCAAATCGAAAAGAGAGAATTAAATAATTGCCCTTCATCTTCGGGATTTTTGTGAGTGCAGTGTGTGACACATGGAATAATAAAATTAAAGTACATTCTGGGAATTTCCCTTCATGTGGAATATGCCTGAAAGTACATGAGGAAGAAGATGAAGAGGCGACGGATGAGGCGAAAGAGAAATAAATTTAGAGAGTAGGAGTAATTATCATAGGAGTTGGAGTTGCAGCTGAAAAAAAAATTTGCGCAACAGAGGAATTCATGAAGAAATTACAAATGAGAATTCGAAGAAGTGCAATTAAGAGTCCAAAGATGGAAAGGATAATGAAACGACGTGTTACCAGTAGTGGTGGCATATCGAGTTTAAAAAGGTCACGGTCATTTCGTGTCTCGGTCAAATTAATATCAAAGTTCCGCAATCGCAATGAAGTGTTTGACTCAGTGAATTCAATCAGTGAGAGTATGCAGAGCTCCCAGGAGTATTTGTCGAGCATTGGTGAAAATATTGATTCAATGACGGGTGTTATTAGTGAAGATCTCACTCGTAAATTGACACTCTCTACCAATGACATTAGGAAAAAAGATAAATATGAAATGAGTAGTACATACAAATTTTATGGATTCGAGGATGATGAGAATGTTGGCGATAATAAACAGGCATGGATGTGCGATGGAGGGTATGAAAATCCCAGCTTTGCACTGGATAATTCCCTGGATTCATCACTAAAGAATTATCTATTTGTGCCAGCTATTGATACTGATGGTTCCAATTGTCCTGGTGTCGATGAAATTGTCAAAGATACGAAGCAAGTAATGTCACGAGAGAAACTGAAAATTGTCTGTGGTAATGGGAAGACAAATAAAAAAATGGATTGGCCCAGTGATGTGGTTCATCGGAATGATGATAGTGGAGATATATCGAATTCCTGGTTCAATACAAATTCCACAAACTTCAAGTGGAAATATCGAGAAACCAGCAGTATGTCCCTCCGTTGGATATTTTATTCCCTCTAAATTGCCTCTTTTTTCTAAAATTGTTGAATATTGAGCGGTATTCGATGGATACGTATTTTTTAAAACGGAGGACAAAAAGCTCTGTGGGGTATTCATAGTGAGTGAATATTTCACGCCCGTGTACGCACGTATCTCATTCTCCAATTCAAAAGCCGTTTCAGCATGTTCAATTCCCCTTCAATTTGACCTTTATGTTTTTCGAACTGGAGCTTGGGATGTGGGTATAGGTCAGTTTTCGTTTCACTCACTTTTAATCGAAAATTCACCAGTATTCTAAAGCATTGCTAAACATGCTCCGACAATTCGTATTATCGTACATTACATTACTCGAGATTGAATTTGCCATGGACGATTTCCCCACATAGCATTCTATTTTATTCTGTATTATACTTTCCACTTTAGTTATTTATTATTTTTATCTTTGGCTTTATCATTATTTGAATAATTTTTTTTATTTTTATTCGTTTAATTCTACTAGAGTTGCAAGCGCTTCAAAACATGGAGTTCCTGGAAGGATTTGGAAAGAAAAATAAAAACCAACATCATAATCAGACAAACCACTTGACAACAGGAACGATTAATCCCCTCGTGGCGCAACCCTCCCTCAACATCCATTTGCATGGTATTTTTTAAAATTATTTTTCTCTCATTTTATTATGCGTATACACATTTTTTAATCTATTTTTGTGTTAGTCTCAATCTCACAACTCAACGAAAAAACCTCATAAAGTAAACAGGTAATTCCCAAGAAAATGAGGGAGATGAAAATATCATAAACAAAGAGGGAGTGGAAAATAATCTGTATAAAATTTTCGCAAACAAGTTCATTCATATACATATATTCAATGTCTTTTCTTGCAGCTCTATTTACGGCTATCGAGCAGGGCCAGTTGGACAAAGCAAAAACGATATTGGAATCGGCGGATATCGACGTCAATTGGTATGTGAATTACCTTTTATTTATTATATCCTGTTTTCATATTCTACATCGAGTGCTATTGCTCTCCTTTCATTTTTTATTTAATTTATGTAGTTACAAATTCGGCACAACAATGGAATGAGTACAGCTAAAGGGTAGTTAGAAATTGGCAGAAAAAAAAAATAAAAATGAAGACACAATCCATAAGCTTATTTGTCAATTTAACTACAGGAGCCCCTATCGATTTTTCGAATTCCCCTCTTATCTGTACCACCACACCCATTCTATTCTTCCAATGTATTAACGAAAGTTTCACAATTTCTCATCCACATTTCTTTCTTTCTGACCGCAAGTGTTAACAGCGATGGCTTAACACCACTGGATGTGGCAGTTTTGGACAACAATAAATCACTCATAAAAATGCTCGTTGCATATGGCGCAAAGGAAGGAAATCAATGTAAGAGTGAATATCCTCTTTGAAAATTGAATAATAGTTTTTTGATTGCTGAGACTGAGTGATCCACTAATGATGTCTCCCCTCTTATGATATTTTCTTTGTTCCACCGTGGATAATTTGATTTGGCTAGTCAAATCTCCGGAGTGCCTCGGTAGTCACTTGGCATCACTACTGCTGTCAGCCGAGCACAGACTCAATGAAGTAGGTGGAACTGATGGGGCTTTGGGGACGAGTTCAACTTCATTTCTGGATGCTACGAGTGCTAGGGCGAGTTTCTCAACGGCGCACAATAATTTAACCGGATGCGGGGGCAATACCGAGGACAAACAAGTGGCCCTGTGGGAGAGAAGAGTTAGAACACTGAGAAAGATGCTGCTGGGATTCGACCAAGCTAGTTCGTACCAAACTTAATTTATTTATTCTACACGGATAAAAAATTCAATGAATTTTTGCTGTAGAAGTTCGGGAAAAATTACTATACTCATCAGTAATCGGGGTGCAAAGCACATGCACGAAAAAAAAGTCATGTCCTTAACCTTGATTTTTACCAAGTGAGATACAGGAAAACTGTATCATTGTGGAAGAAAAATTACTGTGCTTGTGTCATAAAATATCTTTATTGACTGAGGAAAAATTTAGCAGGTCCATATCAATTTTTCCATCGTGACAAGAAGAAAGTCCTTATCGACCGAATAAAAAGGATGCCTTTCCGCTCCAATTTTTAAATTGGCCGTAGAGAATGATTATTTACCTATGAAATAAAATCATTGAGTAATTAATTGTATCAATGGAGATGAAGGAAGGGGAATAGACACCAAAAGACATATATTATTTTTTGAAAAAGTAAAATTTATTTAATTTTTTTACAACCACTTCTTAATTATAAATTTTGCCACATAAACTCACTTAACTTCAAATGAATGATTTTCGATTAAACAATGAAGACCTGCTGAGATTTCAATGGGGGAAAACAACAGACGTAGATGAGTATTACGAAACATACAGCGAGAATGCAAATATACCATATATATAAAACAAACTGAAAATCAAAGAAAAAAAACCAATCGACGTCATCATGTAATTGGATCTGTACCTCATCATTTTCCGATTACAAACTAAGGGAATTCAATAGTTACCCAATTTGAATTGATTCTTCTCATAAACTAGCACTTTTCTATTTCACAAAATAGTTAAAAAAAATGTGTGGAAGAAGTAAAAGTCTAAGAGGTTTCACGGTATATGTTAAGCACTTGGCCCTTTAGGTAAAGGTAACAATCCTAAAAGTAAAATATCCTCTTTAATAAATTTATATTGCTAAATCATAGAATTGGTTAACAAAGTATGGTTAAGTTAAATGCAAACAGAATAACATATTGAACTCGGATAATCTCCTTTCTACATTCGGCAACGTCCGGAAGTAATCGGAGGGCATCGGCAATTATGTTATCCCAAGGCTGAGGATGTCCTGAATATTCATAGCACAGTAAAAATCTCGCAGTAGCAAACAGGCGTGTGACAACTTACACAGTACTGAATCATATTATGTCAATCGTTTTTTCTTTGAGTTCGCAGTAATGCATCTTAGCCTCAGAATTTGTACTGTGCTGCATAGGAAAATTCACTGATGAAAATCTAAAAAAATCTTCAATTTCCTGTAAATAAGAATGGTGTGCTTAGTTGTTCTTCGCCTCATCGATAAATTTCCTGATAAAAAAATTTTGCACTTCGATTCCCGTACCGAGTACAGTAATTTTTCTAAATTTTTTTTCTCAGTGTATTTTATTTGGTTTTTTTTACACTCTAAAACCAGAAAAAAAAACTGTTTTTTCAACTTCATCACGGGAATACCGTGGGTGAGATGAAAGAAAGAGATGAATATACAGCCACTACTTTTCAGAATTTTCCTCAAATCTCATGGGGATTAAGCGAGAAAAAAGAAACGAAGATAAATCATTTGGAGCTCCCAATGGTCTCTTGCACTCTTGGCTTTTGCAGAGGGGCAGTTTCTTTTCGTTAATAAAAAAAAGTGTCGCCTAAGATTTTTCCTCGCGGAAAATAGCGGTCTGGGAGACGGCTTAAATATACCCCTTGGACAGTGAAAATCCCTTGGCTTTACCAAAGTGCAATTATCATTAACAATTTAATCGTCTCCTCTTCAATGACTTTTCTCTGTGCGTTAATTAGCCCTCTTCATAAGATTATTCGGTTATAAAATAGTTGAATTCATCTCTTTATTTCACTGATCTCGAGGTTTTAATTAGTTTTAATCACTCATTGGTGGAAAACGTTCTCTATAGGGCCTCCAGATGCGCCATTTATGGCGAGCATTGATGTAATAGGGACAAAGTCGGTCTCAATACGTTTTCAAGAGACTGAAACACAGGACTCTTACGTATGCAGTAAATTTCGAGTGCAATGGAGTACGAAAGAAGACTTTTCGATTATCATTGGAGAGAGAGAAGTATTCGATATGAAACAACGTGAGTGCCGCATCGATGGACTCATTCAGGGCCAGAGATATTACTTCCGGGCTTGCGCGGGTAATCTCAAGGGATACAGTAGATTTATTATTTCGAGTCCATGCAGCGTTATACCGAGCAGTATGTATATTTCGATCCTAATTTAATTTACAGTCCAAAGATAGAAAGGAATAAGCTTAATTAAAATTACTTTTTTTGCTCTCGTTTTTCACGTCTTTTAAAATTTTTTTATTGGAAAAAGGTTGGCGTGACGTTGATGGAAAGCAGCCGAGGTTTGCCGGTCGTTTAGAACAATTGGATTCACTTTTCACAGACATAAAACGCCCTGAATATACCCAAGATACGCCAGCTCTACAGAGACGAAATCACAAGAAGAAAACAACAATAAAACAACTTTTCACAGCAACGAGTAAATTTCAGAAAAGCCTGAGACGCGGTGTTTATCTTGCCTGCGTACTCTATCATGAGGATAAAGTATTAGTGACGAATGAAGATTTCTTGCCGGTAATTGAAGTGGATGAAACCTATCCAAGCTGTATTCATAATGATTATCACTGGTTAATGAAGGTGGCGTGTACGTGGGATGATGTTAAAATCCTGAAACAGGACATGGAGAAGAGCCATAGCAGCTCAACAAATCATTTCCGCCTTAAATTATTACAGGCTGCGGCGCAGATGCAAACGGCACTTTGTATTCAAGATTTGGGCCAAGTATATCATAAGCCCATCAGAGATGTTCAGGGTACTCTCGTGTTATCGACAATTAACTTTATTAAATCACCTAAGTTAGTGTCGTTGCTTAATAGTAGATGGTTACCCTTAAGCAAAGTCAAAAGGAAGATAACAATTCATGAGGACAGTAATGTGGCCGACATTTTGATGGCAAGCATCAAGGACCAAATGACGTATCATCAGTTGAGTAGTGTTAAACTGAGTAAAGGTCTGTATCTCGGTTACTTGAAGATGCAGAGTAGCGTTGATCTGATACAAATTGTCGTACCATCAAAAGCTCCAAATTTTCTGCCGCACTGTAAAGTACGTGATAATCCACACGTATCAGCTGAAGAGTGGGAGTACTTGAAGAAAATAACCCGAATTCAGGCACGTTGTGATGATAAATCCAAGGATAAAGAGAGAGGCGAGGAGAAAGAGAATGATTATGATTACGATAATGATAGTGAATGGAGTAAGAATCAAGGTAACGAGCAGCAGAAACTTTTTGTCGATCTCGTATCAGCTACTGCGAGACGTTTGTTCTCGTATATGGAGGTGAACTCGGATGATTCATTAATTCACCGGCTTTATGACGCTGAGGTGATTGAACTCACTGATGAGGTATCATTTCTCATCGTTGTACCCCCTGCCGAAACGGCGTGCTCTGTACCAGGCACAAGGGAAATTCTTTTACAACGTGATGATCTTCTTTCATTACCTATTCAAATATTTGAAATGGTCCATTTAAATACTTATCAGAAAGATGTTGTAAATAGATATTGTCGGCTAAGCTGTATACTGGAGTTGGATACAGCCCAGGCACAACATAGTCATCGTGAGGCATTCAGTTCAATCGAAGTTAGCGTAGCCAAGGACAAATTGTCGAGACTTGAGCAACTCCAGACGCAAATGAATGCCATTTGGAAGGGTGCTAGGTGGTTAATTGATGTCATAACTTTTGCAAGGGCCCGTGGATCGTCACAGTACGCAGGTCTCATGACAAGTAATCCAAACTCGGCGCTAACATTATTGACCACGACGGCTGGTATTTCAATGCGTTATTTATTGAATATTGAGAGATGTCATAATAAAACAAATGGCTTGAAGAGAAGTTTATTGCAATTACCACCGCGCGATCTAAAACTGGTTAAATCAAGTCCAGGAAGGGGTAGTTGGCCGGGACCAAACATCTCAAATTCAGCGACGAATTTATTGACCACAGAATTTAGCAAGAGTGAACAGCAATTACCATGTGGGGGCCACACTACTGAGGGACAAGTTAACAATCAAACCGCTTTCATTCGTCATGAAGAGGCTCTAACACCGTCAATAATTGATGAAAGACATTCGCGAAAAGGCAGTGATACATCGAATTATTCAACTGTCTCTGAGCCAGTTCGGTCAAACCATCCCAGTTATCACACGTCAGCCTCTGCTCTGGCTATTAGGGATGGGGCTAACATCAAATTACTACCTCCATCAAAATCCGAGGACACTCTGTTGCTCAGCCAATACAGGCATATATCGAAGAGTTGTGAATCGACGCAATCGACTGTATCAATGACTGTGTCTGTATCGACAAGTCCTCAGCTCGTTAGTAAACCCATGTATGGCAATACATTGGCGGGATCAACGAATCAAGTTGGATTAGCCAATACAACGAGCTTATTGAGCGTCAATACAGCTACTAGTAATGCCAATAGCACCAATAGTTTAAACTCACTGAACGATGATTACAGTGGGGAGCAGAGTATGTCAATAGTGAGAATTAAAAGTAAGAGCTCAAAACCGAGTGCTAGTGTTGCATCGGTAGCAAGTTGCTCATTACCGAATTCCAATCAGAGTAATAATGTCGAAAATAAGGACCAAACGTCGATGGCCATGCCAGCACCTTTGCCCGGTATATTACAAGTGTATGCGGCTTATGAGACCGGTCTTGCAGCTGGTACAAGCCTAAAGCTACATGTTACACCGAGAACCACAGCAAGGGAAGTTGTCGATCTGGTTGTTAAGCAACTCAACATGGCTGTTGTCCTTAAGGGACAGCAAGGACCAATTTACGTGAATGAGGAGTTACCCAACTTCTGTTTGGTTGCGGTTATTGGTGCACGAGAGAGATGTTTGCGAGATGATTTCAAACCACTTCAATTGCAGAATCCATGGAAGAAGGGCAGATTGTATGTCAGGCTCAAGCAGGATGTACTCGCAGCCCTTGAACATAGCAGCAAACATACCGCTTACTTGTAGCCATTCCAATTGATTTCTACAATGTTCTTCAAGTCAATAATTGTACGACTGGAATTATTAGTTCAAATTTAGTGATGTATATTTTATCTCGTATTAATTTCATTGTTTAATTATTTATTAGGTGACTCGAGTTCACTATATTCATTTTATCATTTATGCGTCATTAGTATCCATTTTTATATTGTATATAAAGGGTAATATTAATATTCCTTGGTGAACTTACTAGCCACTACGATCTCGATTGATCATATTACGATATATTAAATTCTATATGACTGGATTGTCTAATATAACACTAGCAAAGAGATGATAAATCATAGACTGCTGTAGGATAAAAGTGAAGAACCTTCGATATATTTAATTCTAAGGAATTGAAAGTAAAAAATGATAATTGGAGAGAAAAAAGAAGAGAAATTTGAAAAAAATGTACAAAAAATAACTCAAGCATATTAACATTATTTTAAGGGCCACTGTTGTTGTTTATGATTTATTAACTGTTATTCAATTAACGGTTCTAGTAAAAAAAATACAAATTGTATTGTAAATATTCATTATTAAGATTTTATGTTTAGAACATTGATGAAGACGAACTTTGGTGTGCGTGATATATAATATTGTCAGCCATGATTTTGGGGTAACGGCTAACAATAAGAGATTATAGACGTCCATTGTGTGTTATTGATAGTCTAATATATGTCTATTTTCAAACTCATGATTATTATCAATGAATAATTAATCAATGTGATAAATCGATCGGGCAACGTCCGTAGTAAAAACGGGTGTTCACGAATTTAAACGTCCACCAATTTTAAATGCAACGATTAAGTTATAAATTTTAGAGGACAATGGGACTAGACATTAGCGACATGTTGAGGAAGTGAGTATGAGCAGAGAAAGCAAGAGGATATGACAGACCCCAAAATGTACCTTAATGGAAAAAAAGGAAAATCTGATGGTAGTATGATGTGAATTTTGCCCATTCCAAGTCAAATAACTTTCTAATGTTTTTATGTATGCAATCGGTATATATTTATCAATATAAAGAGATTCTATTGAAGAAAGAGGAACCCCAATTTCGGTCCAATTGAATGCAGTACGATTATATCGAAGAACAACAACTTTGAAATTCCATCACTTTTGAAAAGGCAGTTTTTCGTGTCTATCAGTGTTAAATATAAGATATTAAGTGGCAACAATGCAAAAACTTTAAATTAGAGCTCTATGGAATCACTAAAATGGAACGAAGCAAAGTAACACCAATAATTGCATCATCGAATTATAATTGGAGATGTAACAAAAATTTAATTAATCTATATTATATAATTACGAGAATCTAAATGAGATGATGTAGAGTCGGTAGAAATGATGATGAGAAAAATTGTAATTTATTTTAATTCCCGAAGAAAAGAGAAAAAAAATGTAAAACATGTTGAGATTGAATAAAACGTATACAACGTTTTTACGCATGTTGAAATTGACTGAGACCACTCATTAGATCTAAACCAGTAGTGAAAGAAAATATATATATCAACACTTGAAAAACCATTGGCAATGCGGCCCAACAGGCATCGCAGGTGGTATCACGTGGTATTCCTGACCTACAAGCCTGCTGACCCAGTTGGAGTTCTCTTATCCCCTCCCAAACCCCTTCTCTGTTCTCTTTACACTCACAAGCATTTACAATCGGTATAAACGCATCATCAAAGTTTGTCAAGTGCCAATTAATGGCAAATATTGATCCACTTAAGAATGTGAGAATATTCATCAAGAGATAGAATGGAATTGTGCTGCGAGAGATTCGAAAAAGAGAAATAGGCCGTTTACCGAGAGGTCTCATGGACCGTGGACGGATCAACGGATACTGGGCCAGGTCATACCACCAAAGCGAACCACCGTCAGCGTTTTATATGCTATTGGGACTGACGTTGGCCGATCAGTTGGCCCGATGAGACCAAACGTTGCTGTACTCACGGTGATTCCGTCCCAATTGACAAACAGTTTTAATTGAATTGCTGTAGTTAATTGAACAAAAAATGTCAGAGAGATGCAGATGGTGTCGAACTTGCGCAATGGATGGAAATGACGTTGGTTGTTTGGACATTGGTCCACCCACTTCAATCAATTCAAAGGGCATTCCAAGTGTCAATAATAATACTTGTGGGGTACCGAGCCAATCAACTGGAGAATCCGGGAATTATGGTTACAGTGGTACAACATCGTCCGGAAGGAAGGTGCAGATACGTGCCAAAGTGCTCTATGGCTCGGGCAAGGCTATTGCTAATCTCCAAGCTCGTGAACGAGCTGCCAAACATTAATCATCATGAGGTGAGTCCCTGTGCTATTAATGATCCCTCAAACTTTCGATAATACATGGATGATGAGGTTTTTCTTGTTTATCGTCCGAGTGTGATGAGAAACATTGAATTCGATTGAATAGATATTAGTGCTGAAGTATGAGGTATAGCGATGGTTAATGGTGACGGAGAAATATCGGGCCACCGACCCACCCAGAAAGGCCTGCAACACCCAGTGCTATCCCAATGGGCGAGAAGGAACGACGGTTCCTTCGACTCGGCCAACGGTAACAGTAAAAAAACGCAAATGAAGAGAGCAAAAAGGCCTCGAAGTATTGCCACAGGCGATATTCTGTATCCCAGTGTGAAGGAGGAGGACGAAGAGGCGAATAAGACCACTCTGCTCCATTGAATATGCGTTAGTTTGTCTCTCACGTTCATCGATTCCTCTCGAATAGGATAAATTATTGTTTTACCCCCTCACGTTGTTGAGTTCATTGAACGAATGCTTACTCACTATTGCTCGATATCATGCGGGATTTGAAGTGAGTTTTGTTTTTACGACATTAGGAGTTATGATAAACTTTTTGTTTCATTCAATCAATTTACTTGACGAAAATACCGTTAGTAACCGTTAGGATTTTATCCGTATAGACTTGATCCACAAGTAGTATTAGTATTCTTAGTATTTGTGTTGTGGATATATATGAACCAACGGTGGAATTGGAACAAACAAAATAATTGAAGGATTTATAGATCTCTTATCAGGATACTCTTGGCTGGCGGCGTCATCATCCAGTTGACTGCACAATCGGTTCAAGAGATAAAAAATTGTTCAGAAATATGGGCGAGAGGAAAGCAATCCAATTTAGACTTGGAGGATCGGCTGGAGGAGGATTTTTATTTAGCCAAGGAGTTCGGAATAAAGGCAATGCACCAACTTTACAATATTGAGGAGCCCAAGTTGTTTTCTCATGGTAATAATTCTAAAGTGGATAACGAGCCAATTGGTACTTCAATGTACTATTTTTTGCCGTTACTTTTGCAGGAGTTTTTTTAGCCGATGAGCATCCTGCACGGTATGTAGCTGCATTTAATCGTCAATCGGAGGAAGCGAAACGTTTGGCTAGAGTCGCATACGCTGCCCTCAAAGGCTCCGGAAAACTTGCGGAAAAGTATGCTAATCGGTGTACATAAGATGTAGAAGAATGAACAATGATTTTCAATTCTTAACGTGGTGAATAACTGTATTTTATAGGTATGCAAATTTGACGGATCCAGTAACGAGCCAACTCGTGCGAGAATTTGCCTCAACCTGGTCTTCCCGGGGGGCGGGATTTCCTGAACGCTGTCCAAGAAGCGATCAACCGACTTGTCCACCAGCGAGCCAAAAATATCGAACTGCCGATGGAAGTTGCAATAATCTGGAGCACCTGTGGTGGGGCTCGGCCATGTCTACAATGCAGAGGTATTATTAAGATTCTTCTTTTACAAGGGGAAAATTATCTTACGTACTAAAAAACGAAGGTTTATGAAGATTTTTAGATCCAGTTTATGGCGATGGAATTGAGTCCATAAGGAGATCACGAAGAACCGGACGACCACTGCCAAGTCCGCGCGATATTTCCGTTTTAATACATGAGGATAGGAATATTCCACTGGCTTCAGTCACGCACATGTTAATGCAGTGGGGACAGTTCGTAGATCATGATATCACTGGTGAATAATAAATATCATTTTTAAGGAGAAATTTGAAAAATTGGAAAATTAATAGTTAAATTATAGGTGTGATAGAGATGTAAAGTACATGGAAACTAAAACTTTGTGGTCTTCAACATCGAATACATCGATAAATTTTTGTCATAGTTTTGATTTTTCAATTTCACACATTACCGTGAAATTTTTGTTGGATAACTATTTTATAAAATTTCTCCTGGTGAGAATGCAAATAATATGTGAAAATCAGCGGAGACTGATTTTTAAAATGACTTCTTTATAATAAATAATGGGATATTACAGCTGCCGCACAGAGCCGAGGTTTCAACGGCACATTCCCCCAATGCTGTCGGAATCGCGGGGCTGAATTTCAGCCACCGGAATTCATGGTACTTGATCATTTATTCTCTGTCATGATATACTTTTAAGAATCTAATAATTATGATAATGCAATTTTAGCATCCTGATTGCCTCCCCATCATAGTTAATCCACAAGATCGATTCTTCGGAAAGCAGGGTGTCAGATGTTTGGAATTTGTGAGAAGTGGACCATCGCCGAGGGAGAATTGCGGCTTTGGCCCACGTGAGCAATTATCGCAGGTCACAAGCTTCATAGATGCATCGATGGTTTATAGCAATAATGTTGCCCACAGCGATAGCCTGCGTATCTTTCGAAATGGTAAATATACTCGTGTAATATCCTCACACGTCAAAAGAATAAAATAATTTCATTCTCTTCATACTCTTCATCTCTTCAAAATATAGAAGATGTTTTCACTAAAACATTTATCTACCAACTTGGTCAGATTATTTTTTGAAATTTCAGTAAGGGTCAGATTGCGGGAAATCAATTTTCTCCGTTTGAAATTTTAAACGGATAATACATGGGGATGAAATGAAGTCGTTGAAATAGAACTATCGATTTCATTCCAATAAATCATTTATACAGCTCTGGCGTTGCGGATGACTTTTCTTTGGGAAGTGAAAAGTCGAGTGAAAAATAACGAATTTTCATTTCCCCGAAGGTCTGCTGCAGTACGGAAAAATTCAGTCTCGCAAACCACTGCTACCAAAAGGTGAGCCAGATGATCTCTGCCGACGTGGTTCATTATCAACGAATTGCTTCAGAGCTGGCGATGCTCGTTTGAGTGAACAGCCAGCTCTAACATCACTACACGTAGTTTTTCTTCGGCTGCATAATAGAGTAGCTACAGAATTGGCTGCACTCAACTCCCACTGGAGTGACGAGAAACTGTTTCAAGAGAGTCGTAAAATTGTTGGTGCTCTGATGCAGCATGTTACATACAGGGAATATTTACCCATTGTTCTCGGTAGACTATTCAGCCATTTCATTTAAAATCTGTCACTTTAGTTCGCATGCTTTTAGATATGATCCATGAATCTGTGCATTTTTAAGGTCCAGAAGTGATGAAAATTTTCGACCTGGAATTACTGAGAGATGGATACTACAATGGATACGATTCAACGACCAATCCTAATATAGCCAATTCGTTCTCCGCTGCGGCATATCGATTTGGACACTCTTTAGTGCAGCCTAGTTTTGCTCGCTACGGTAGAGATCATCGTATGATATTCCAGAGTGAGTTATAAACTCTCATTTTTCCCAACTATGAAATACCTCTGAATTAATTCCTCGGCTATACTCTATCTGTAGGTCGATGTTACGAGTAATACATTTACGTAGAGCGTATTTTTAAATCAATTCTAACGTGACCAAATAAATTAACAATGATAGGGGATAAAACATAGAAAGATTAATGTTCATACTGTCAAGTACATTCATAACCATATATTTGTTTTGTGTGTCTCCATTCTACACGGGAATTGACATTTACTTGAATATTGACGAAGAAATGCGTATGACACGCTACTCCCGCATTATATACAGTTCGTCAACAAACTAGGTCATTCCTTCAATTCCCGGTATCTTTGTAGATACCCGAAAAAGCCAAATATACCCGGGAATGAATGTCTTCGATCTACGGGAACCAAGATGTTTCTTTCTGACTTTTTTTCTGACAGTCCAATTCATTCCGGAGAATCCATTTGAAAAATAGAAGCCTCAACCATTTTACCTAGACACACCATCAGACCAGAAAGGCCGATCAATTTGGTTTTCAGCACCTCAATATTTCACCGATTTCATGTGTGTCTTTCACAAAACACAAAAAATTACTTAATGTATTGTAAAAATACTAATTGAACCAGAGACAACTCACAATATAAACAGAAACAAACGCATCAAAACATTCCAATGTAATGCATCCAAAACAAACAATAAAACTCCCAGATCAAATAAACGGCTTTGGGAGAAAAAGAAAATATTGAATTGGAATATTGTGTTGAAATGATGCAGTGGAATACATATAGACGTGTCACCATTCCATTATCTTCTTCGGATGGGAAATTTGCATATTATATAGCCAAGATTGTAATTAAAGAAATTCATCTATTTTCGAATTTCATCCGCTCTTTTTCCGTAAAAGCAAACTTCCGAAACTGAGTAATCGGAGATATTTTAGGTTTGTGGGAGTGGTGAGGGATATCCCAGTACTTTTCATTATCTTATATTAATGAAATGATTCAATTATTCCAAACAAAATTCTTTGACTGTTAGTGAATGATAGGTGAATATCATCTGAAGTTAAATATAATGAATTTCGTCAAATTGTACTGTCCACATAGGAATTCGTTAAGTATGAATGAATGACCATTAGTTAGAACGAATGAACTTCAGACTTCTGTTCTAGTATATTTCAGGCTTTACGACATAAATTACCCGATATTATCCGATGAAAATGGAAAATTTCCAATAGCTTTTTTCTCTTGCGTTCCTTCTGGATATCGATAACCAATTAAGAAAACGACGAGAGTGAAATGTTTACCATGTCAATTGTTTTTGTTTTTTATGCACTTCTACTTCCTTATCTAACTAGCGGTGGGGTCATTAATGTTTCGGAATTTTGATCGGCATCTGCTAAACCAAATCGCTACACCTCGGAAACTGTTGGGCAAGTACTCTGAGAAATTCTACAGAACTGTATTTCGAAAATACCGTATAAACACGAACTCACATTTCAGTTTCAGTTCAAGATTTTTTTCAAGCCATTAACCTAGTTCTACACATCCATCCACCTACTAATATTTTCCCCAAAATAACCGCCAAATCGTCGTTTCGCGTAATATTTCCATGATGACAGAAGAGTCTATTCGAAAGAACAACGCCAATAAAATGTCAATATATCGGGGTTCAACGTTTGGTTATGATTTGTAAAGCTCTCACCTACACGTTTGAATATTTGGTCTCATGAGTTCCTACTAAACGATAATTATTGAATAAAAATCTTGACATGTCATGAACTACAGTACTTCCATTTTGTCTCTTAGATATTACAATTCACGAAGAATTCAGCAATCGTGTGGACCTGCAAAGTGTGGGCTCAGTAGATCGTATCCTCCTTGGCTTGGTGAATCAGCCATCTCAGAGACGTGATGAATTCATAACGGAGGAGTTGACCAATCATCTATTTCAAATACCGGGTTTTTCATTTGGAATGGACTTGGCCTCCATAAACATCCAGCGTGGTAGAGATCACGGTCTTGCTCCTTACATCGATTGGCGTCAACCCTGTGGTTTATCGTCAGTAAAGAACTGGAAAGATTTGGAACGCGTCACCTCAATATCAGCAGCACGCAGTTTCAGCAGAATTTATGAAACAATAGAGGACATTGACCTGTTCTCAGGGGGTTTGGCGGAGAAACCAGTTGTAGGTGGACTAGTCGGGCCAACATTTGCCTGTATCATAGCCCAACAATTCAGTAATCTCCGTAAAGGGGATAGATTCTGGTATGAAAATTCACACAGCCAGAACAGCTTCACCATTGCCCAATTGAAGGAAATTCGTCAGATTTCATTGGCGAAAATTTTGTGCAAAACTCTGGATAATATCGATACGATTCAACCGTTTGTTTTTCTCACAACCGACAATCTGCGAAACCGAAGGGTCTTATGTAAAGATGAAAGACTGGGTCAATTGAATCTCCACCCGTGGGCAGAGGGAAAACGTGAAAGGGGAAATAGTGCTCTGCAGTCCAACGCAGTTACGGAGGAATCAGTCAACATGCCATTCGGCCGGAAGGACAGAGCTGATCGGAATGAAGCCAAGATGTTTCCTTGGCAACGACCCAAGCCCGTGAGAACCAACGTCAATCAAAAGAACCGTATAATCGTTAAACGTCCATTTTTCTCCCAGGATAACGTCACAATCGTAGTCCAAAATCACGCTGTAAATTCTCCTGTATTCGTAACCGATGCCATTTATAATTCTCAGGTGCAAGATCTTCAACAGTTGCCCTCGAACCCATTATCACATTCACCGCAAATTAATTATCCTGGAAGCAATCCTTCACTAACACACGTGAACGATCAGACCAATTACCCATACCCGGAGGTGGCAAGTGGAGGATTTCCTGGTGGAGTTAACCCTCTCTACAGTCCAACCAATCCTCCCCACGGGGTTAATTCAGGTTATCAAACTGGAGGGGGTATATCATTAGGTGGCAGTAGCTTCGGGTATCACACGGCTCAGTCCCCGCCTGCTCCCAATACTCCTGGAAATTTCGAGGCAAGTGAAGGCCTGCAATCTTATGGAAATTTAGCACAACAACCACTGATAATTCCGAACTATCCCGCTGGAACAAAACCCTACGTCTCGTCTTACTCGGGCTATCCCCCTCAGCATGATAATTCTGAAGATCCAAATCCAAGAGAATCGACATCAACAAGCTCTACACATAGACCCCATTACTACAATATTCCTCAACTCCCATACCACAGCCATGGTTATCATCAATATCAAAGTCCGAATAACTGGCTAAAACCAATTTACCATCGAAACACCGAGGATACTCGCATTTCATCACACCCAACATTAATCTCCACCACTAATTATAACATGAGAGCCAACTCGAAAACCGTTCCTCATAAAGATTCTGAAGATATTAATTACGACGTTCCAAAGCCGTTTTTAAGTTTTTCAACGTCGAAGAGCGATAAAGAGACCCTCATTATTGCTGAAAAACATGTCAATAGTCCTTCTGACTTTATACCATTGATGAAAGACACTTACTCAAGTAGTAATGAGTTGCCAAGACCTTTGAGTCTAACAACATGAGTAATATAGCTTTAATTCACATCAATTATGGTAATGGATATACGTGTACTCCACTTTCATTTGATATCCTATTGTCCCAAGAAGAGAGGAGTCTAAGAATACTAGAAACAGATAGAGAAAAACAAAATAGAACCGAGAGAGATGAAATAGAAATTGGGTCAATGGAATATCGAATGCCATTCCCAGAACTCAGTGCTCACTAAATGCCTATTATGTTTCATAATGTTGTTCATTAATTTGAAATAAATGTATAATGTAATTCAATAAATTATTTTAATACCATACCGATGGTCCGATTTTTTGGGGTAAATCTGCAGAAATAAATACCAATATACCAAAGGACAATCGAGCTTAACTCCCACGCATGCTCACTCACGTCAAACTTATTCCCCTCTCCCGGTTCAGTTGGAGTGCAAAAAGCGCCCCACAGTGGCGACATATCAAGTTCCATTAAAATCATAACACAAAAGGACAAGAAGGCAAGAGAGAGAATTAATCGTCTCAGAGAGTTCACTGGCAAGTGCTCGATGAAAAGAGGAGGATGAAGTTGTTCGGCGATAGTGAAGTGAGGGGAGCAATGACGAGTAGCTGAGAAGAGGCCGAAGAGGCACACCAATATAATCATAAGTCTTTTTAGATAAATAATTGATGGTGAGGGTTAACCCCACTCTGCAGAATTCACCAGCCGTAAATACAGATAGAAACGAGAATAAAATACAGTTACATACATCGCGTGTGAGTGTGACATTAAGAAGCATACATGTGTTTGGTAGGGTAGGTAGGGGCTAGCAGGAAGTTGTGTGTTAGATTGGTCTTGTATTGGTATTAAAGTTGGTGTCTGGGCTTTTATCGCTGGCCCGTTGGGTTGACGGCAGTGCACGGCTGGTGACGGGGCGAACTGTTGTATTGTGGCTTGTGGCGCGTTTACGTGCGCCCGAGCCTCAAACACTCGTCAAAATGCCAATTATTAAAATCGCTATGAATTTTCAACACTCACGTTGTATCGTTTTGTTATTACTCTGTGGTGTCTTGTTGCCTAAAACCGTGTTAACTGAGGATGACTTAGCTACGAGAATGAGAGCTATCAGCATGGATTTGGATCGGCAATTACAGGAGATGATGGCATCCCAAGCTGTTGAATTTTCATTTGTTAATACAACTGGATTGCCGTACAATGCAACAACCAAGTTCAATCCCAAGGGCATGGGACAGCTGTACAATGTCACTAATATATTTATTGATATTGTACAGTCGAAGCAGGCATATCCGGAGGGTATGTGTTTTGACGCTTCACTTTTTTTTACGGTTTGATTATTTTTTGGAGGGTTATTTGAACATGGGACTTGTGTTATGGTTTATGGTTACGCCCTGAAACCCGTTTATTCCACCGCTAATGAACAATGACTATTTCTCCCCCATGGGAACTTAAATGAAAATGGCCGACGTGTCAGCATATGAATGGGTGGGTTACACTAATGTTGGTAAACAGTAGGGTGATATTGCCATTTAAAAAAAAATCATCGAGGCTTTTTATCCTGATTTGAGAAATTTCTTTGGAGATAAATTTTTTAGTGACTTTTCTTTGTGGTCTTTCTTTACTTTCTTGGAGACAATGTCAAGTGTTAGAAAGTCTTACGGTAGCATAAAAGTAATTGTCGGCATTTCAATTGATGTACTTCTTCAGAATTAGTATGTGACGAAATTTCAGGGGACTATAAATAATAAATAAATAAAACATAAATTGTTGGACATCTGATGACATATAATCTCATACGGAAGTTGTCGCTTATCTCTCACTATATATACGAGAAACGCTCCATTCAACTTTTGAGTGCATGACAATTTTTTTTATAGGAGTTTTTGTGGAGACAAAGGAGATTCAAAAATGAGGAGATAATATTTGATTGCAGGTATGATAACGGTAAACAGTGGACGTTTGGAGTTTGCTGATCCTGCCAAAGAGTGGAAAATTATTGTGACTCATTATGGAGGACTAGCAGGACTCGCTGTTGCCGGCCTCATACTTGCTGCAATACTGCCGTGTGTTGGATTATTTTTTTGCTGCTGCCGTTGTGCTGGACATTGTGGTGCAAGAAGTCAACCGTTTGATAAAAAACATGATCACTGCCGAAAAGTCTTTCTCAGCTTTATCCTCATCTGCGTTGCTACAATCATACTGTAATTGCCTTATCTATTATTTCTATCGAGTTATGTTTATCCAAAGATATTAACGTTTTTTTTTTTAAATTCAGTTAAATTTCAAAGAGAATGATAAAACAATAATCCCCTAGTAAATTACCTGAAAGCAATTTATGATAAACACTTAATCTGAAGTGGTGAGATATTTTCGCATCAGTTCCGAGTAATTTTTCTTCCGTCACTGTCTTGAGTAATTCGCTGTATTTTTGTAATAATGAAGAATCACTGTTTGAACATATTATATTAGATAAAACTAATCGGAATATGTCCATTTCTCCATACAGATTTGGCGTTGTATGTGCATTTGTCACTAATGAATACATGCAAGAAGGTACAGAAGATCTGCCGAGCCAAGCGAAAACAAGTTTACAGGATTTGGAATTGTATCTAACAACGACAAAGATGCAAATAAATACTCTCCTAAAGGAGAATTACAACGAACTCGAGATAACTCTAAATAAAATACTCCAGGCTAGCGGTAGAATAGTAATGGAAGAGCTTGCTATTTATTCCCATGCCGTCTCATTAACGAATTTGAATGACATTGTCTCTGGGTTGGATACAATAAGACAGGACTTGAGAATGATGAATCAAATAACCCAGGAGTTGAGAATGAATGCCAGTCAACTAGATATCGTAGTGAGGGGGGTGAAAAAAGATTTGCTGCACAGTTTAGCTGCATGTAAAACTCATGCGTGTGAGCAGGTATTGCAGGACTACAAAGTTAATCAATTGTCGGTGCAAGTGGAATTCGATAAGTACGTGGATCAATACTTCCCCAAGCTTCCAGATGTTACATTTGCTCTACGTAACATAACATCGTTAATGGAAGGCAATATTGTCTCCGAGGTTCGCCAGGGTAAGGAATCCTTCCTGAGGATTCAACGGGACATTCAACGTGCCGTCAACCAGACAATTCCAATCGTTAGTACAAGTATAAGGAAGGCTGGCCAATCATTATCAGAAACTGCAAGTAACATGACAAGTATAATTGACAGGATTAATCGAGATATAAAAAGAGTGTACATTCCTCACTTGAAATTAGCCCAGGACCACATAGATCAATACTCAATGTACAGATATTACGTGGGGCTCGGTGTGTCGGGAATTTTATTGACAGTTTTCATGTGCCTGACGTTTGGACTTTGCTGTGGAATTTGTGGAAAACGTCCAGATGGATATGGCGATGACTGCTGCAATAAAGGCTCAGGGGCAAGATTCCTGATGCTGGCTGTTTGGATAATATTTTTACTCACGAGTGCCCTCATGATTATCACCTCGGTGCATATGATAACAGGTGTTGTGGCACAGAGAGGTATATGTGAGCCATTGAAAAATCCTCGTGACAATCGCATGTTCCAATTGGCTGACGATTTGATACAAGTTAAAAGCTTACTCTATCCGAAGAATCCGGAGGCTGACATCAACATGAGCTGGATTCTCACTAAATGCCATGCCAATGAGACACTCTACAAAGTACTAAAATTGGAATATCTTATTGAACTGGATTCACTGAGAAGTTACGTTGAGCGTTACGCTATTAGCAGTACCATAGACGAGTTACGCAAAATGATTAATTTGAAACCGGGAATAGTTATCTTGACTGATAGTGCAACCGCTAAATTAAATGATTTGGCGCAGAGTGGATTGAGTGATATTAGATTTTATCAGTATGCTGAACTCTTAAAAGATAATATAACGAGTATTAATTTGGAACAACTTGGTAATAAGTTGAGGCAAGTGTCTGCTGAATTGCCAGCGGATCATGACGATATAAAGGATAGTTTGATTAAAAATGCTCACGACTTGGAGCATTATCATAAGGATTTAGTAATGCCAATGACGTTACTCAGCGAACAGCTCACTAAAAATGCCATGACGCTCGAGGAGCATATTAAGTTTAACCATAGCTCCATGTCTGAGGCTATTCTCAGCTTGGTACATGAGGTCATGAGTGCACAAAAATTTCTCAATAAAGATGGTCCGGAATACGTTAATTATCTTGCTACAAAGTTTGGCGAGACTTTTCTACGTCAAGTCAATGATTTCTTGGAACATCTAATTTTGAATTCGAGAGAAACAATTGGTAGATGTGGACCAGTGTCTAACGCTTATAATGCCACTATTGTGGCTGGGTGCAACAAAATTCTCGACCCCTTCGTGAGTTCTTATTCCATTATTTCTTATTTGCAAGTTGAAAAATTTCATAGACATAAATTTGAGGAAATCTGCTGATGAATTGAATGATTTTTTTCCATCTTTCAGAATGGATTTTGGGCTAGTGTCGGCTGGTGCCTAATTCTCTTTATCCCTACTATCGTTCTCTGCGTAAAACTCAGTGCTCTGTACCAAAAATCTGATCCATACCCAGGACCCCTTGTTGAATCGTGAGTACAAGTTCTGATTTGCCTACTCTACCTATTCTATTTTATTCGCCTGTTTTTATTCCTCGACGCAAAATTCTGTGGGAATTTTCTAGCATGAAAATCTATGCTCTTGTATTTGATTAAAAAATTCTACTGATTGGATAAAACAGAGGGTAAAACTATTTATCTACTATTTTTACATTTCTAATCACTAACACGATAAATTACAGAGAATATTTATATGACGCATATGCCGACAGGGATAACATGCCTCTAGCTCAGTAAGTACAATTTTTACGAATTACTCCGTGAGCCTTTGTTAATCCTCTGTCGGTGCTTTGACTCATTTCTTGAATTTTTCCACATTAATTGTAAGATCTCTGCTGAGAATTAACAGTTATCTACAAAGATTTATATATTTTTGCAGTGTTCACGATAAGAAACATAATGCACATAGCAGACATCATCCTTCTGCTTATGTGGAAAGTTATGATGGCCCAGCAGCTGCTGCAGGGGTCTACAGTGGGAGAGAAAGAGTTGCTGAGGCTCATCAAGGTTCATCTCACCATGACTCCAGATATTCTGATCTTGCACCGAAGTAAGTTGAAAAGTTTATATTCAGTATAAAAATTTCAGGCAGAATGATCATCAAGACTCGACTATTTTCTTCGATTGCAAGCCCGACGACAAATCGCAATTATTCTAGAAGATGGTAAAGAAATAGACGAATAATAAGAATGAACGGAAATGAAATGAGTTATTGAGAATAAGTAAATAAAAAAGCATTTTAAATTTCCATTGCAGTTTCGCCCGTTCATGGCAACGCCATGATCGTGTTGCGACCTCAAAACCTGAAAGTCCAAATAAAGTCTATAGTATCCCGCTAGAGTCGCAGTAAGTTTAATAAACCGGTTAAAATTGGTCGCTTTTGTAATGCGTTTGGAGCTTAATATTTATGTTCACTTAATCGTTCATTTTCCATTGCCCAAAAGAATCAAATACTCATTTAATGTTTAATTTCATATTTTTTCTAGTCTCTAAACATAACACATAATAACAATTGTTATAATGGTGATATATTCTGGATATATAGATAGATATATATATTATATATTAAATATTTAACACAGTAAATGCGCAGGGTTCCCACTCATTAAGTTTATCTTTGTGTTGTGGCTTTTTTTGACATAGTTCCTTGTCTTTTTATTATTTGAAGAGAAAAAGATAAAATGGCTAAGGAGAATGTTGTAGTCAGACCGACACTTGGTCACGAGCTTTTTTCCCCATTATTTACAGGTGAGTGGGAACCTTGCTTGAGGACACCCTTACCACCTCCAAATACACCCAATGCACACACGTAAGTCGTAAGAGTCAATCATATGTGAAACAAATGTTTTTTTTTTTTTGCAAAGTCCACTTGTCGGGCAATTTTCGATCAATACTTTGATGTTTTGTCCAAACGTATTTTAGCGATCACAATAAGTCATCACAATCATAAGAGTTATCAATTTTTCTATTGTTTACTTTTGTGTTTCCCAGTATTTTGATGATAACAATGTGATATGTAGTCTCCAAAGAAATAAGTAAATATCTGAAATAATGACGTCCTGCGTACAGTAAATGGCTCATTTTCGTTTATCTTATTTTATACTTTAACTATTGGTTGTTATGTAGGTGAGTGTTTTATTTAGATGCGCAATTTTGTTATTGTAGAAATTGGGATTTTCCAAATGGCGGGCCACCAAGGTATCAGCCGCCGGCTGGTGCTCCACCATTAAGCACTGAATATGAACGTCCACCTCCTTATTACTATCCAGGCCCTGGGTATGTAGATTTGTGTGCATCAATCAATGTAAAACTCAACAAACTTAATTTCGCGTTGAAATGGTAAAATTAAATACATCGATTTATCATGGAGAATATTTTTTTCCGAAAAAAAAAACCATGAAAGTATCACTATATAATATTCATCGTCTTACCATTTCATAGCAGAATTTTGCATCCCCATTCTAATTTATGAATTATTTTTTTGTCTTAAAGGGATAGGAATTAGGAAACAAGTGCCGTGGCATACGCAAAATATGCATTTAGTAGCGCACCGAGTTACAGCCTGACTCAGAGTTACAAACGATCAAACAAAAAGAAACCGATGAAATTATCAAACAAAAGGGACTACGTTTGAAGATGTTTGTTTGGTTTCCTTGAAGAATCTGGTGTGCCACGGGCCGCTTCGTATCTACAAAAATAATCAACATAACAGTTATTTTACAAATGTTGAAGGTACATTACACAAGAGACTGAAGTTATGCGACATAACCGAGTGTGAATAATTTGACTTGAGTGACCAATTTGCTGCGAATTTTCGTGCTACTTCGATTCACGTAATTATTGAATGCTCATCGGCAATGTCAAGTTTTTTTGTGGCAATTTGAGTAATATCTCGGTTTATTCTAGATGCCGTAATTATTATTTTGTCATATCCCGTGTCATTTTTCTTTGTGTACAAATCTGTGCGAAAGAATATCGTTTTTTCGCTCAACATTCTTCGAATAATTGGCAATTAATGAGTGAAGTAATTGAAAACCCTCTGACAATGATTCACATCAATTTATCTGATGTATTTATAACTTTTTTTTACAACGCATTTGACTACATACCGAGTTGTCAAGTATTTGGTATGCATTAAAATGATGCATCTTTTGAGATGTGATATTTAAATAATAATATTAGTTGATTAATTAATAATACTGGAAAATTTACGTCAGTGTGACGCCAAAACCAATATGCCAAATGAACAATACTCAACAAGTGTTCAATGAGAGGCATGAGACTACTGTCTCCACTAAAACGTCTTAATTTGTATTGTTTTTTTATTAGTAAAATTCTGATATCAATGGCGAATTACCCACAGATTAATCGTAGTTTGGTTGTGCCACTGCTTTAAGTTTATTTGCTGTTATCGGGCTCAAGTTGTCAGTTCTTTTCCTATCCGGAATGAAAATTTGAAGGGACCGACGACTTGTGAACGACGTGACGTTTCATTTGTCAATTTAAATAAATTCGCTAACGATTAAATTCTAAAAATCTAAGTATGAAAAAAAAATGAAAAAAATTTTAATGTGATGATTAATTGATCTTTCTGAAACTGATAAACTTTCATGCTCATTTTCGAACAAAATATTATTATAAGTATGCTATTATACATGAATTGAATAAAAAAAACTCTATATACATAAACATGTATATTAAAATCATTATTTACGATACGACCGACGGAACAATACTAGTTACGCCGGGTAATTCAAAGGTCCCGGTCACAAACACAAGTGGAGAATGATGTGGATCTTTCACCCAATCAATCCACTCTGATCTGCCTCCCACTGATCTCTAACTGTTATATCAATATCAGCTTGAATCTATACCGAGACGAATGTAATTAAACTATTAATCGCAGAGGAAAATTTCTTCCCAAGAAGAGAATAGAAAAAATTACGGAATGTAGAATGTTCGTGGTGCTATTTTTTATACGTGCACTTTCTGCTAAATTTCATATAAATATTACAAAAAAAAAAATAGAGAACGTGTCTCTGTAGGTAAATTTCTCTAATGCCTGTTATCTTGCAGGAAATTCATCCTTGGGAATGCTAAACCAAGTATTTCAATATAACATGTGTCATTCTTCTGTCCGCGATGTAATATACATAACGTTCACAGAATTTACGAAATCCAGCTCATTCAAAGCTCAGCTGGAAAAAAAAGAAACCGACAGAATAACGTGTTTAACTACTGATTCCTAGTAATAAACTAAAAGGAGGTGAAATGGAGTCTCTATGTACCTATTAAAATCGGGGGAAAATTTGTTCAATGAAAATAGTATATTTCTTACTTCATTTCCGAGATGTCACGAATAGTTGAGGTGAAATTGCGATTCCATATTGCCCCATTTTCTTCTGCTGCATTTCTGGACCGATAATATTTCATGAAAGATCAGAGTGTGTTATTTAGTTCAACTTTTCACTTGGACAAAAGCTTGAAATGTTTTTTGTATTGCCATTATAGATAGGTACATCTGCAACGAAGAAAGGAAACCGAAAACAGATCAAATGGTATTTTTCATTCCGTCTTGAACCCCAATCCAGTATCTTGAAATATCATTGGTAAAGAAATGTGCCATGACTTTACAAGTTTAAGGAAATTCAAAATTCTGTTAATCGATGTATATAATAGACTAACAAGAATTTTTGAATCTGTAGTGGTTAATGAATTTCTAGTTGCATAATAAACTTTAAGCGAATCAAAAAACAAAAAATTATAAAAAGTATGTTTTGCATTAAAAATTTTGCGCGTTTCATAGTGAAATCCTTTTCATAATTTGAAGTTCAATTACTTGTGTAAAACACAAGTATTAATGATACTAATTATGTGATGTGTATTACATAGGATAGGACGGCATGGTGTCATTGAATTTACTAACTGTACTTGTTAAAAGTAATAAACATTTTATCATATAAAAAATTTAACATACTCTACTTGTTTGGAAAATAACTCTTGAGATGTGTTCAAATTAATTGCCCAGTCATTTATCGATAATTAAAATTGACCAGACACAAAATTTGGTTTGATTACCTCAATTTCAATGACATATTGTTGCATTCTTACACCCCTCAAGCACGTCTCAAAATTTACAAGGGGGTCCCTGCGGCCCCTGGTGACAACAATTCTTTTAGTTTTTTCCATTTTTTCTGTCTCCGAAAGACCAGTGTATTTTCCACTGCCTATAAATATCGCCTCCGCGTGGGCTCTACATCCGTCAACCTAAATATGCACATTGTTAGTTCTCGTTCGTTTATAAAAATCGTCGATTCAACCCCGTCGAGCCTCTCAGTACGGCCGACACTCCCTTTTTCTTCAAATTCCAGGTAACTCCAGGTGTTTGCAACCACTTATTACTAATTTTTATCAAATCTTGACGAAAAATTGCATGACTGATAGACCAGTTGAAGCGTCTCTATCGTGGGGAAGCGTTTGGGAGCTGAAAAGCTCCGTTGGTCTACCCGAAATAACCGAGAGCCAGTTGGTCTACTCCCTCTCTCATTCGTAAACCAAATTTCTTGATTCTCTTTAGAAAACCAAGAGTTCCACGTAGACCACTATTTTCCGACATTGTTTTTTAATTCGCGTAGATCGTAACCACTGCCCATCTCCCCTAAACCGCCTCTCTACGGCCGGCTAAACGCGTGTTTGACCATTTAAAAATGAAAAAATAAAAAGAGAGACATTATTGGAAATCGAAAGAGTAAAGTGAGAGAGAGAGGGAGAGGGAGGAAAAAAGAGATTGCCGAGTGGGAGAGGTTTTGGTGGGGTTTACCAAAGTGGAATTACAAAAGGTGTTACGAAAGCCTCCAGTGCTCCCAGGGGTGTGTTTAAATGCAAAGTTATGTGCAGAATTTAGTTTCCCCCAGTGTAACCATTCCGGACCAACGAGAGCAAAAAAAATATTGAAAACGTGTGTTTCCACTGCAAATCAGATTTTCCATTTTCTTCATATTCCCTTATCATTACTTCCCTCTAATTACCCGGGAGTTGGTCGATGGTTGAGAATTGACGGCTCTTATTGAGCAAGATGAAAGTACAAGTCACTTAGGATCTCTGAGGCACAGACCAGCCACCACGGAAGTGCCTAAAATAAACTTATTTCAACTGCCGTCGTGATTCACTTGGTTTCGTTGATATATACTCAACAACATCTCTTACTCCACTAATCCAAATTTTACATCAGCCAATAATTAATTCGACCACTATTCTCCCGGGCATCTAGGCAATCAATAAAATAATTGGAGTAGAAAATTTAAATAATTTGACTGGAAAAAAAAATTATTAAAAAAATTGAATTGTTTCAATCTCCCCTGATTGAATTCATCGTTGAGACTCTACCTCATTGGATTCAATTGCGTTGGATTCAAAACACAGAATAAAGAGGAAATATTGGAGCCTAGAATCGTTGGACGGTGCTGTAACAAAATAGAAGCCCGATAGGTTTATGTTGAGACTGAGAGCTAAAATATTACTCCAGTCTTAATCTTGAGCGAGTAAATAGCATAAAAAGAGTAAGGAAACAATCGGGAAAGGAAGTGAGCCTTACGCCTGCGCAACAGGGAAATAGAAGGGGTTGTTGAATTCCGGAGGAGTTGAATTCTCCAGCGGTAACAACCCCCGTAGTCTCGATAGAATTGCGTATCCAGTGGGTGTTTGAACCTCGACGGCTACGAGTCGCTATCCAATCGCGATAACAACCATAAACATGCAAAGAAAAGGCTGGTTCACGTGACTCCTAGCCCCCCTCCCTCATTCCTCCCTTATTTTCCAATTATTTTCATCGTTTCTTCATTAATTTGTACATTAACCGTGAATTGGAGTGTGCGAATTATTTCACTGGGGAAATAGCGGTATCTGACACGCACGTCGCGGTACACGAGGTCCGAGGATGGCCGACAGCGAGGGTGGATCCGAACAGGATGACGTATCATTCCTTCGTACGGTGAGTATAAAATATGCCAATTCTGTATTCTTCCATTATATATATTTCCATTCATCGCTCTTTTCTCTCTTGAGCAATATTGCCATTGGGAATAATTTCCCAACCAATGTGTATGTTACTTTTGCCATTGGATGAGTTTTGCGAAAATGGTGTAGAATGTTTGGATATTTAATAGTAATCAGCGGTGTACAGTAACTGACTGGTCGGTAATCCGTGGAAATAACGGAGATTAGATTTATTTCAATGTTTCAATGTTTCAATTTTTAATTCAACCGAACCGGAATTAAACCCTCGATATATCAGGATTGAGTGGTGCATTTATTCTGAATACAATTCGAAAACTATTATACCGAATGAACAGTTTGGCGGAATTAATTGACCCAACCTCCACTCAAATTCACCTGTTAATAATAGCGATAAAAGCAAATATGTTCTATTCATCTAACGAGTGTAAATATAAAATTCTGATCTTTAATTCTCATTATTTTACAAATATTGAGAACTGCAAAATAAATAATAAATTGAATTGAATTGAGTGTAGCAATTTTCCATGGTTTAGGGAATAAAAAGGTAATTAATGGCATTTACATAATTAATTATTTATTAACCCTTATTGTATGTAGATTGAAATAGTTTTTGCGTCTAGAGAGCTGGAAATAGAGTCCATTCATCAGATTCCACCACTTGCCTACCAAATTGCTCTCTCTCTCTTTTTGTTCAAACGAATATTTCATGACAAATGAAGCCCTTCATCATCCCTCTGACCCTGACCGCACCGACCGCGTTACATTTCTTTTATTTTTCACATTTTTCCAAGGCTTTGAGAGGGTTTGCATGTACACACGCACGATCGACTGCGATCGCAACATTATTGTACCATCGCTCTTTATCTCCATTATAATAATTTTTCATCCCTATCTGATAGTAACGGAGAGAACCCTTTAGATTTTATTTTCACACGGTTTTATTTTTCTTGAATAGCCTAGGCACATCAGTACACATGGTCACTCTCCCTCTCGTTTCATTCTATAACCGCACCTCACCCCTTATCGTATTGGTGCGAAATTATCGAGCTGATTAAGCCAAGATATGGAGCTAATGGAAGAGAAGGGAGGGTAAGCACAGGCCGTTGCTCATCTGGGGCCGATAAATCACTTTTTATAGATCACAAAGGACTGGGCTACGTCTGGCAAGCAGCTACTCACCACCTTCCACCGGTTTCACCGATTTTTTCACACGTGATGAATTATATCCTTGGAGGTTTTTCAATGTTGAGTCCATTGGATTCATTTTTTTTTCATTGTACAGCACATCGCGAAATACTTCACATAAATTTTCGTTGAGAAATGCCTCGATCCCCTTCAAAAATTTCATTATGCCGAAATAATTGAAATGATCGTACACGGTGTAGCTCAATATTGAAAATACACAATAATTTATTCCGTACACGTAATTTATTCCATAATTCAATTGTATATGTTAATATTAATTTCAATGCTCAAGTTATATTAACCACGGGGAAATTATCGTAGGTGATATCAGCAAAAGCTCATCGTAACTTTACTGCAGTAATAACTTGGTCTCTCATTCTTTTTCATTATGCAGGTACCTCTATTGGAGTTTCCCACCTGAAACAGGAATTCCCATGGGCATTTACAAAGAGATAAAGGTCATTTTAATCCATTCACTACGGTATTCTAATGAATCAGTGGTGAGGGAATGAAATTCATAGACCATTGTTTAATTTAAACATCGAATAAATTGACAAACATCACGACCAATCAATTTGATAAATGATTGAAAATTATTCAAAGAAAAATTTAGGCCGTAATTGTATTACCTAATCAGTGGCGGTTTATATTTACATTCGTTCTACTGAAATGCATTGTGACAACTTTTAGTGATTAAGAAACTTGATTATCCCTGTAATAAATATTCTGGCAATATTATAATAATAATTCACATGACCCCAATATAGTCGGGTGACAAAAATGCAATTCAACTCAGCTCAACAGCTTAGTTTAACTTTATTTATCCATTTTAACTCACCTAGCAACCTAGCAACCGCCTCGCGATCTTTTTCGTCCTCTTCTCTGTCTCTTAGCACTTTCTTGCTTGGCTCTCTTTATATAACATGATTTTTCGCTTTCTGACATACCGCACCATTTTTTACCTGCCTCACGAGCTACCTCAGTCACTCGTTTCGAGGGATTTTTGAAATACTCCGTGAGGTAAAAAATGATAAATGGATTGACAGACGGTGGTATTTTTCTTCGTCTAACTGTTCTCGATTTTTTCTCAGGGTTACAGTCGCAGGATCGCGAAGACTTTGATTTTTTTTCGGCATTTTTATCGGGCTCTTGTTTCTTGGGTTGGTAGGTAGCAGGTGAGGAATTTCTCGAGAAAAATGATTCCGTCTCTCCACTTCCCGGCCCCTCGTCGATATTTTCACTGTGAATTTAACATCAACGATTCATTTGATTTTTCACATTTTTCAGTTTTAACATAACTTAAGAACTGGTTCGTTTCATGAAATATCTAGATATAGAAACATCATTAATTTTTTATATTGATTTATTTGATCTAATGCAATTGATCTGGAATTTTATTCTGACACTTCAACGACGGTATCAAGTTTTTGTTTTTGTCGCCGGTGTCTAGTGTGTTGGAATATGCTCTTGATCAATCGGACGCATTGGCGCAGCTCCAGGAGTTTATATAGTTGCCTTGGGGAGGAACGTTGCTGCAAGCTCTACAGCAGTTGATTGATCGATTCTATCGGAATGCTCTTTTGGCTTGACCTTGGCAGTTATTTTCAATACAATCGGATCAATGCTCGGATCAAACTATCCCATCAACCTCAATTACCTGTTTTCACTCTGTCACCTATATATTACAATAATTTTCATTACCCATTCTATCCTAGAAATTGTACCAGCTAATTGCATTTTCGAACTAAATATCTGTTTAATATCTCTTGGCAAAATTCATTTCGATCAATCTTCTTTAAATGGTTCTGATGGGTTATTTCCTTCGGAATTCAAATATCCCATGAATGGCTCATCTAATTAGGTGTGACAAGGGGGTGCGGGTTGCGTCCGTTGGAATTGAGTCAATAACTGTAGGTTAGTGCATTTCTCAAGAAGTCAATTAAAGTAACTCTTTTTGCAATTGATCATTGAGCCTATCGTTTATCCCCGCAATTACTCACCTGTAGTCTCGTCCGTTGCTTTCGTAATCATTCATCTCTGCCACTTGTTAATTTCAACGACAAAATATTCGAAATGTGAACGGGTATACTTGAAAATTTACGGTTAAAACCGAAAACCATGAACTTTGCTTTTAATTGATACATTTTGAAACAAACGACATCTTCAGGATATTCAAGTTTTACAGTTTCTAACATTTTTTCGGATGTTATTTTAATTTCTTTTGCAACCACGAGAGAAACCAAAATCAAAATCATTGAAACCTTTTTTTTTTATTTTCTCGGGTAAGATAGAAGGGAATGGTAGAGGTAATTGTAAAACCGTTTAGGCTTATCATTCCTGGTGAAAATATCGTGAAAATGGAATTGTCGATCGACGTCTTCCTTATCCCTCGAGTATAGTCCAGTGAAAAGTACATAATGTGAATCAATGTGAGCACGCGAGATAGTAATTCATGTGAAAAATAGGTCAATGCTCTCGGAATAACCCTCGACGATTACGAGACTATCTCTTCGTTTTCTATAGCTTCTTCCCTTTTGAAAGCTTCCACATTTCACGTTGAGTTTACTGCCACATTACTGACATTGAGAAAAATATTCTCGAGAGATCGTTATACTTTTTAAAATTCCAGTGTATAAAGTTTAAATTAAAAAAAAAAATCACGCCTAAAGGTGTTTATACTCTTTCTGTACAAGTTCACGTTTTATTCATTTTATTTTTTGCATTTTGCCATTATTTAATGGCTTACGAGATTTCACGGAGGTACAGACATTTTCCTGCACTTGTATAACTAAACTAAACTTTTAAAAATAATCACAAGACTAGTAAAAAAAAATTAAATAGTCACAAACGTTTTCCCATCGATCTTATCGATAATTTTCCAGAAAGATGAGAAAAAAAAAGTGACTTTCGACTAGGAGAGTGGGCGTTGGAGTGAGGGGTTGATTGGTTTGGGATGCAATATCTTATATTTGAGAAAAATGCAATAAAACCTGTATTTTAGGATATCACATATGCATCTCCTCTGGACCGTGTGATCGTCCTTGACCTACGACCTGGGTTAACAGCGGAAGTTGGTGTTGCGCGCGCCATTTGCTCAGACTGTTTGCAATGAGTTCATGATTCATGCTTTCGCGCCACTAACTCAAGGGCTTTCTTCATTCATTCAATTATTTAGCGACTCGTTTCACCACCTTGTTGCCTCTACATGCGCTAGGTTGATTAAAAGTTTACTTTCGTATGCCCCACCCTTAATTATGCAGCCCATTGGTTAAAGAGATTAAATTTGCCACGCAAACACTCCACAGTCATTTCAAAAAATTTTTTTTTTATGCACTCTGTGAAACTTCCCTCCTATTAACCGTTTTATTCATCTTTTTTCTGTGCGTATTTTGAAGTTTCGTGAATCTCTGGCTTTTTTGATGAATATCTGTGAGCACTTGTAAATAGGGGAATAAGCAACGAGGTAACAATTATTTTGTCGAGGTAATCCATTAGAATCCCGGGTAAACATCAACAGTCCCACGCCTCTTCGATGAATTCCCGAAGTTCGTTTTGGCAGCCAAATTTGCTTTGGCAGACATCCTGAGAATGAATGGTACACCTTGTATTCTGATTCGACTCATATTTTTGTGATTTCGTAACCGATATCTCAGCTAGAACAAACTAAATATCTCTACCATTGTTCTATTTTTCATTAGAGAATTTCGTTGGGAGCCGCAATAACTTATTTTTCAAGATCTTAGAGAAATAATTTTCATATAATAATTTCATATGGTTTTCGTATAATATTAACTGTAAATTTATCTCCGTGCGGTGATGCGAAGCATTGCATTTATTGCAATGAACGTTACAATAGAATGGAGCTGAATTTTCCGGAGAATATAAAAATTTTATGGTAAATTGCGCAGAATATACATCAACTCGTAATTCTATGGTATTGTAGCACAATTCTGTTGAGTGCCGAGATACATGAGTAGCTCCTCTTAATGGTCTATAGAAATTAGAAATTTCATTCATAGAAGCTATGAATCTTTGCTGTCGCTCATAAAATTCAGGGATAGAGTCATGAGATTCCAAGGGGATCTCCTTTGCTGACTAACTCAATATATGAATATTCAATATCGGCTCGGAAATGCTGTTCTATTAACGGGTTATCTTCAATGAAACCTGAAGAGATTAAGTTGGACTGCAATCGTAATTTCCCGTGACAACTCACGGATAGGAATTTATAAAAGCAAATAGTGACATGATAAGAACTAGATCTGAGAAGACTTACAGCTTGCTCAGACAATATCTTCAGAGGTTCATAATGTTGAAGAAGTAATTTATTATGTGTAATTTATTCATAATGAAATTGTTCATGGTCTCCAGAATAGGGGAAAACAGACAATATTCACAAAATAATGTTGGGATATTGTGGCTTTTACCTGATATTCTCCACTCAGTTCTCTTATATTAAAAAAAAATTGAATTTACAGGAGGATATGGTATGCTTGTCCTGCACAGCCACAGGAGAAAGAGTATGCCTCGCTGCTGAGGGTTTTGGTAATCGTCACTGTTTCTTGGAGAATATAGCCGATAAGGTGAGCAATTGAAATTGCAGATTTGAGACCGGCATGTACTAAAGTACGCAATTTACCAGCCAACATCATGGGGAAAAATAATACATTTAACACTCAATAGCAATATAGAATCAAAATGGACAGTCATTTGTTACTCATTGTAAAGTGCATATTTTTCATTATTTTTCTATTAACGGAAGATCCGTTGGAATGAATATCTCGATTTGCCACTCTTCAACAATGTCTCCTCTTATTCAGCGATATTTATATTCATATATTTAAAGCCGCCGGTTGGTTTCCTCAAAGTCATTTGAAAGCTCAATTTGGGAATAACTTCTACTAACACGATAAAATTCAAGCCAAAGATTAGTAGCTTAGTAGATTAGTAATGATGTATACTAGAATAGTATAGCCTCAAATAACAAACCTATTTTGAATTTTCAGAATATACCTCCCGACCTTTCACAATGTGTCTTCGTGATAGAGCAGGCCCTGTCAGTACGTGCCCTCCAGGAGTTGGTGACGGCAGCTGGTTCCGAGACGGTAACGTAAACCAATAAAACACCGGATTCCCTAATTGCACTATATTTCTCCCGAAAACGTGAATAAACAAAGAAACAATTTACAAGAATAGATTTTTTTACTTTTTTCTGTGTACGCAGTCTGTGTCTGAGGCTTCGGGATGTGGCCATTTTTCATTGAATTGTACATACAGTTTAAAAATCCATAATCATTGCATTGAGTCTATCATTAATTCTGCATTGAAACAGAAAATTATAAATAGGTGAGCTACCTAAAAAGGTAATTACCCAGAAAAATATTATTTCAGTAAATTTTTCAACTGAAGGCACTATTGTATGGAGCTGATAGCACATCACTATTTCAATCCAGAATTAATATTAAAAGCCCACAAGAATGAGGAGACAATTTTTTTATTTCCAATCGATCAGATCGACTACGTGATCGGCTATTAGTAAATGGAAATAATATTGGATAAAGAAATAGAGAATGAAATACCTAGTTGAATCAATGAAATAGCAATTGAGAAAATGCTCTCCTCGTTCTATGCCCAAAATCAATTGAAAAATGCATGTTGTCCAATTGCGATAAAAAAGAGGAGCAGTGAAATTACAAGACAGTTCAAAATGCATCCGCGTGTTGCATCCACCCCTCCAAACTATCGCATGTGTCAATGTCACCCTTGAATAGGTCAATGAGACGCACACAAATGTTGACAATCCCTGATAGGTCACTGCTAAATACCTCGCCACATGAAAAAATATCAAAGGAAAATTTACAAAAGAGAATTTTACTCATCAATCATCACTCACATAATTACTTTACAAAATAGAAACTATTTTCATCTGTCAGTGATTCATCTCGTTCTGTGTTTTTTTCATTTCCAGCAACAAGATACCCTAGTAAGTACTTCGTCTTAAGCATGCCTTATAAATTTCCTTAATTAATAAAACGTAGAGCTAATGTTTTTCCCTATACCCTGGCTTACTTTGATTCCATTATTCACGCAAGGCACACAAATATATTCCCACGTCACACCTTCATAGCTGCATGACCCTTATAGATAGTATACTAGTATGCATATGAGTAAATGAATAAATAAATTTCTCACAGCTGGAGAGAACTTTTAGAATAATATATTCTATACGAAATTATTCTCTACATACTCATTGGGATATAATATTTGGCTCTTACTTATTTAATCAAATATTTAAAAAATATGTTTCTTGCATTAATATTTTTTATAGATCGAATGTTACTGTGTAATATTACCTTGAAACTCATCCAAGTAAAAATTATATTTCAATGAATATGTACTTTTCGTTAAAAATTATTGTTGTAATATGATGAAGGAATTTGTGGATTTCAGGGGAAAGGTACGGGATCCGGACACAGAACTTTACTTTATGGAAATGCAATTCTTCTCAGGCATCAAAATAGTGACATGGTAATTCGGATTTGACATGAAAGAAAAATGGCATATGTTTGTTTAGACTTTTATCCTTTTTAAATGCTCACCGTGATTTCAGTATCTGGCATGTTTATCAACCAGTTCATCCAATGACAAACTCGCGTTTGACGTTGGTCTCCAAGAGCACTCACACGGTGAGTAGAATAATAAATATAGCAAAGTGAAAACTTTTTAATTGAATAACCATAATTTCGGTCATTTGCCATAAAGTTTTTCTTTTCATTTGTTGACAAATTTCTACGATCTTCCTTAAGGGATATATTGCCAATATTGTTCATTAAAAAATGAATGATTATTAGGCGAGGCTTGTTGGTGGACTGTGCATCCGGCATCGAAGCAGAGATCTGAGGGTGAAAAAGTTCGGGTCGGGGATGACCTTATTCTCGTATCAGTTGCCACTGAGAGATACTTGGTACAGAGCTTTGATTCTCATTCATCAAACTTCTATTTCCGCCTAAAGTTTGTAGATTCATCATAGTTCTCTTTATGTTGAATAGCACACAACCAAAGAAGATGATCTCTCCGTGGTGAATGCATCGTTCCACGTTACTCATTGGTCGGTACAGCCTTATGGAACCGGAATAAGTAAAATGAAATACGTTGGATATGTATTTGGTGGAGATGTATTGAGATTCTTTCACGGTGGTGACGAGTGTCTGACTATACCGTCGAGTTGGACTCCTGCGCCCAGCCAAAAGTTAGAGTTTGAAACGACATTTAAAAAAATATCTCCTCCTCATTCTCTGAATTCAACTGAATATTCACCTTTAGTTTTTCATTTGTAAAATATGATTTTAGTAATACCATTTCTGTATTGTTCGACTGAAGAATTAATCGTTGCAGTGCAATAACTAATCATTCTTAATAACGTACTCATTGGTTTTAATCCATGGCCCTGCTCAATTTTTGTCTATTCTTAATTATTTTCTGGATATACACAAATCATTTTTAATAAACCTTTATTCTTCTAGTATTGTGATATACGAAGGCGGTAGTGTGATGAGTCAAGCGAGGTCTCTTTGGAGGCTCGAATTAGCTCGAACAAAGTGGGCAGGCGGTTTTATAAACTGGCTCCATCCGATGAGAATAAGGCACCTGACAACTGGACGATACCTTGGTGTCAAAGAAAATAACGAACTCTATTTGGTTGATAGGTCAGTAACATTTTTAGATAACTCTACGATTTATATTGTTGAAGCATCAATTCATCGATTTTCCGTATATCGTATCGATAAATTTTTATCACAATTTTACAAGTTCAAATTTTTATTCTCACGGGCTTTTTGGGTAGAAACGACGCTACGATTGAAACTTCGACTTTCTGGCTGCGCCAGGAAAAAGACGATCAGAAAATTATACTCGAGGATAAGGATCTTGAAGTCATTGGCCTTCCAATTATCAAGTATGGAGACTCAACTGTTATCATGCAACATTCAACGACGTGCCTCTGGGTCTCGTACAAGGTAACAATCGATTTGTCTGAGTACAATACTTTCACTAGAGCAATCCATTAGGCTTACCATTCTTTAAGTTCATCAGATATTTACATAGACGAAAATCTGTTGATTTTTTAAAATTTAATAGTGCATGAAAACACATTAGAAATTCTTAACGCCCCACTAAATATTTCATTAAAAATAATGGAATAATTTTTTAATGCAATTAGTCATATGAAACGAAGAAAAAAGGAGTGGGTAAAGTGGAAGAGAAACAGGCGGTGCTTCACGAAGAGGGAAAGATGGACGATGGTCTTGATTTTTCAAGGTCCCAAGAGGAAGAGTCAAGGACTGCGAGGGTTATCAGGAAATGCAGCAGTTTATTCACTCAATTCATAACGTCAGTCAATTTTCAAATTTCTCACTACTCCTTTTTAACATATATATCAATGAACCCGTGATCCTCATATCCTAAGCGAAAATTTATATCAGAGAAAAAAAATGTAAAAATACATAATCTTTTTTTAGAGGCCTAGAAAATCTACAGATCGATCGAAGGGCTTCCATGTTCTTCCAAAATGTTAATTTAAATGAAATGGTGATGTGTCTGGAGGACTTGATTAATTACTTCGCTCAACCTGAGGACGATATGGGTATGGAAACATTTTGGTATTAAGTTTGTCGTTTCGTATAACTTATAATAGGCTGTGTAATTTTTATGCGGCGAATTTTATGCATTGAAAAAAGTCAATGAATTTTTTTTCACAGTACATTTCTTTATATGGCCATCGTAGAGTGCGAGAAGCATAAGTAGTGGGTATTTCCATAGCTCTCACGTTCTTTTTACTTTACCAAGGTGCTATTTCATGCGCAATAAAAAAAGAAACGGCTTCCATAAGAATTGTTTATGTTTAACGTAGCACACTTTTAAATTGCTCAAGGTCATTCAGTTTATTTACTTCTATGTACTGAACGATAAGATGTCACAATCCAACAGTCGAAAAATATATTTCCTGTCTTTCGGAGATGTTCGTAAAATAATCAAGAAATCTGGTTTGACCTACTTCATATTGCCCGCCATTGGTCTTTTGAATAAATTGGATGGAATCAACCGCTAACAATATCTGGATAATTTTACCTTGTTACCCTCTCTTGCAGAACACGAGGAAAAACAGAATCGCTTCCGAGCCCTTCGCAATCGTCAAGATTTATTCCAGGAAGAAGGCATTCTCAATTTAATCCTCGAAGCTATTGATAAAATAAACGTCATCACATCTCAAGGTTTTCTAGTGGCCCTCTCAGGTGATGAGAGTGGTCAGGCATGGGATCAGATATCTGGCTACTTGTACCAACTTTTAGCAGCGATAATCAAAGGGAATCACACTAATTGTGCCCAATTTGCCAACAGCAATCGATTAAATTGGCTTTTCAGTAGACTTGGCTCGCAGGCATCTAGCGAGGGTACAGGAATGCTTGATGTACTTCATTGTGTCCTCATTGATTCGCCCGAGGCATTGAACATGATGAGAGACGAGCATATCAAAGTGATTATTTCCCTGTTGGAAAAACATGGTCGGGATCCAAAAGTCCTTGACGTTCTGTGCTCTCTCTGCGTGGGTAATGGAGTGGCAGTGAGATCCTCTCAGAATAATATCTGTGATTTTCTTTTACCTGGGAAGAATCTTCTCCTCCAAACGCAACTAGTCGATCATGTAGCGAGTGTCAGACCGAATATTTTTGTTGGTCGAGTGGAGGGATCAGCGGTTTATCAGAAGTGGTACTTCGAGGTGACGGTTGATCACATCGAGCAAACCAGTCATATGATGCCACATTTGCGAATTGGCTGGGCAAACACCAGTGGATACGTGCCGTATCCAGGGGGTGGAGAGAAGTGGGGGGGCAATGGGGTGGGTGACGATTTATACTCATTCGGTTTTGATGGAGCATTTCTGTGGAGCGGTGGCAGAAAGACACCAGTAATGCAGAATGCCACTGCCCCTTATATCAGAAAAAGCGATGTAATTGGCTGTGCCCTAGATCTCACAGTTCCTGTCATCACATTCGCCTTCAATGGAGTTCCTATTTCCGGCTCGTTTAGGGATTTCAACTTAGATGGCATGTTCTTCCCAGTGATCAGTTGCTCCTCGAAGCTATCCTGCCGGTTTTTACTTGGTGGAGACCATGGAAAACTCAAGTTTCAGCCTCCCGAGGAGTTCTCACCACTAGTGGAGAGTCTACTACCTCAGCAAATTTTATCCCTCGATCCTTGTTTCTATTTTGGAAATATGAATAAAGTTGTTTTGGCTGGGCCCTGGCTCATTGAGGACGATACTGCATTCGTGCCTGATCCCATCGACACCAGTATGAGCAATTTGCCTGCTGCTGTTGAGGATATTCGCGACAAATTGGCTGAGAATATTCACGAGATGTGGGCCATGAATAAGATCGAGGCTGGTTGGGTATTTGGAGAACAGCGAGATGACCTCAGACGGATACATCCCTGCATAGTCAAGTTCGAGCATCTTCCTCTTGCTGAGAAACGATATGATACCCAGCTGGCGGTACAAACGCTCAAGACAATCGTTGCTTTTGGATATCATATTTCTAAGGAACCACCTCGGACAAGGATAAGGAACTTGAGACTTCCCAATGAACCATTTCTCCAGAGTAATGGTTATAAACCAGTGCCTCTTGATCTAAGCGATGTGACACTAACACCAAAAATGGAGGAATTAGTGGATCAGCTGGCTGAGAATACTCACAATCTATGGGCAAAGGAAAGAATCAGCCAAGGCTGGACTTATGGGCTCAATGAGGATTCGGATATGAGGAGGAGCCCACACTTGGTGCCTTATGCTAAGGTTGATGAAGCTATTAAGAAAGCTAACAGAGATACCGCCAGTGAAACTGTCAAGACTCTTCTGGTCAATGGATATATTTTGGATCCACCCACTGGTGATCAGCATGAAGGTAAATTCATTCAATTGCTTTTTTGCTAAATGTTTTTTTGATTCTTTCATTGATTATATCATTGAATCTCTGTGAGAGTATGCATTTAATGCATTTGTATTTTTCCCTCTAGCTCAATTACTAGAAGCAAACAAGCTTCGACAACAGTATTTTCGAACATATAGAGTAGAGAAACATTACGCAGTGAATACTGGCAAATGGTACTTCGAATTTGAAGTATTAACTGCTGGACCAATGCGAGTGGGTTGGGCAAAGTCAGACTGTGCTCCAGGGAATATGATAGGAAACGATGAGAACACATGGGCCTTCGATGGTTACAATGTATGTCATAAATTATTATTAAAAATCTATATAAATTCATCACTAATCATTTGTTATAGCTATCATTCCATTATATCATCATATTTATTATTAATTGTTAATAATATTGAAGCACAAGACAGAATGTGCGGTTGTTCAGACAAATGATTAATTTTTTCAAAATTATTAATGATTACTATCTTTAATTATAATGTGAAATATCAGGTGACCAAAGTACACGGAGGTGTTTGCGAGTCTTTTGGTCATAGATATCAAGTGGGTGATGTAGTTGGCTGTTTCATTGACGTCACGGACGGAACAATCAGTAAGGGTTTTACAAACAATGTCCAACAAACTATTTTTCACTTTAATTTACTCTGGAAGAAGCAAAAAGCCAATCATGAATTTTACTTCTTCTATTGAGTGATATATTTTTATGTTCACCAATCACTATTGTGTATTTGTCTCGCTCGATGTTTCCATTACATGTTGACTTGGTTTTTGCATCATATTTTATCCTTTCCTGATGGAATTAATGATTATTCCAAATCAATTTATAAACTACGAGTTGTTAAAAACCGCTGATTCCGTCACTGCCACTCTACAAGGTGAATCAATAAATCATTATCCTCAGAGATATGATCGAGGCAATTGTTTAATGATGCGTCAGTTTTTTTTTTTAAATTGCCGTGAAATTTTTTTTTCAAGGAGGAAAAAGTATACTCGGGCAACGCCGAAACGTTCGGCAAACAATGGCAGGTTGGAGACGTTGTCGGTGTTTTCCTGGATCTTATTGACCGAACAATTAGTAAGACGGAATCTTTAAACGAACGCTTCGGCTGCCAATTAAAATATATATATAATACAAGCTGAGTGTAGAGATAGATTACTGGATATCCGCTAGATTGATTTTTTTAAATTTCAAGTTACCCAGTAGCATTAGAATTATTCCATTCACAGCACTTGACTGCTAGAACAAGCACAGAGATAAATTCGTAAAATCACAAGGTCCATTTCTTAAATGATTCTACTTTATGTTAAACATTTGGATGCATTGTAGAAAAAGTGAAACCTTTTGACAAACAGAATGTCTAATGCGCAACTTTTTCTCATATCAGTTTTCATCAAAGTAATTTGATTTACAAATATGTTTACAGTGATAGTTTTCTCAGTAATCATTACGCGCCCTGTTAATACTCCAATCTCATTAAGGAATAACAAATTCTGCATGATTGACTGGAAATTTGTTTTTTCATTTGTAAATATTACGGGAGGATAAATTCTTAGATTTAATTTTTCACACCAAGAGTAAAGCTTCGATAACTAGCAAATGTAATAATTATTTATGATCACCAATTCTCTCATTTTACATTAATCGTTGCATTTTCATTCATCAAGTGGATACAATTTTGATATCCTTGATATCCAGTACTCTACTTCACGTTTTAATATCAATAAAGCACAGAAATTAATTAATCTCTAATGACAACTAACAATAAAAGAATGATGATTAACATTTTATGTATTATTATGGTAGTAACAATAAAACTAAACCCAAGCAATACTGATTATGATCATCTTCGAGTACATAATCCATTGCATGATTTATTTTTTCCCCGCTATTGGCTATTTTATTTTAAGTACTACTATCTTCATAGAACGTATCCGACACCTTCTTCCCACATCTCTACTATTTTAATTGTGCTACTCTAGCTGAATTGTTCTCTCTTTCCTCATCTATCTCCAATAAAAATAAATAATATTTTATTATTCGTTTGTATAGACGAGTTCCTCTAAATGAAATACAATTTATTTTTAATAAAACCAAGGGGTTTGATTTACAAGAATTCATCAATTACACTGTGTCTCAGGTTTTTCATTGAATGGAGAGCTCCTCATGGATGCACTGGGAGGAGAAACATCATTTGCGGATGTTCAGGGCGATTCGTTCGTTCCTGCATTTACTCTCGGTGTTGGACAGAAAGCCAAATTCACTTTTGGACAGGATGTTGATAGCCTCCAGTATTTCACTAGTTGTGGACTTCAAGAAGGATATGAACCTTTCTGTGTGTAAGTGAGACAGATATTTAGCAATAATGCGAGTAGAATACGAGTAAGTGCTATTAACTTTGAATTAGCCCAGAAATCCATACTTCATGCGATTGGCGAAGCTATAGAACGATGACAAAAACCGTTGGACAATTGTTTTTTCTTAACGCGAAAAACGGCTCAGAGTATTATGGAATTTTGGCGAATTTTATGCTATTTCAGGAATATGAACCGACATGTGACATTTTGGTATACCAAAGACCAACCCATTTTCGAAAACACTGATGACATGGTGGATACTAGAATCGACGTTGCGAGGATCCCAGCTGGTTCAGACAGTCCTCCTTGTCTCAAGATCTCTCATAACACTTTTGAGACAATGGAGAAAGCCAACTGGGAATTTCTCAGATTATCACTACCTGTTATTTGCCAATCGAGTTTCATTACCGAAAACGAAAAGGGGCGGCGCGGTGAGGAGATAAAAATGAGACAGGACCGATTGCTCGCCGAGCAACATGAACAAGCACAGCAGATTGCACAGCCGTCTGCCCATATGGAACAGATCATCAAGTCTGGGTTTAGTATGAGTGATATCAAAGGTTAGAAAAATCGAGATAGAAAACAATTAATTGATTGTAAATGATTTTAATTATTTTGGGAATGCATTTGGTAATTTTACGTGGATTGGTAGGACTTCAAAGAAATTATTCTGAGGATGCAGCAGAAGACATGCCAATGAGTGAATCTCCAATGCCAATGAGAAATCGTCCATCTAGACCACCAAGGAGGAATTCCTTGTATGGCTCTCGTACGCTCAATAATGCAAATAGTGACGCGCAGATGGTAAATGGATACGAAGAGATGAATGAGGATGTCAAAGACGATAAAAAACTGAAACGTGGAAAATCACCATTTCGGTACGCAAAGTCTAATAATATCCTTGAGCTTTCAAAAAATTTATCGTCTATAATGTTCGTATTTTTAAAAGGAGAAACGTTTTTTGCTAGTAAGCTCAGCAAAGAGATGGAAGATGTCGAGTAAGATATATTAAATAACTTTTATGTTCGATCTCATGATTTATCGTGAACAATTAAATTAACAATTGAATCGTTAAAAAAATTTTTAATACAATGTTTTAAAATTCATATAACAGACATGAATATATTTCAGATTTTTTTCTCGAAAAGCTAAGTCTCCCGATGCAAAAGCTAGAACGCCTGATCCTCTTGCGAGATCAGATATGTCTGACACAAGTGGAAAAGGTGTATCTGTGGGCAGACTGTCATCACGACCACCCCCTCAAGTTCGTATATCAAATGTAAGTTGATTTTAGCCGGGTATAGTTGGAGAAATTACTGAATGTCTCGGTGTATTGTACACAATTTTTCTGTTGATTTAAGACTGATTTGAAAATAATACCACCTGCAATACCCGATCGCAGTCCAACCGCGCCCAAAGCGATGTCTGTGAATTTAACAGGAAGTGGAGTAGAAGCTATTGGAAATGAGCTTTACGATGCTGAATGCTTAAAACTAATGAACGAGTATTTCTATGGAGTGAGAATTTTCCCGGGTCAGGATCCTACTCATGTTTACATCGGTTGGGTCACCTCCCAATATCATCTTCACACCAAGGATTTCAACCTCAATCGCGTGAGAAAGTCATCAGTGGTGATTGTTGATGATTACGATCGTCCCATTGAACGGTATGAATTCCAAACTGATTGGGGCATCAATCACAACAATAACCCAATAAACTAATGTATAGATTATCCTATAATACTATAAAAAGCCCAATAAATTTTTTTTCGACAATCTCCCAGTGATAGCGTTAGATGTTTCTATAAAACTTTTCTAGCTGCGCCTCAAAAGATTCTCTTTTATGAGACATTCGTTTTGATTTAAAGCGTTGACAGACAAAGTTGCTACATGGTACGAGCGGATGATTTGTACAACCAAGTGACACAGGACGCATCTGGAAAAGGTGCCTCCCAAGGAATGTTCGTCGGCTGTTTTGTAGATACCGCAACCGGAATAGTCTCCTTCACCTGTGAAGGAAAGCTCACGAGTCACAGGTTTAAAATGGAGCCAGATACGAAGCTCTTTCCCGCCATTTTTGTTGAGGCAACAAGCAAAGAGATCCTGCAAATTGAACTTGGAAGGACATCCACGACTCTTCCACTATCAGCGGCTGTTCTGCAGAACTCGGAGCGTCATGTGATACCTCAGTTTCCACCGAGGCTGAAAGTTCAGTGTTTGAAGCCTCATCAGTGGGCAAGAGTGCCCAATCAATCCCTTCAAGTTCATGCCCTTAAGCTGTCTGATATCAGAGGATGGTCAATGCTGTGCGAGGACGCTATATCCATGCTTGCACTGCATATCCCGGAGGAGGACAGGTGCATCGATATCCTTGAGCTCATTGAAATGGATAAACTCTTGAGGTGAATAAAAGAGTAATTTTATTCTCGTAAAAGCCATGAGGATGCTTTTCTCATGTCCAATTGGTGTTATTGTTTCAGTTTCCATGCTCATACTTTAACACTCTACGCAGCACTCTGCTATCAATCCAATTATCGTGCCGCTCACGCTCTCTGTCTTCATGTGGATCAGAAACAATTGCTTTATGCTATTCGAGCTGAATACATGTCCGGTCCACTCCGCCAGGGATTTTATGATCTTCTCATTGCTCTGCATCTCGAATCTCATGCTACTACTATGGAAGTTTGCAAGAATGAATACATAATTCCTCTAGGTAGGCAATCTAGTATTGATCCACCAATATTTTAACGCACAATGGAGACAATAATTAATAGAAAATGTAATTATGAATTTTTAAGGGCAAGGATTGAAAGATCTCTATGAGAACGTGGAAATGAGACATAGTTTACGGTATTTGGAAACAGAATCTGTACGTCCCCAGATGAAGATGACGGATATTAAGTAAGTATAAGGAGTCCCCATGTAGTGAAAATCCTTTACTAATCAGTCGACATCAAGAGTCCTTCCTTCCAGTGAGAACCAGAGTATCGAGAACATCCGGAGTCTCTACAGTCCCTTCTTTCCACTTGATATTGTTCGTGACTATGTAATGATGGCACTGAAGGAAGCGGTCGAAGTGAATCAGGTGCACAATCGTGATCCCATCGGTGGCAGCAACGAGAATCTCTTCTTGTATGTTCTAGATCAACAAATCTCTTAGCATCACCACTTTACTTTTCTATTTATTTGTTTGTTGAAAATATTATTTGGATATTGTTGTGATTACTGGCTAACGAGTAGCTTGTTTCCAGGCCTTTGATAAAACTTGTAGATCGCTTACTTCTCGTTGGAATGCTGAGAAATGAAGACATAGAGAAACTCTTAATTATGATTAATCCCGAAACTTGGGATCCAACATTTGATCGAGGTAATTCGATTCAGAAACATATCATATCTTTTGGTCAAATGATAAAACTCATTGTAAAAATAATCTACAGAGGGTAAGGATGAGCACAGAAAGGGCCTCCTGCATATGAAAATGGCGGAGGGAGCAAAACTGCAGATGTGCTACCTCCTCCACCACCTCTGTGATGTGCAACTGCGTCACAGAGTCGAATCAATAATTGCTTTTAGCCACGATTTTGTCGGGGAGCTGCAGGCCGATCAGCTGCGTCGTTATATCGAAATAAAACAGTCAGATCTACCCTCAGCGGTGGCAGCAAAGAAGACCAAAGAGTTTCGTTGTCCCCCGCGCGAGCAAATGAATGCGATTCTCAGTTTTAAAAAGCTGGAGGATGATGATCCAGACAACATGCCGTGCGGCGAGGATATGACAAAAGTAATGAATGAATTTCACAGTGTACTCATGTCATACGTGTCCCTACATGCTCTTCAAGAAGCTGCTGATGCAGCCAACGAGGTGGAAGAGGTAGAAAAGCCTGGAGCGATGAGAAGAGTTCTTCAGATGATCACAAGTTCCACAAAAGAGTCCAGTGACTCTGAAAGTGAAAAGCAACCTGTTGTTGAGCCAGAGAAGAAGACACCGGAGGAGGTTTTTAGAAAAGTTCTTATCTCAACGATCACGAAATGGGCTGAAGAGACTCAGATAGAAACTCCGAAATTAGTTCGAGAGATGTTTAGTCTTCTGGTCAGACAGTACGACACAGTTGGTGAATTAATTCGAGCATTAGAGAAGACCTACGTGACGAACAGTAAGACTAGGGAGGATGTTGCTCAGATGTGGGTGGGATTAAGTCAAATCCGTGCCCTCCTGCCAGTTCAAATGTCCCAGGAAGAGGAGGAATTGGTGAGAGAGCGACTCTGGAAACTGGTGAATAATCACACATTCTTCCAGCATCCAGATTTAATCAGAGTTCTTAGAATACATGAGAACGTGATGGCTATAATGATTAATACTCTTGGGAGGCGGTCTCAGGCTCAATCAGATGCTCAGGCTCAGGCACAGGCTGCAGAGGGAGAAACACCTTCCAAGGAAAAGGATACGTCACACGAGATGGTTGTCGCTTGCTGCAGATTCTTGTGCTACTTCTGTAGAACTTCTAGGCAGAATCAGAAAGCCATGTTTGATCATTTTGATTTTCTCTTGGAGAACAGTAATATTCTGCTCTCCAGACCTTCACTGAGAGGCTCCACTCCTCTCGATGTTGCCTATTCCTCTCTGATGGAGAATACAGAGCTTGCATTGGCACTGAGGGAACACTACCTTGAAAAAATTGCAGTTTACTTGTCACGGTGTGGGCTTCAATCGAATTCGGAATTGGTGGAAAAGGGCTATCCAGATCTTGGGTGGGACCCTGTAGAGGGAGAAAGGTACCTCGACTTCTTGAGATTCTGCGTTTGGGTAAATGGTGAGTTATATCGTAATTAGTGTGTTGTATGATTTATTTTTCAAACATTTTCGATTATGAAATTTATCATTAACAATCGTTCTCTTATTTTGGAGTATGTTGTACCAATGATAAAATTGAATATGTAGGTGAGAGCGTGGAGGAAAATGCAAACCTAGTGATTCGCCTCCTCATACGACGGCCAGAGTGTCTAGGACCCGCCCTGCGCGGAGCGGGCGATGGTCTGATGAAGGCCATTGTCGATGCCAATAAAATGTCAGAACGTATCGCTGATCGTCGAAAAGTGAGTTAAATAACTTGAAAAAAATGGAGAATTGATAAGACATTATCGATCAAAGGATTGGTTCGTAAGTAAGAGGTTTCCTTGGATTAGTTCCCTAGATTTTTCGCTCTATTCTGTTCTTAAGAAATGACTAAAAATTACTATTGCCGTGAACCCTATTGAATGCATGTAGCCTGTAGCCGTTCTATCAATGAATCCCCCAGTGTCCATCCAAATTCGTCGTACCTGAAAAACAAAATCCTTGCATCGATTTTTGTCAATTTGAGTGTACATCCGAGCATGTGTAAACTCCACAACTAATGAATCTTGAACTCAGCGTTTTAAACAGGTACACGATCAATCAGAAGGGGACATAGTGGGACAATTCGAGCATCCATTACCCGAATCTGATGATGATGAGGATTACATCGATACTGGCGCTGCTATTCTCAATTTCTACTGTACACTCGTTGATTTATTGGGTCGATGTGCCCCAGACTCTTCAGTTATCGAACAGGGTAAGCCGTCAATAGCCACATTATCTCAATTAGTCGTTAATCAATAGGACTTTAAAAGAAAATTAACGGAGCCCTTAGTGATGAGTGATGCAAATTCAATATGGAATTGTTTCTAGGCAATTTTATTATTACTGCGAGGCAATAATTGGTTTTCTGTTCTCAGGAAAAAACGAGTCTCTTCGAGCCAGAGCGATTTTACGCTCTCTCGTCCCTCTGGAAGACCTCCAAGGCGTCCTCTCCCTTCGCTTTACCCTCCTAAATCCCGCTGCTGGTCAAGAACGACCAAAAAGCGACACCCCATCCGGTCTAATTCCCGGCCATAAGCAAAGCATCGTTCTTTTCCTCGAAAGAGTCTACGGAATCGAAACAAAAGAGCTTTTTTTCCGACTCCTTGAGGAGGCATTCCTCCCCGATTTGCGCGCAGCCACAATGCTTGATAGAAACGATGGCTACGAGTCAGACATGGCTTTAGCGATGAATCGATACATCGGAGTCAGCATTCTCCCCCTCCTCATAAAACACTCGAAATTCTACAACGAAGCTGACAACTATGCAAGTCTCCTCGATGCAACCCTCCATACTGTCTATCGTCTCAGCAAAAATCGAATGTTGACCAAAGGCCAGCGTGAGGCAGTGTCAGACTTCCTGGTGGCATTGACCAGTCAGATGCAGCCTAGTATGCTCTTGAAACTCCTTCGCAAGCTTACCGTTGATGTTTCAAATCTATCAGAATACACGACAGTGGCTCTGAGACTTCTGACTTTGCACTACGAACGTTGTGCCAAATACTACGGATCCACAGGGGTTGGTGCCCAAGGTGCTTATGGAGCCTCCAGCGATGAGGAAAAACGCCTGACAATGGTCCTCTTCGACAACATCTTTGATTCTCTATCGAAAATGGATTACGACCCGGAATTATTCGGCAAGGCTCTCCCCTGTCTTACCGCCATTGGTTGTGCCTTACCCCCTGACTACACAATGCCCAAAACTTACGATGACGAGTGGTATAGCAGTAAAACCGCGTCAACACAATCCCCAGACGGTCCTTACAATCCTCAACCCATCAATACCTCAAGTGTAGTTCTCACAAATGACTTGAACCAGATCGTTCAAAAATTCTCTGAGCATTATCACGACGCTTGGGCCAGTAGAAAATTAGAGAACGGATGGACTTATGGGGAATCCTGGTCAGATGCAAACAAAACTCATCCCCGATTGAAACCTTATAACATGTTGAATGATTATGAGAAGGAGCGATATAAGGAACCCGTGAGGGAGAGCTTGAAGGCATTGTTAGCCATTGGCTGGAGTGTGGAGCATGCCGAGGTTGACACTCCCTCTACAAATCGAAATTCATTGAGAAGATCCTCGAAGGGTCAGGGAGATGCTGCCAATCCGTTCAACTATAATCCCCATCCGGTCGACATGACCAATTTAACGCTCAGCAGAGAGATGCAGAGCATGGCGGAGAGGCTTGCTGACAATGCCCATGACATTTGGGCTAAGAAAAAGAAGGAGGAGTTGAATACGTCCGGAGGTGGAATTCATCCACAATTAGTTCCTTACGATCTCCTCACTGATAAAGAAAAAAGGAAGGACAGAGAGAGGTCCCAAGAGTTCTTGAAATATCTTCAGTATCAAGGATACAAATTACACAAGCCAAATCGAGGTGGAGATGGAGAAGTGACAGGACCCAATGTATCAGCTGAAAGTAGATTCGCATTTACCCTACTTGTCAAGCTCATTGAATACTTGGATAAAGCGACTATCAACATGAAACTATTGAAACCTTCAGATACATACAGCAGACGAAACAGCTTTAAAACGTCAACAAGAGACATTAAATTCTTCAGCAAGGTTGTTCTGCCACTGGTCGAGAAGTACTTCAGTACTCACAGAAATTATTTTATCACTGTGGCAACACCTACGAATAACGTAGGTGCTGCTTCATTGAAGGAGAAGGAAATGGTCGCAGCGCTTTTCTGCAAATTAGCTAATCTCTTGCGTTCAAGATTAGCAGCATTTGGTGCTGATGTCAGAATCACAGTTCGTTGTTTGCAAGTTTTGGTCAAAGGAATTGATGCTAAATCACTGGTAAAGAGTTGTCCAGAGTTCATTAGAACGTCTATGCTAACGTTCTTCAATAACACCGCCGATGATCTTGGCCATACAATTATGAACTTGCAAGAGGGAAAGTACAGTCATCTGAGAGGTACTCATCTCAAAACATCTACATCTTTGTTCTATATTAATAATGTGGTTCTTGCGACGTTGACGGCAATGTTTGATCATCTAGCTGCTTGCGAATACGGCAGTGATCTTCTTCTTGACGAGATTCAGGTTGCCTCCTACAAGATGTTGGCCTCACTCTATACCCTGGGCATTGACTCCACCCTGACACACGATAGAAAATATTTGAAGACAGAGATCGAGAGGAACAAACCAAACTTGGGATCATGTTTGGGTGCATTCTCCAGTTGCTTTCCCGTGGCATTTTTAGAGCCGCATTTGAATAAGAATAATCAGTTCTCATTATTGAATCGAATTGCTGATCATTCATTGGAGGCACAGGATATCATGACGAGAATGGAGTCGAGTATGCCTACGTTGGAGACAATTCTCACTGAAGTGGATCAATTCGTTGAGTCTGATAAGACTTACAATGACGCTCCCCACGTGGTCGATGTCATTCTTCCACTTCTCTGCTCTTATCTGCCATTCTGGTGGGCCCAGGGACCTGATAACATCACTCCCACTGAAGGAACTTATGTCAGCATGGTGACAAGTGATCACATGAATCAATTACTTAAGAATGTCTTAAAGTTGATAAAAAAAAATATAGGTAATGAAAATGCACCCTGGATGATACGGATTGCTGCTTATACGCAGCAGATTATTATTAATTCCTCTGAAGAGCTTCTCAAAGATCCGTTCTTGCCGCTCGCTGAACGCGTGAGAAAACGTACTGATACTATGTTCCATAAGGAAGAATCTCTTCGAGGTTTCATCAAATCCTCCACTGATGATACGTCCCAGGTGGAGGCGCAGATCCAGGAAGACTGGCAGCTTCTAGTAAGAGATATATATGCCTTCTATCCTCTGCTGATCAAGTATGTTGATCTCCAAAGAAATCACTGGCTCAGGAATAACATCTCAGAGGCAGAAGACTTGTACAATCACGTGGCAGCGATCTTCAATATCTGGTCAAAGTCTCAATATTTCTTGAAGGAAGAGCAGAATTTCATCTCTGCTAATGAGATTGACAACATGATTCTGATCATGCCAACAGCCACTAGAAGAACAGCCACTGTGACTGACGGATCTCCAGCCGGTGGAGGTGGCAAGAAGAAGAAAAAAAATCGAGATAAGAAGAGGGACAAGGACAAAGAGGTTCAGGCATCACTAATGGTGGCTTGTCTTAAACGTCTGCTTCCGGTTGGTCTAAACTTGTTTGCCGGACGGGAACAGGAATTAGTTCAACATTGCAAGGACAGATTTTTGAGTAAACTCCCGGAGGGTGACATTGGTGAATTTGCCAAAACGCAGCTGACACTTCCGGATAAACTCGATCCTGCAGATGAGATGTCTTGGCAGCACTATTTATACTCCAAACTTGGTCAGAAGAAGGATTCACTTGAGACTGTGAAGCCTCAACAGTTGGAAGATGTCGTTGCTAGAATTACTGACATGGCAAAAGTCCTGTATGGACTGCATATGGTGAGTTTGAATTCTGAAAATGCGCTTTTATTTCTTGATGATTATTCATTCGATATCGCCGGGGTAAAACGAGAAGAGTCGAAAAGTTTCCGGTCAAAAATATATCAGTGGAAAGTATAAGAATAATTAAATAAATAATAATAATAATATTAATAAAAATAATTAATTATAAAAAATAAAATAAAATGCTTATGATGAAAATTCATTTATTGGCAGAACTTTTCAAGTTATTTCATAAAAATTTTCTGACATCCGAAGACGGGTTGATTCGTTTCGTTTTGCAACTTCGCCAATTTATTTTGTTCTAGTTGATTTTTTTGTTATATCGTTTTGATTAATTTTTTTTCATTAAATGCGAGTAGATAGATCATCCCCAACAGCAGAGCAAGAATATTTATAGATCCGTGGTATCGATCGAACGGAAACGTGCAGTTATCGCTTGTTTCCGTCAAACTCCCTTACATTCTTTACCCAGGTATCCTATTTGTTTACATTTGAGTTTAATTTTATTTTCCTGTAAAACTGGATGGGAGTTATTATGAGTGTATTTTTAAACAAATTTAGTGTTGTGTGTATTTCTGCATGCTGGCTAACAGGCAACAAAGCCACCACCATCCAGAGACGGATGGAAGCGTGTGTTATGCGCTGCGAGAAAACGAGCAGCTATGGCGTGTCTCCGTAGTGAACCGCTTTACAAGTTGAGAAGGTAACATATAATGGTGCTTAACCATAGGATTAATGATGATGAATGATACAGACAGACTTTCATTGCATTCTTATAAAATTTATGCTGACGTAATGTTGATAGTTAAATTTTTCGACGAATCCGTTGAGTGATGCTCTAATTGTTTTGTGGTGATGAATAGATCGGAACAAGCAATATATTCTAATTATTTCAACTAATTTTTAGACATCGTGCAATCAACATTTTTGCAAGAACATATTACGAGCTGTGGCTTCAGGATGAGAATGTTGGACAGGAAATAATGATCGAAGAACTGACGGTAAATATTGGGATTTGGGATTCTTCAGAAATATTAAATACAATTGAGTTAAAAAAAGAAATAAAAAAAATAAATGATCTTCTAGCAAACCTTTGAAGAGGCAGAGTTGAAAAAAATGGATAAAGCAGAAGAAGAAGGAAAACCCGATCCATTAACTCAACTTGTCACAACATTCTGTCGAGGAGCAATGACGGAACGCTCTGGAGCTCTCCAGGAAGACCCACTTTACATGAGCTATGCCCAGATCATCTCTAAATCGTGCGGTGAAGAAGAAGAAGAAGGAGAGGCTGAGGAAGGTGGAGGTGAGGGTGGTGGTGGTGGTGGTGGTGAGGATGGTGGCCCTTCAATTCACGTAAGTTTGACCTCTCGTAGCATTTAATAAATTTTTATCAACACTGAATGTAATTGCCCCCGAGTAATAAAATGTGTAATAGCAAATTTAATACACTATTAATGCATGTCACTATTCTTTTTTTCGAACTTTCTGTATCGGCCAGCAGCCGACGCATAGACTTATATTGGTAAGACGATCTAGTGTCTCGATCCTCGGCGTTATCATCATCGTATCTTATCCTTCTAAAAACCTTTGTCATATTCATCGTAGCACTCATCACTGATAGACCCATTAATCTTTCTTGTATCCATCTCGGTTATCTTGTCGATCATTTGAATATGTGTACTGAGATTAATTGTCTTGTTTATGCTTTCTGAAGAGGCCAATGCATAAATTAATGGTAAGAACATCCAGAATTTCAGGCAGAAACATCATTTTCGGCACTTTATGTAAATTACTGATGAATTGTATCGGATTCGAGTTACATGCTTTGAACTGCTCTTTCAGAAAAAATTATGGATTTAGCTCTCTTTTGATTTGACATTTTTCAACCGTACGCGCATACAGGAATCAATTGGTTAAATTAAATTTCTAATTGTATCAATTAGAGAAGAAAAATTAAAAGCCAACATTTTTCTCGTGTATGAAAACCTACGAATACTAGACATACAACTATTTTACTGATTTTGAAAGTGAAATATTTTGTAGAAACGATTAAAGTACAGCACTATAAAGATCTCAAATGCCTCGTACAAGAAATTTGATTTTTTATGCAAAAATAAAAATAATGGATAAATCTAGACAGATTTTTATTTGATATTCAGAATTCGTTCATAGAGACAGTCTAGTCTATAGGAGTTTAGGATTCTGATAAAATACTCACCTATAGAGAAATTCCCCGTAGAATTATTCCCATAAATAGAATAGTTTCCAAGGATTTTTTGAATTCTCCATAAAACCACTTTATAAGTCGGTGTGACTTTAGGATGCACTTTCTTCTATTGACAATGACAATCTACACCGAGCTCTATCAATCATTCTATTCCTAGCCATCTTCGAAAAAATTATTTCAAAAAATCACCACTGATGAATTTTGATTTCCAATGTTATCAATCTTATTCAATGCTGATACATGAAGAAGATGAATTTAATCATATTTATCTGACATGTTAACTATAACTATGACTCTATTCCTATTTATATTTGCATGAGTGTTCATACTTATAAATTTGTTACGAATTCCACAAAAAATATTAATTTCTCATACGACAATAGTTATTATTTTAAAAAATATTCCCTAGTCCTAAGTGCTTAATTTCTCGTCTCTGTTTGTAGGAACAAGAAATGGAGAAACAAAAGCTCATTTTCCATCAAACTCGCTTGGCAAATCGAGGAGTGGCCGAAATGGTACTTCTCCACATATCAGCTTGCAAAGGAATTCCCAGCGAAATGGTTATGAAAACCCTAGAACTAGGAATTTCAATTCTTCGAGGGGGTAACATAGAGATTCAAAAAGGAATGCTTAATCATCTGAAGGAGAAAAAAGATGTTGGTTTCTTCACCTCGATAGCCGGTTTGATGAATTCATGCGGTGTCTTGGATCTCGATGCTTTTGAAAGGAATACAAAAGCTGAGGGTTTAGGCGTTGGCTCTGAAGGTGCAGCTGGTGAGAAAAATATGCACGACGCTGATTTCACGTGTGCACTATTCAGGTTTATTCAACTGACGTGTGAGGGTCACAATCAGGAGTGGCAGAATTACTTAAGAACCCAAGCAGGCAATACGACGACTGTCAATGTCGTTATCTGCACTGTGGACTATCTCCTCCGACTACAGGAATCGATAATGGATTTTTATTGGCACTATTCTAGTAAAGAGCTTATCGATCCAGCAGGTAAAGCCAATTTTTTTAAAGCCATTGACGTGGCAAGTCAAGTTTTCAACACGCTGACTGAAGTAATTCAGGGTCCCTGCACACAGAATCAACAAGCATTGGCTCACTCTCGTCTCTGGGACGCAGTAGGGGGTTTCCTCTTCTTATTTTCACACATGCAGGACAAATTATCAAAGCACTCAAGCCAAGTTGATCTCCTCAAGGTCCTTCTAAATCTGCAAAAAGATATGATCACAATGATGCTCTCAATGCTTGAAGGAAATGTCGTCAATGGAACAATCGGCAAACAGATGGTGGACACTCTAGTAGAATCCGCAGGGAATGTCGAGCTGATTCTCAAGTACTTCGACATGTTCCTGAAGTTAAAGGATTTAGTAACATCGCCAAGTTTCTTAGAAATTGATTCGAATAATGACGGCTGGGTGTATCCCAAGGATTTCAAAGAAAAGATGGAACAGCAGAAGAGTTACACTCCCGAGGAGATTGAATTCATGTTAGCCTGCTGTGAGACTAATCACGATGGAAAGATCAATTATGCAGCATTCATGGGTCGCTTCCACGAACCCGCTAAGGAGATCGGTTTTAATCTCGCAGTGTTGCTCACTAATTTATCAGAGCACATGCCCAATGAGCCTCGGCTCGCAAGATTTCTCGAGACGGCGGGCTCAGTTCTCAACTATTTCGAGCCCTTCCTCGGTAGAATTGAAATTTTAAACGGCAATAAGAAAATCGAGCGAGTTTATTTCGAGATTAAAGAATCGAATATTGAACAGTGGGAAAAACCCCAGATCAAGGAGTCTAAGAGACAGTACTTTTACACTACAGTGGTGGATGCTGGAGACAAAGAGTTACTTGAGACATTCATAAATTTCTGTGAAGACGCTATCTTTGAGATGCAGCATGCAAGTTCTCTGATGGCAGTGGAAGACTCGGTTGGTCCAAATAAAGTTAGAGAGTCATCGTACACTTATTTGGGTGATGACGAGGAGGAGAAGAACAAGGATCCATTTAGGAGAGGCTTGCAAGTCTTCAAAGACGGTGTTTCACTTTTTTTCTCCATGTTTTCACCTGCTAATATCAAGACAAAAATAGCTGAGATGCAGCAGATGACCATTCCCGAATTAATCGTTGGATTCTTCAGGATGATGTTCTATGCTGTTTATTACTCTGGATTCGGTATTGGAGTTATTCTTAATTATTTCTTGAAGATCCTGTTGACATTGATGAGGGGACCAAATACAGAGGAGGAAGTTGTGGAGGTGAAGGAAGAGGAGGAGAAGCCATTGCGGCACTTGCCAGCCCTACCACCAACACCGGATGAATCTAATCTCCAGATCCAGGCGTTTGGAATGGATATAACTAAGGAGGATGGTGGACAGATGAAGATAGCACCACACGAGTCAAATACGCTAACACCACAATCGAGTATGGAAGAGGCTGGTGAAAGTACTCCAGAAGAGGGAGTAGGGGATGAAGCGAACAAGCCTGGAGATTCAGAAGGTCCGATGTCATTTGCAGACCTCCTTGGAGGTGAACAGGCAAAAGCAGAAGCTGCTGCCGCCGCTGAGGCTGCTGCAGCTCAGGAAGCGGCAATGGCGGCGATTGCTGCTAATAAACAAGTTCCCTCAGTCGAACCTACAGCAGTTCATGGAACAGATTCAAAATATTACAAAAGAATTGTCTCTTATTTGGCAAGAAAGTTCTACAGTCTCAAGTGGATGGCCCTGGTGCTCGCCTTTTCCATCAATTTCACCCTGCTGTGCTACAGGGTTACCTCACTTGATGCTGCTGGTGGTGACAGCAGTAAGGAATTGCTGACTGACATAATTGGAGATGCGTCCGGAGAGGGTTCTGGCTCCGGAGGTGGTCCATTCGAAGCTAGTGGTGGAGGGGAAGAGGGCTCTGGGGAGGATATGGAAGATCTTCTGGAGTACGTCGATGTGCCTGAGGATTATCAGTATATGTCTTATGTAATGAGGTGCATGGCTGTCGTGCACACTATTGTCTCGCTTGCTATGCTCATCGCTTATTATCAGCTTAAAGTACCACTGGCTATATTCAAAAGAGAGAAGGAAATAGCTAGGAGAGTAGAGTTTGATGGATTATATATTGCTGAGAGTCCAGATGAGGACGACATCAAAGCGCACTGGGATAAAATGGTCATTTCAGCGAAATCATTTCCCGATAATTATTGGGATAAATTCGTGAAGAAGAAAGTCAGACAGAAATACAGTGAGACGTATGATTTTGATTATATTAGTAATCTCCTTGGACTCGAGAAGACATCGTTCAGTCAACAGGAGAATGATGGCAGTGGAATTTTTCATCGATTTACCACTTGGGATTGGAGATATTCAATTTGGAAGGGAGGAGTTACAATCACTGATAATTCATTCTTGTACAGTTTCTTCTATCTTATATTCTCCATTGCTGGCAACTATAACTATTTCTTCTTTGCTGCTCATCTGCTTGATGTAGCAGTGGGCATCAAGGCCCTCAGAACCATTCTCCAATCTGTAACGCACAATGGCAAGCAACTACTCATGACTGTGGGATTGTTAACCATTATTGTGTATATTTACACGGTTATTGCGTTCAATTTTTTCCGAAAGTTCTATGTGCAAGAGGAGGAGGGCGAGGTGGATAGAAAGTGTCATGATATGTTGTCATGCTTCACTTTTCATCTTTATAAGGGGGTCAGAGCTGGTGGAGGTATTGGAGATGAGATTGAAGCACCGGATGGAGATGACTCAGAATTGTACAGAATTATATTTGACATCACATTCTTCTTCTTTGTCATCGTTATTCTGCTTGCTATTATTCAGGGTGAGTGTACACTCTTTTTTCGAACTTACAATATTTTAACTGTCTTGTGGAAACCACTCAAATGGTTAGTTTTCAAATATCATAAAAAATAATGGAGATAATGATGAATAAACATTTTTTTAATGTTTACCTATTATTTTTTAACAATAATCATTGGAGTGGTTTTCAGGAATATTTTAGACTTGAGCGTGCAGTAACTGGCCGATTGTGAGGTTTGTTGTCACACGCGTGCACTCACAAGATAAAAATCAAAACAAAGATTGCATTCCGCAGATAGAAGATACCGCAGATACCAGTTCTTATATGAGAAAAAAACTTGGGATTTTAGGTTTGATTATCGATGCGTTTGGTGAACTTCGTGATCAACTCGAAAGCGTAAAAACCAATATGGAAAGTAATTGTTTCATCTGCGGCCTTGGAAAGGACTATTTCGAATCGGTGCCACATGGATTCGATACGCACGTACAAAAGGAACACAATCTCGCAAATTATATGTGAGTGCCGACAAAGATAGAGCAAACATTTATTCTTATAATTCGGCCAGTTTTGTTGACCATTTTGTTATGTACGCTAGGTTCTTCCTCATGCACCTCATCAATAAACCAGACACCGAGTATACGGGTCAAGAGACTTACGTGTGGAATATGTATCAACAAAGAGTGTGGGACTTCTTTCCAGTGGGTGATTGCTTCCGAAAACAAACCGAGGCTGTCGAGGAGGATGTCAAAAAGAAATAGTTTCATACATACTTTTTCCTTCGAAATTTGGTGAGCTACGAGGGCGTTGAAACATTGAATGGAAAAAATTAATAATTATTACACAGACAATCTTAAGTAGTAGCGAGCCTCGAGCAGATTTCAAGCTCGTCTGTGGCATTGAAATAAAATTTGTCAAAGCTGTAGGATTTTTAAAAATTACATATTAGTAGCGCCAAAACCTGTCGCAATTGAATTCACCTATTTTTTCAATTTTGTAATGGCTCGATGCGATTGTGAAGTCACTGGAATTTCTTCATTTACATGAATTAAAATAAATGTTAAAAAATGTTCAAATCATTTGAAAAATGGTAATGGCACAACAAAATGAGGAGACGTTTCTCTTAATTTTAATTAATTAATCAATCAATTTGTTATTCTTGACTATGTTTAAATGAATATATCTGTTATTTATTGGTGAGACGTTATTATATACAAGTGAATTTGTGGGTTCTTCAACGAATAATCTACGGTGAATTTCTTTTTTCTTTCGTTTTCTCCTCAACTGTAATGACTGACCTCATCATGTTATCAATTGATATTGTTAGAGTATTGTAAATAAAAGGACATTCTTCGGCAGGGCTATCCGAGAATAAAAATATTTAAAGTGTTATCTGCTTTAATAATTATTTTCATTTAGTAACTTAAGGATGGCTAAATAATATATTTCCTCGAATTCGAGTTTGCAATCCAAGTGGCAAAATGTGCTGATCGAATTAATGGAGTGGTGGAGGTGAACGACAGTACGTAATACCCTAAAAAGAACAAGGAGGGATGAGATTTGTGTAGAGAGGAATGAGAAGAAATGGGGTCGCGCAAGCGTCGAGTGAACATCAGCCTCGACGGATCTTATACGTAGTTAGTAGTGGTCCAGACTGGAAAATGCATCATTGCACGGGATTGTCGGCCTGTACTCGTGTCTGCCATCAAAATCAAAATATGCAGCCCCGTAATAACGGGATATGTGATAAAATAGAGAATTATATATCAGAATTGAGCCAGTGGTGAGTTGTTAATTTAATCTTATGATGATTATGTCAACCCACTGGATGGTATTCTGAGAGTACAGTTTCTGGTATCTCGAAGGGTGGTTCCCGGGTTAAAATCTCGAGTCGTGTTTACTATGCATTTCTTACCCGGTGCGCGTACATTTTCAGCATTTTTTTTTCACCACTAATTGAATACTCTTTAAGACTAGCTAAACATATTCGTGAAAATCACATTTTACACAAACATTTTAATTATTTATTGCAAAATTCAAAATTTAAAAAATTTATTTTTTTTTTCGCTCCCCATTTTCATAACTTAGTATTTCAATTTTTTAATTCTTCCAATTTAATATCAAGTGAAGAATTAAACCGAATTGTGTACTATGAAAATCCAGTCGGTTTTATTTATTGATAATAATGGTGAATTTCATCTAAAATTCTCTATTAATTAATAACGACAGTAATATATTTGATAAGGCAACTCTGTCTTTATATTCTTATCATTACGGCACTCGACGAATCCAATTCGAACTTTACTCGTAAGAAAAAGCGTAGAATAAAGTTGAAAGTTCTGAATAATAACCGAATCTCATCTCAACACACATTTCCACGACCAAAATCTATTTAACACTGTCTGAATCTAATTAATTACCATTCTTATCAGGTCAGTATGGAGAACAATAATCCTGGGCCAGTTCCTGTCGATAGTTCTGTACTGGATGACACAGCTAAATCATCACATAAATACAGTGTCTCTACCAAAGCTTGCAATACCCACAGGTAAAATAGTAAAGAAAAAAAAAAGATAGAAAAAGGAAAGCGCTCTTACACAATTCAACTGAAAGCATTGAAAAAACTTCTATTCAGCGCGTGAACGGGAGAAAAAAATCTCCACCCACTACTCAGTACTGAATAAACTTTTTTCTCCTGACAATAGGACAAAATATGCCACACTATGCAATGATGTGCCTGGTGTATACGACGTGGATGTCGTGCAGAGGTGCAGGCAATGGACTATTCTCCGTCCTAAAGTCCCGGGGTTGGCGGTACCTATTGCTCGCTCTCATAGATGTTGAGGCGAACACTCTTATAACTTCCTCGCATCAGTTTACCAGCCTTGCCAGTATACAGGTAAAAAATTAACCGAAGAATGAAAAGGAATCGAGCAACTTTTCCATCGGCCCACTGCACTCTATTTTTTTAATAAATCCCCAAATAATTCGGAATTTTATATTATTCGAGAAAACAAGTGCCGAGGGAATCGCAAATTGCAGATTAAATTAATTAAAAATTGGTTACTTTGCCATTTAGTTGCTGGATTGCGTAGCAATTCCCGTTGCGCTGGCACTCTCATGCCTTGTGCTTGGTGTGAGATATCGAATTGTTCACATTGTGGGAATTTCTGTCTGCCTCATGGGAGTTGGGTGTCTGGTGTGGGCTGGAATTGATGACAATAAAGATCTTGGTGTTAATGGTGAGTAGAAAAATCAATAACAATATTCGAGGTATAAAAAAGTATATACATTAATAGTAGAAAAAAAAATGGTTTTGTTGAATTTCATTGTCGAAATTTAATCACAAGACGATGCAGCTGTAAAACTTAAAACTTTTACCGTATTTTCTCAACTTTTAACAGCAAAAAATCAACTGGTCGGTGATATGCTGTGCCTGGGTGGAGCAGTCCTTTTTTCAGTGACAACTGTTCTCCAAGAATTGGCAGTAAAGAGCGTTGACATCATTGAATATCTCGGGATGATTGGATTCTTTGGAACAATTTTAAGTTGCATTCAAGTGTAAGTATACCGAACCAGTTATTGTCTTTCAAAGCGAAAACTTAATTTCCATGTCTTTTCAACTCAGCGGGGTATTGGAGAGACTTCAAATGGAATCAGCAACCTGGACCACAGTAACACCAGTTGTCATTACTGCCCTGATATTTTATTGCATCACTCAGTTCGTATTCTTCTCGCTTGTTCCCGTCATTCTGTTCGAATCTGGTGCAACAGCATTACAATTGGCCCTTCTCACTGCAGATTTTTTCAATGTTCTTATCGGCATGTTGGCTCGTGAATACAAGGTACGAGAATGACCATTCCATCTTCATTAATCCCGATTTTATGCCATTTTATGAGAATTCGTCTTCAGGAAACCCAAAAAATCAAGAAAACATCCATATTTTTTCAGTTCCACACATTGTACTTCCTCTCTTACACATTAACAATGACTGGAATATTTATTTATGCCATAAAAAGAACTCCGATGTCTTCAGGCTCGAGAAGACAACAGCAACTTGAGACGCCAGCTCCAGATTACAGGTAATGAAGTATAGAAATAATAAATTCTGTGCTGAAGTGATCAAATTAGTCTTCTATGACTATCTTTGATACTTAACCACTGAGTTAAATACTCGAAAGGCTCATGATCATGAACATTAAAAATTAATATCATTGATTAACTACAATGTCCCGCCTCTATGATTATTGGAAATTAATTGGAAAATCTCATCACATCAAAATCATCATCTTGATTTCATGTATAAAAAAATCACACACCAATGGGACTTAAAGTGACGTGATTTTAAGACGTATGTCTCATCCTGACGGTGGTGAAGTGGAGATGGCAACGAGCTCGGGTATGTCAGCAGTGAGTGGTACCTTAGATGTAATGGACATCAAAGCTTCCTCGACACTTGGCAGCGAACGAGAGACCATGGATGCAACAAGTCTTCCATTGAGTGTGAGCTCCGACACAGCTTTTACCTCGTTCTATGGCAGTCAAGCTAACTTGTAAAATAATTCCTCCCTGAATTAATAATAACTATTGAACTTCTATTTGAAGAATAGAAAAGGACGAAGCGGATGTACTAAAGAATCCCAGTGATTCACATCTCATTTCTTCCATCTTCTCGCCGAGAAAAAAAGATGAACAAATCAATACGAATTGCATAAGAGCACATAATTTACTCTGAACAAAACGTGGACCACGTTGTGCGAGAGGAGTAACTTCTAGTTCTTCCTAGAATAATAACATGCGGCCTAGAACTGCCGCCTCTAGGCGTGGCTTTGTGTAAGGAAAAAAAAAAACATTTCTCGGTAAGAGAAACTGCGGGAAATTCGTAACGAAAAATAACAATAATTATTAATTATGGGAATATTTCCTATGTAATTGAGAGAATCGTTTTTTCCTAGTCGATCCGAGATATACGTAAATTAATCATGCGAGTATAAAAAAAAAACAAGCGCACATAAGTCTAGTTATTAAATTATTGATATATACCGACCTGTCTATCTGTTCTATTACAAATATTTTTATTTTCGATATACTCGAGCTCTCTCAACTATGAAGAGAGCTGCTATTTGACTGAAACGAATAATGTGCCACAAATGGTTTTTAATTTTTTATTCAGAATTGTTATTAGATTTACTTTACATAGATTACACAAAATTCTGTAATATATTTTGTGATTTACTGTTTTCATTTCCAGTTTTATAATGAAAAAATAAATCGAGTCAAGCGAAAAGGTATAATGGAAAAACTGAGGCAAGGAAACGTTAACTCATCAATGCTGACTCACTCATACTTTTTATTGCTCAATCAAAAAAAAACAAAAAAACGAATATGTAATTTAGAAAAGGAAGTATTTCATGGTCTACCAGTCTTTCTTTATACACTTTGTTACATTACTTAAAAAATAAACTCATAATATCTTCATGAATCTAGTAAAAATTCTAAAGAAAGTAAGGCTAAAAATATAAGTTGAAAGTTGATGTCCATTCCCCTCTAATTAATCCGATTTAGCTGGGGAGGCCGACCTCGATTGACTGTTCCTCTCGGACGCCGAGCGGGAAGCACTGCGCGATCTGGATATGGACCTCGATTTCGATTTCGACCTTGACCGTGAACCACTGGCTGATCGGGACCTCGACCTTGATTTTGATCGGCTCCTTTTAGAACCAGATCTCGACCTCGATCTGGACCTCGAGCGTGACTTTGATCTTGAGCCACTTCGAGAACGACTCCGTGATCTTGAAGAACGTCTTGAGCCAGATTTCGAACGTGAGCGTGAACGTGAACGAGACCGCGACCTCGACCCACTTTTTCGTGAGCCCGATCTCGATCTTGAACGGGATTTTGATCTCGCTCCACTTCTTGATCTGGATCTTGACATTGATCTTGATTTGGATCGACTTTTACGGGAGCCAGATCGTGATCGTGATCGTGATCGAGAGTTGCCCCTGGAGCGATTTCTAGAGCCTGAACGTGACCGAGAACGAGAACGCGATCCCGAATGAGAACGAGAACGAGAACGAGAACGAGAACGAGAACGAGAACGAGAACGAGAACGAGAACGAGAACGTGAACCTGAATGAGTGCGGGGACGTGATCGTGATCGTGATCGTGATCGAGATCGAGATTGAGATTGCGATGGAGATCGGGATCGGGATCGAGAACGAGATCGAGACCTTGACCGAGAAGCCCTAGAACCCTCTGAATCCGACAGAATCCTCTTCTTGCCTTTTGAACCTTTGCTTGTTCCTGCCTCATCCCCACTAGCAATCTTGAGTTCATCACTGTCCGACTCACTAGTAGAGATAGTCTCTTTCGACAGGAACTTAGAATTGTGACGAGTGACTTCTGGAGCAGCCCCAGACTTCCTGTGCCTCTTTCCAGTGCCCAGCTTTCTTCCTCGTTTGGCCTTGGGTCTGTCGCTCTCCGAGCCCCCACTCTCATCATTTTTCTTGCGACCTCTTCCCCTGCTCTTTTTCTCCTTGCCTTCACCACTGGCCTTCCTCTTCCTCTTCTTCTCTCTGGGAGCTTCCTCCCTCCGTTCGTCACCCCCAGAGCCCCCAGAATCGCTGACATATTGCTCAGACCTGGCTTTCTTCCCCTTCTTGCCAGCTTTCTCATTGGGCATCTCCCCAAACACCAGGGCATTCTTCGTTTTCTCAACATATTCCTGACGTTTCTGTAGCAAAGCCTCCTGGTTCTGCTTCCTCAACTCTTCCATCTGCTTCTGCTGTTCAGATTGACGTAACTTGAACGCCTGCCTCTCCTCCTCTTGCTTCCGCCTGAGCATCTTCTCCTCTTCATCAAGACGCCTGGCTCTGGCGACATGATACTGCGCTTGGGAGAGAAGATCCTGACATCTCTTGGCCTCAGTCTCCGCCAACTGTGTCATTCTATCTCCATTAGCAGTCAAATACTGGAAGTACTTATGCGACAATCCCAACTCGTGTACTGCTTGGAGGACAGTTGTCAGCGTCGACTTTTCATCCTTGAGAATTTGTGTGGCGAGTCGTTGAAGCACAAGAGCAATATTAAACAATAATATTGTATCCTGAGGAGCAACTCTCCTAGCCTTGAGAAGTGTCATTTTAGCTTCCTTCAACTTGCCAGCTTTGAAGTAGGCCCTAGCGAGATACTGCAATACCTCCACGTGATGATACTTATAAAATTTGCGAAGGCAGTTCTCATACATCTGTATGGCACTGACAAACTGCTTCTGCTCCACATAAATGTGTGCAATATTCAGCCATACGTCGCAAAACTCAGCAGTTGCCTCTCTCACTTGCGCAAATATATCACGAGCTTCATTAACAGCCCCTTTATGAGCTAAAACAGCTCCAATTCCATTAGCTGCCCAAATATTTTTGGGATCATTTCGCAAAACTTGTTTATACATCGCGAGCGCTCGATCCTGGTGCCTCTTCTCCTTCTCCTTATCCTTACCACTTTGATGAAGGGTCTGCAGCCAAATATTTCCAAGTGCAATTAGCGAATAAGCATCAGTACTCGTCGAAGGATTATTCAGAATCCTTTCGAATTTTCTCTGTCCCGGTCCCCACTCCATTTTAGCCAAATGAAGATTACCGAGTAATGACCAAGCATCAGGATGCTCGCTGTTAATTCTGAGGGCGTCCTTGAACCAATCGGAAGCCTCGTAAATCTGCCCCTTATCCCTGGCCATACAACCCAATCTCAAGTAGCAGTCCATGTAATTAGGATGCTCCTTAAGGATGTCTTTGTACAATTTTTCAGCACGATCAAAAACACAGAGGGCCTCGTTTAATCTAGCGAGATTGTAAGTTGTTGTTACAGCAATTGAATTGTAGTAGGTTGGATCATCCTGTGCATCGCACTTAGACCTTGTCAAAGACTCCTCCAGGTTTCTTCGAGCTTCCTCGAGATTTCCTAAACGATAATGGAGAGATCCAACGTTGTTGAGAATCTCTGGAGGAATATCTGCTTCGACTTTCTCTTTGAGAATTCTTGTGGCTGTTCCATAGGCATTCAGAGCTGCTGTCAAGTCACTCTGTTCCAGGATTTGCGCCAGTTCGATCCAGGCTTCTACGTCATCTGGGAATTGTTCAGTGACTTTTCTCAGGTGATTCTTGGCAATGTCTCTTTTTGATTGAGAGGAAGAATTGGCGTATAATGAACCAAGGATCTTCATAGTTTCGTAATTGCCAGGTTGAACCTTGAGAACTTTTTCAAAACACTGGGCTGCATTCTCAGAATCCCCTCGATAAATGTACATCTGTCCCAAACCAAAATGTGGAAGCACGAAGGCCGGTGGGGCGAATTGGGTCGCCTGATAGTAATACTGAAAGGCTTGATCGTAGTCCCCCTGGACGTGGAAGGCTCTAGCGAGTTGATAGCAACTCTCAGCCCTCATGGCTTCATTTTCAGTGTTGTGGAAGGCGTGGAGAGCCAGACGAACTTTGGAATAGTCCTTTTTGAAGAAAAAGTGGTTGGCTAAATGATTAAGAACCATGGGATTAGTGGACTCGATGGTGTAGGCCTTGGAAAGCATCTGGACTCCTATTCGTATGCTTTCCGGATTTTGCTGATTAAGTTTGAGAACTGAAAGACCCACCAAGGCTCCCACACACTGGCCATCCAGTTGGAGAGCCCTCTCGAAAGCTAATTTGGCTTTATCCTGATTGTTCAATTTCATAAAGCAATGACCCATACCCAATCTCACAGCTGCTGGACAGTTTGGGTTTGTTCTTAGAGCCTTTTTATAAAATGCCAGTGCTCCCCGGTAATCTTTCTTATTGAAGGCAATGCAGGCTTTACCCAGGAGGGAGGGAATGTTGTTGGGGGATTGATTGAGCACAAAGTTGAATTGTGCATCAGCTTGCTCCATCTTGTCCCCTTCCAGCAAGCAGAAGTAGGCACGTCCCAGCAAATGGTTCTGATCATACATGATGATCTTGTCGGCGGTCGTATATAGAAGGGTTGCTTTTGTGAATAAATCTCGTTTCTTATCCTTGTTCTTCTCCCGATTAGCCTCTTGGACATAGTAAGCAGCCAATATATCCAGGGCACGCATTTGGTCCTTCTCATAGTCACGGTAGTCGACATTGGCGTCAATTCTGGAGGACTCGAGGATCTTGATGAAATCCTCGATTTTGTGTTGTTTATAGTACTCCAGCTGTTTAAAATGCATTCATTAGAATTTACACAATTATAAGTCTAGATGTATTTGAATAAAGGGAGAAAAAAAGAAAAACACCAATTGTTCGGAGAATAATAAAGATGATAATAATAAAATGTTATAATCCGATTTGAAAGGCAATATGTCATTTTTTTAAATGAGAATAATTATAAATAATATTAAAAGAATTAAACTTACAGCCAAATTGACCCAAATACTGAGCTGGGCATGCTCTTGTCGGAGAATACCGAGGACTTCATCACCGTCCGGTAATTGATCCAAACACAATTCAATCACCTGTGAAATAAAAGTGGAGCATAAATATATTATTGAAATGGGGTGTAATCACACACTCCCGAAGCCCGCTCTCACTGAAATTTTCAGGTTAGGTTTATTGTTACGTGTCCAAGCATCTTGGATAACAATTATTTCCTCACTTTTAATCTGTTTACATGATTCAATAGATTAGAGGCACACCTAAGATTTATTTTATGTGAAAATACTCACTTCATCCGTATCACGGAGTGGAATCTCGATGGATCCCGCCATGGCGGTATAAAAACCTTCTGATAACTGATTTATATATTATCCAGAAAAACCGGAGAACTCGTATATGCACATCTAAAACTCTAATGGTGGGACGTTTGTTGCCGAGGTCCGCCGAATATTGCCGACTGCCGGGATTCAATGTCAAGAGCGCGTTTTATGATACATTTCAACTGGATTCGATCTGTAGAATATCATTGAGAGTCGAGAATTGAATGAGATTAATCGTTCTCGAAAAATAGAAAGAATGACAATCTATTTAAATTCAATTTAATTCTGATTAATGGATTAAAATACTTTTGTTTTCAATTTGTACAGATGGCAATATCTGCAGATGGTTTATATTGGGCATGCAAGGGAAAAAGTTTCCATGGTAACCCGAGGGACGGCGCCAGTTGTAGTAAAATGTTCGAATTTCCTGGAGCGAAAAATATTTATTCAATAATTAATGAAAAGTCTGCAATTAGATAGGTACTTTTGTTGGAATTCAGAGGGAAATATTCCTAGAAATAATTAGGTAATCCCCATACAATAGGTTTATTAGCTCCAGGATTTTGCCAATGACCCAAAAAATAATATATCCAATTTCCCGAAAGTCATCATCCCCTATAGTATAGACTCTATACTAATTAACTCGGATTACTCAATGCATGATTTGTTTTGCAATCCACCCCTAACAAACTGATTTGTACCGTTAGTATTTTGTCAGCGTTCTCAGCAACACGCCATCCGCATGAGAATCAACTTTTCAATAATCATGAATAATTAATCAGTCTTTCTCTCGGTTGAATGGCACAAGTTATCGATACACTTGTGTCATGTACTTGGTGGAATGACCGATGCCGTTTGCCCCAGAGAAATTTCAAATTGTATCACCACCGAGGCTAAAAGTATATCATTCCTGGCATTTCCATCAGCCCAAGAGGTCATTAATGTTTCAAATAATACGGTTCATCTTCATCTTATACTTGGGGATGCATAACCCACAGCTCGTTTATTCCTCATCACTTGAGAAAATCGATGAATCCAATGGAGACTGAACTAACTTAGAGTGGCTTATAAATACATTATAATTTTCTCCCGATACTTCTCACAGTCTCAAGAATATGCCCAAGGGACTGATAATTCCAAGATTGAGTGACACAAAATCCAATTATTGAAGTCAGTGATATCGATATTCTACCAATTATGGATGGTGCCATTGGCTGTGAATGATTTCATTATGCCTCGAGAAATCACAGAGTTGGAAAGCACAATATAATCTACACTATTGACATTTTTACAGGGAAAAGAACCAAATGGCATACACGATATCTCCATCTTCTGAACTGTAAGAGACAGAAATAAATACCAATGACAGTTCAAAACATTTGAAGGTCAAACATACTTACTGTTTGTTTCTTCTTGTGTCATATAAAACAATCCTGTTCTTCTCCTGAATCTGTCAGTTTTACGGCTTTCCTGTATTTTTCCCGAGATTGAATTCCCATTAATTTTTAAGATGTCAAATAGGAGTTTGCATAAACGTGAAATGTTGCAGTGTCTAAACCTTTCAAGTTCATAAGTTCTTTCCACTTAGAATTTTGCTTCACTGTGAGTTTTAGTGCCCTCGGCATTTTTAACGAGTAGTCCACTTTTGTATATTCCTCCAGAATACTTGTTTGACCTAAAATCCACGTGTCGAAGGAGAAATTTTATCGCAGTGAAACCAATGCATTTTATTCAGGGAAAACGATTCCAAAACAATTCCCAATGTTTGATAATTAGAAATTAACGAAAAAAAAAAAATTAATGAAAAACCTAATACGCCTTTTTGGATATACCTAAAATAAATTTTAAAAATTGTTGGGCTATGTACCAAGACAATGCGAGACTCGGCTGTCTTTTTATCAACTAAGTTAGTTTTTCTGTTTGGGATGTAGTCGTCGTAATTCGCGATCTTTCTTGCTGATGATTAAAAAAATTGCTAGAAACATTGTCATAAAGTGAATATTGTTCTTCATAAATTCGCGTTTTCATCTAGATACCTGTAAAAAATGCCAGAGCTAATACAGGAAAGAGGGACAATGTGCGAAATGAAAAAAAATTCCACTGTCAGCACTGGATATTTTATGGAGCAACCCATTTTCTTTATACCGATATAAAAGTCCAACATAAACCTGTAGTAATTTTTACGAATTTTTCATTCCTGTCGATTACGATTTTTCAGTGCCTACGATTGAATTTTCGTGACGAATTTCTCTCTGAAAAAAAGTAATACTAGCTGGAGCTTTATTAACAAAATCGTAAGTAAGCTTTCTCTTCTTCCCGTGGTGATCAAGACTCTTGATTCAAGAGGTTCATCTCGTTTTTCAGGCGCCGTCACATGCCCGGAATATTTGCGTTGGTTCAGAACTGAATATATACATTGTATCACTCTTGCTAAAAGATTTGTAATCGGATCCAATTCAGGTTAGCTAACAACAAAAAGGAGGATAAGTTTTCTTAGATGAAAACTGGAGAATAATCTCAATGGACATGTAACATCGTCTTTCATACATAAATCCTTTTCGGAGAAAAGTTCACTCATTGCCCTATCACCTTCTTCTGGCACGCGAAAAACATCGAAAGTCAGTCCTCAATAATTCAATAGTCAAGCGGTAAACCGTGAAAAATTGGCGTACCTCTTCGGTAAGGTAGTGAGGATTATATCCCGAGGTAACACAGAGAGGACATTTTTTCTCTTGACTAGCTGAAGACGAAAAGGTTACAGTGAAATTTTCGATATCCCCCTTGTAAGTATGAGGTTTTTTGTTTGAAACTTGCCAATAGTAAAAATCGACTTGTTATGATTTACCGGTTCGTTATAGGGTAATAGCTACAATGGCTGTATCGAATTGTTCTATTCACTAAATGGAAATGACATCGGCAGCAAGATAAGAGCAAAATAAATCAACATTTGTCTCAATTTTCAGCTAAATAATTGACAGATCATGAAATACGCTATTACCCATTATCGAATTCACTTCTTCATTCTCTTCATTCTTTTGTACCCGAGATAACCATTTTGTAGGTCGAGTCGGCAGGTTATTATGGGTCAGTATTTCTCACATTTTCTCCGTTGGAGTGAGGGTGTTTTTTGAGGTGTATATGGTGGGTGCATTGCGCGGACGCATTACCTTAGTCAATTCAAAAGCGTCGTGGTGTTCTGTCTTGTTCAGTGAGGTTCAAGCCGCCTTATGGCTCGGTTTACATTGTATTGTACCACGATATTTTTCCTTGAAAACTCCAGAAAATTTTCACTCTATCCACTCACTGTAATTTTCATCCAACATATAACCCCCTCCTTCCATCCTGTGTAAATGGAAGCAGACATTTGAGAGACTGGTGAGTGCACTCTATAATTAAACCCCCCAAATCCGATGATCATACAGATTAATCCCGTCTCGATGAACGTAAACCGTGTTGTGAATCGGGAAAATAATTATTTCTCTATAATAAGCGCACAACCCTCTTATTTTTCCCATCATTCGAAGATGCGGAATTTCTTAATGATGTTCATTTTCTATCCCCATCAATACCGAATGAAATACATCCATCACTCTTGGGACAATGAAGAAAAACCACTGAAAGAACAAAAAAAAAACTCAAGCAATTATAGCTCTGCTCTTAATAGATCCTCTTTAAGTCCTCAGTACCACGATTAATTAAGATATCTTGTTTCCACCCGTGTCAACTTATTGTACTCTACCTTTTTTTCCACTCAAGAACAGCTACCCATCTGCTTAAGATTGAAATTGCCGGATGAAGCTTAGGAAGCAATCAAAATTTAATAGCACCTCTCACTTGTTGTGTTCTTCTGTACAAGAAGTGGATAGAAAAATTAATGAAGACAATGAACAAGCATTGACAGAAAGTAGAATGAAAATTCTTATAAATAATTTATTGGACAAGGTTTGAAGGGCCGTCATTTGACCGGATGACTTGGAGTATAATGTCACATTTGTCGTACATTATTTTTATCGCCTGGTGATATAATGCAATAGTTCAAATTAGGGAAATAAGCAATTGTAGAAATGAATACGAAACATTAATGGAGAGTATGTGTAACACGTGTTTGTGAAACTTGGAAAATGAGTTTTCTTTGAGTGTGAATTACACGGGAAGTGTAACATGTAACAGACAAAGTGAAGAATAGGGTGAAAATATAGATTGATGAAATCACAAAAAAATGAATGAATTTTTTCACCCAATCATTGTCTCTCAGACGGCGAAGGTATGGACTTGAATTAATGAGCTATACACTGTCAGTACGGTATTATTCTGTACATTGCCGCGAAAACTTCTGGTATTTTACATTGATAAATCCACTCGGTCGTTTTATGTGTGCGTAATATGAAAGTTAAGCCCAAGTTTTGGAGGTATAAGGGAAGGGAGACTGGAGAAAACGAGGATAGAGAGCAACAGCACGAAATGTGAATTTCCAGTTGTATTATTCAAGTTGAATGTGGGCTACGTCAAGTAATTTTTATTTAATTCGAAATTAACCGAAATCTTGTGATATAGCTGAGCTGCAGGTCCTGATGGAAATCAGTTGGACTGTAATGATGGGCCATTGATCACTGAATAGTCGTACTCTCTCGTAATTTCGATTTTACTCCCCTAAAAACTAATTATCCCAGGGCGATTTTCGACCGGCCAGCGTATTCTGGCCGATGTTGAGAAATTGCTCCTCGAAAAGTCTTTGACCACAGACCATACAAAATGGGGAATAAGCTTCTCTATTGTGAATTTGCATAATAACTCACTTCAGATTCGTCTCGTTTGAATTCAGCCTACAGTTTACAGGAGCTTCTAATCAAAATTTCATATACTATCCTTCCATAATTAATTGACTTGAAGGAAATATTCCTCAGAGACTGTTCCTTGAAAGATCGAAAGACCTTGATAATGCGTTTTCATGTCATCATAGGTCTTTTTGTGATTAAAGTATTTTGAAAAGTTTGAAAAAAAAATTCTCTTTCTTTGAGGTGGCAAGTTAACAAAGGTTTCTTGTAAAAATATTCTATTAATGATCCTTGTCGCGAGTTGCTATTACTTATAATAATTATCTCTTGAAGAAGTTATTTCATCCAGCGTGTCTTTGTTGCTTTGCAAAGGCTTGTTCGAGAGAATGCTCTGTGGAAGAAATTCCTTGATAATTTCTCGTAACATAAATTTAATTATTCTGATAGTCGATTTTTTCCATCTATCCTTATTATATAATTGAATCAATAAAATCGTCTATGATAAAAATGATGCGTGTCACACCGTGCAGTGAGTGGACGTTCCCGTGTCGGAATTTCCGAGCCTGCAGACTTGGGTAACGTATTGGCCAGCATCTGCTTACCAACACTCATTTTTTGGAGGCCTGGCCAGTACACTGGCCAGCATCGTTCACCGATACTTGGTTGTTCGATATTCCACCAATATGTTGGTCCACGTTGATCCAACGCGGTGCGGTTGAGCAACGTTGGTCCAATGGTAAAGCCCCAATCTGTTGAATAAATATTCGTTGGTCAATCATTGGCCATTCATAAGCCCTACCTAGCTTTCCCAATATCTGTCACTTGAAATAATTATTGAGTGTAATTATATTATAATTAACATTCGTTGAAATTTCATCGGAATCATCCTTCATTGAGACCAGACGAATAATCATTGAAAAATTTGGGAAAGGAGGCGTTTGTTGTAGAAATAATAACTGCTAATATGATTGTAATTATTTTTGCATTAAATAAATCACGAACATTCTAAGTAATCTACTGATGATTAATTATCTATCAATTGATCAAAGGACAGAAATGCGCAAAAATAACTGGCGGAAATTTATGAAGCCATTTTTATGCTGCTACTACAAGCCTTAGGCATTAGGTCAGTGGTTAGGGCGTACATAGATCAACTTGTTCGTTGTTCCAAACGTTTTGACGTACAAATACAAAAGGCAAGAAAGGACCTTTTTGGGCTAGTCGTCAGCGTGCTGGCCCTATGACCAAAGCGTCCCGGTAGCGCAGGTTCGAGTCCCGATGGTGAAAAATTTTTCATCGTCGGAAAACGAATCCAGTGCCTGTGGAAGTTAGTTATAAGGTAAGCTAGATTAAAGCGCGGGTAGGGAATTAGGTTGGGGTACTGCGTAGGTACTGGGAAAGGGTTGGTAAAAGACCCACTAGGGTCATACCATCTGGCACCATCCATTTATCTCCTTTTTTTACAAAAGGCAAGAAATAGATATAAAACCCTTAGTTATCTATTCCACAACAAACATATAGGCCAAAGAGCACGAATTATATGTTATGTACTACTTATCAGATTTTTAACCACATACGGTTCTGGAATTGTATGCAACTTTGGGGCCCACCAAATGAAATCCCTCAGATCCTTTGAGAGGAGTTGATTACGTGCATGTTCAGCCCTCTATCGAGCGAGTCATTCTAATTACCACCATCATATAAGCAACAAAATATTACATAATCGAGCAGATATCCCTCATATAGACAATTTTATACTAAAAATATCAAGGAATTATTATAACAAACTTGAAAAAAACAATCCCACTATCAATACCCTTGCGGAGGTTCCACTCGCTGAAGCAGTTAGAAGAGCAAGGTGCGGGAATATTAAACCACAATATGTCATGCATTAGGATAGGTTAGGTCTCTTCCAGGATGAAATGAATAGGCCAATCCTATTCGATATCCAATGGCATAAAAAGAACAATCGCATCTCAATAGCTAACCTGGATAACAATGCTTTTAAATACTCCAGAGATATCCCTAAAATTACTATTTTTCATTTTTATAGAACTAAAAAGGATTATTAGTGGCTGAATGCTGATTCCAAATACTTTAATGAAATTAAAGAAAGAGAGATAATCTTTAAAATTAACGACGGAGGAGATAATAGTAAAAGGAGAAACACTCGATACAGAGACAGATTTCATCCTCCCTAGTAAAGGATTTAATATCTATACCAAATTACTGATATTCAATCAACATTATACTTCAATGACGTTCTTACGAGGAAGCACTAAAATTATTCATATGGACTATCGTCGATAATTTTGATCATAAGTTGCATCTTATGGGTTCCGCCGATATTCATCGGATCCTCCATTTTTTTTCTTTTTATTATTATTATTATTTTCTCTTATTTGGATAAATATGTATAGTTGCGCCCTTTCATTCCTTAACAAAAGAAAACCCTTTTATTGCATCTTTTTTTAGGCTCACATAAAAACAAATAAGGTTTTACTGAAATGTAATAAATGCACAAATAATGTATAAATAAAAAAATTATATTATTGGATTAATACGATAAAGTGTTAACGTGAGAGCCCTACCATGACCATTGTTATAATATCTCAATTTTCTTTCATAATTTTTTAAGACTAGTTTTTATATATGCCCTAATGTATATGCAGATGTATGACTAATAGAAACACATGTAAAAAAAAAGTAGTTAGGGCATAGGACTAGTGTGCAAAAGATCATAAATTCGAGTCTCGTCGGGTAGAAAATTTGAGTTCGTCGATTAGGTTGTTTCAGGGTCAATATCGTTGCCACCGTGGTTAAGGATAACTAATAAATCATAAAAACGAAGAAATTTTCTTTTTTCACTTTTTATTAATTAATTTAATGAGCGCCTCGGTAGCCAATCATATGCTGAACATTTGCAGTCAAATCTCTAATTATTTTTTATTACTAACTTCAATCACCGTCAAAAGATTGATAATCGGATAAATTTCAATAAAGAATAAATTTTATTAGTCTTTATGGGTTAAAATAATAGGACTCGGCTGTCAATCGGCTGCCATCATTGGGCCAATCAACGCACCGATAATCGGACCGGAGTTATCATCCAAGGCTCGATAGAGCATTGGACCAGTCTCTTTTCCAAGCTTCGGAAATGTTGGCGTCGAGCTTGGCCCGATCCTTAGGCCGATCCGGCCATCCTACATGGGAATCGTCGCACATTGTACTTTGCACAGTCGTTCAAAACTCGGCTTTTGCACGATTTGACATAAAATAGTCGAGTGCGTATTTTGTTTCACAATGGATGTTTTGAGATTAAAAGACGTTCAGGTGAGTCGAAACACAGTAGCAATGGAATCCTTAATCACCTACATTTCCCACGCCTATAATTAAAACACTTGACGTCTTGCCACTTGAGGCTCTTCTAATCGACTACACATTCACCAATAGTGACCAAATAACGGAGAGTGACGGAAAGGATGTTGACATAAGAAAAATATAATTTCTCTCTTTATTCTGTGCCGACGAATGAATTTCTCTCGAGGCAGTATCTGTTCGGATATTTAACAGAGCTCGTCTTTTCACGTTACGAATTTCGACTTAAATCTCCAATAGTTTGGAAAGTTTCCACATGAAAATAACACCTATATTGAATTATTTATCGAGGTGAAGAATTCGGAAAGGTGAGAAATACCATCTCCTATAATTTCCATGCGAGATTAAAAAAAAATACTTAGGAGAATAATCCCACCTGAATTCATTATTAAACAACCCCATGGGCAAAATATTAATTCCAACAACACAGGTGCATGTTCATGCAAAAATGTGTCATCGTATATTCAGCACTATTTTCACAAGATTTAGAACAGATGCACGGCTGTGATCATTATTTCACCTAGCAATGGTGGTTGTTTTTTTATTCATAGAATACTAAATGCATTAAATAGTCAGACATTGTGATAGTCAACTCCTCGCAATTTTATTAAAGTAATTTTAAGTTTTTACAGAGTTTTTGACCCTGAAGAATAAGACTCCTCCAAAGAACTCTTTAACGCCACTTTATGAAACATACGAACTTTACAGAAATTTCAGTAATCAACAAGTCCTAAGAAGTTCTGAGCAAGTAGTCGTAATAATTGTCTGCCTGGCCTAAATTAGTCGCAACTACTGAATTCTATGTAATTTACGTCAGTTAACCAATTAATAAATAACGCCTGTGGCTCGAAGGCGTCATGCTTCTTTTCTCTGCAGAAATTTTATAACCTGCCACACACTGGAAAGACTGGTATCGATGTTTCATCAATGTTGCGAGGCAGCCTAATCCTCTGGGGAGGTGATGCCTCATAGCTGGTAGAGAAGGTTGTACTAGGTTAAAACCAACCGATGAGGTAAAGAGAGGTGGAAAGGGGTCATCGAGTTGGGAATTGAGTTTACACGTCTCGGCTGAAAAAAACTGCGGTTTTTATTCGCTATCCTGGAGAAAATAGCGATCCAATGCGGAAATACGGGTATGGGAAAATCAACAGCTTGCGGGGATATCTGGTTAACCGCTTTGAGACGCAGATCCAATGTTGGAAGGCCCATATGTCTTTGCCACTTCATCTTAATCCTATAATTTTTCTTTCTCCAGTGTTCAACGATAAATCACTAATCTTTGAAAATTTATTCAAATTCCTTAAAAAATAGAAGAAATGTATTAAACAGTACAAATATAATGGCTCACGTGATCAGACTTTTACTTGCGTCTATTTGTCAGTAATATTTCTCCAGGGAATGAACACTTGGATTATCTGTCTCACTCATCGTTAAAGTTTGAATGACTATCGATTTATTCTGTCATCACCGTTTGTGTTAGCATCGGCCATAAGCAAAATATATCGGATCAATGACTCCACTCTCACAAACACTAATCTATTTCCATCTATTCGGTAAAACTATCTTTTTCTTATATTCTTGTGGAGAATCACATTTGATATTATAAATATTGAATTATTTTTTCAATTCTTAGTCGTTGGAATCCAAGATTTCTCTTCATCCGTTGAACAAATAATTTTCTAACTAATCAGTAATAAGTATTATTTAGAGAGCTATTCAATGGGAGAAGGAATGATCTCCAGGATTTTTAAATAATTACTTGAATATGCCAAATAGCTAGAGAGTCGAAAGAGATGGAAGAGTATGTGGGTATTAACCAACAATTTTATGTGAAATAAATTGAAGAAACTTGTACTAGACAGAATGGAGTACGACACGAATAAAAAAAAGCTCGTGAATAGCCCAGTGAATTTCCCCCTTTGAAATGTCAAGCCAATACATGGGCTAATGTGAATTAAAAAGAGTTCGCCAGATGCATTTGAGATGTTTGCATTCAGTTCAATTGAAGAAAAAAAAAACTTTTAGTCTCATTTCTCCAAGTGAATTAGGTTTACTCCAAGATCTTTTCAAGGTTCTTTTTCGAAATTTCTGATTAAAGTGGCGATCCTCTCCGCAGATGGTCTATAAACCTCTCGGAACATTTTGGAAAGATTTCACTGGGTGAAATTGGTATGAGTGTTGCAATCCTCCAGACATCAACGATGAACTGTTCCAACTGTTTTGTCAAGTCGTTACTATGGTTATACCTCGTGCCATTCCACTGTTTCTGTTGCCCCTTGTCTTCTTCAACCAACCCCTGTCTCGTCTATTGACCCTCCCCATATAACCCTCAATCAGCCCCTACATGATGACCAACATCAGTGAAGATAAGTAAAAGAATATTCTGAAAGGCCTTTAATAGAGACAAAAAATATTTAACAAAAAACAAAAACAGCTGGAAATATGAGTAAAAGGCTATTGGCAGGAGCAAAAAGACGGGGTAATTTTATAAATGGAAGAAAAACGAAATGGCAAGACCGCTTTATGGTCTCAATTCCTTTTCATAAACTCAGTATACTTTCAGAGGTGAAACGAGGTTGCTAGAGTTTCTACTTGAGTCTTCTCTTTCGAAGAGAATCAGTTTTCAGTGGCGAGCAGCGACTTCAGTTAATTTTTATAATATATAACAAAGTCTACTGTGATGGAAGGACATGACCTCACCAGAAGTATTATACCTTCAGATAAAAAAGTCGTTTCACCTGAAATCATCAAATAAGGGCACTTACGATAAAAATCACAATGCAATAAAACAGAACTTTAGAACTTTAGAACATCTGGATTTTTTTTTTTTAAGGATAAGCCATTTATTGTGAATGTTACTTTTCAAGAATTATAAAATGCATTTATTCACTGCGACCTAATGAATACTGACATAGATACAGTCTTGGCAATATGTTCCGTTAACAGTCTTCAAATTTTCGAATCGACGAAACTATGCAATACCAATTATTAATTATTCGTCAAAAAATCAAGAATTAATTAATTGAAAAACAATACTGTTCATCAGGTGGCTATTTCTAAACAAC